CTCACGGTTTCGATAACGTTGTGGATGAGCTGTTTCGCCTTGTTGACCTTTTCTTCGGTATCTGCCATGATCAAACAGTGAAGATCTTCCTCCTGGTTACTGGAGTGAGCTGCATCAGAGCGACCCTTGCCCTCCTTGACGGAGCCCTTGCCACGAATGGCAATCTTGGCTCCAGAGTCATTCTCCATCTTCTTTAGTGTATTACCACGGGGTCCGATAAGTAAACCAACTTTGGGGGAGAGCTATGTGTTAGTAACTGAATTTGATAAAGAAACATCGGAAAGAACTTTAGGATTAGACAGGCACAATCAATCGACGGAAGAAACCAGAGCCCCTTACAACACCACATATCGGCATAGTAGCGAGGGTCTGATCATAGTCCAAGTTGAAGGAAAGAAAGGGGGAGTTAGTGGTTAGGGTTAAAGGGTTAGCAATCATACTGAAGTTAATCTCCGGGTAGTCGTTAACAGGCACGTAGACTTTCTCCTGGGTCTTTGTCGGCCTGCGGTAGTCCTGGGGCGGGTGGTAGTTGGGAATGGTCTTCATGGCCTTTTCGACCAGCTTGTGGCGCTCGTCCTCGAGACGCTTGCGATAGCGATATTCTCGGGTGTTGATACGTCGACCATGGTTGTCGTACTGGGGTGGTGGCGAAGGGGATCTGTGGTGTAACAGCATTAGTGCCTGTTCTGTGTGCTTGAAGAAGAGGCTATGATGGGCTGTGATGGGCTGGGGGGAGAACATATAACATACCGGTCACCATCTGCGGGGACGACGTCGTCGATGCGAAGCTTCTGGCTGATTTCCTCGATACGAAGATGCAGAGTGTATGCCTCGAGCTGCTCGCTCGTCATGGACGAGAGAATGGCGGTCGGGAGCCCCATAAGACCGGCAGCCTTGTTCTCGGACGCGTCGCCCCATCGATTGCGCTTCTTGCGGCGGCGAGGGCCATCGGCTTCGCTTCGTGGTTCAGGATCGCGGCCCCGTTTGAGATCGCGTTCCTCGACAAAGCCATCCTCTTCCTCTTCGCCGCCGAAGCGCCGCGATTTCCCCAGCGGGATGTTGTTCGAGCCCGTGATGCCTTGACTCCTCCAGGACATGTTGGCGGCTGATAGCGATGGTTAATTCTGCGACAGAAAAGCGCAAAGGTGGACTTGGCCTGATGAAGTGATGGCTGTGGCCAAATTGCGTTGCATCGCCTCTGAAGTTTCGAGCTTTGCTTGATATCGGAAAAGAGTTATTCCGGGGTGCAATCTCATTACGGTGGTTCAGCGGCTTCTAGAACAGGCCTGGCACTAATACCAGTGACTGGCCCCTAATTTGAACCACTACCTCTGGTCCCATACAGGCGGAGCCGAGAGACAGGTAGCTGGTACTCCGATTTAGGAGATCGGAAGTCTTTGTCCGTGATTGATGCCTCGATAACTGACTTATCTGTTACCCTGCAGTATATTTCGTACCGAGTAGGGCCTTAATAGGACCGGGTACATGTAACTCGAAAGTGGCGATAACCTTCTTTTTCTTCAACTGCGGAGATGGATGGATGAACGGTTGAACGGACGGAATGAGGAATCTGCCTGTTCGGTTGGCAAATGTGTTCCGGCTTGGCTCCCACTAGGATGAGGCTTCTCTTGCGAAATACTCAACACCATGACGTGCGTTGGAGATAGACTTTGCCGGCTCTCCGGAGCAACTGTAATTGTAGCTATAATTGGTACATTCACGTGCTGCCGAATATTTGAGTATAGTACTAGCATCTTGAATGAAACCTTTTCGCAATTAAACGGCCCGGATGTCACAATCTCCTACTGCTACTATTTCCTTGACTTGACCGGCGAACTAAAGTAGTACAAACTGGTAGTCTGCCATGGCACCTCTCGGTGTGGGACGCTCTACTGCTTACTGAGCTTGTGAAAGATCCAAGCAAGCCAAGATATGGGACCTGGTAAGCGGAGTTGCGAAATGCGCAGAATTCCGTCTCCTCTCCATCGACCAAGGTTAGAAATTAGAAATCAAGCCAATAGTCTGGTTCAACCACCAACAAGGCAGAAAAGCAAAGCAAAAGCTCTGCCACCACGCGGTCCAACTATCGTCGCCGAGCTTGCATGCAACAGATTAGCTGCTCCCAACAGGTACCTACACGTTGGTTGTGGATCGCTTACAGCGCCACTGACTCGGCCTCGATTCTCACTCCCGATATCCGTCATTTGAATCTCAAAGACTAAACCGGCGGGTTCTGCAAGGCCTCATCGAGATTGGAAAGGCGCGCAGCCTGTTTCGTCCACCTGCAGGACGCTCTGCCTAGCCTCCCGGTAAAATAGTACAGTAGTAGTGAGTAGCAAGGCTCATGGTTCATGGCTCATGGGACAGGAGCAACTAAGGTAGACCGAGCGACCCGTCTTGAGTCAAGGTAAACAAACGGACTGCCAGAATCGTACGTTAAAATGTGGCTGTTTCGGCACTACCAAGGTGCACAGGGCCGCTCTGCGATCAAGCGTCTTGTCCTGTTACCTTAGCTCGCAAGTGATGCCATCCCGAGTCTCCAAGCCGGCAGTCCAAAGTCCAAGATGTGGCGCGTCAGCAGCGTTGAAGCAAGCCGTCGGCCAAAACCACGCCGTTGACGCAGTGTATCCTTGCAACGACGAATGGGGATAACTAGCCCAGATGGCCTGTGGCGCCATCTAAATCCGCAACCCAGTTGTGTTGTCTGAGATCCTTCCGCTGACCCCTCTCGAGCCTCGGATGAATACACGCAGAGGAGCCCGTCGCATGGCTAAGCTCCTCGTCCTCGTATTGGAGGGTTGGCAAGGAAGGATGACATCTTTGTGGGATTCCGAGAGAGCCCAGTTCAGTCGAGACTTGGCCGAAAGCCCGGCATCCGTGGGCATCTATTATACTGTACCCAACATGATGGAACTCTGCTGGACGGTACGGTAGCATCCCCGCGTTCATGGAACGAACCTGGACCTGCGATTTCTGATGCGTGGCTTGCAGAGACCGAGCCCACTAATGCACACACGGTAGTGGTCCAGGTGTGCAAAGGCCTCAATCTAGGCACTTTCTTGGGGGCCTTGAAATAACTGTGCCGGTACTCCAGATCCCTGTTTCGGCGGCGTGGCATCGGAGGCGGACGATATGGGACGTAACACTGATTGGCCCCCCCCGACCTGGCGACTGACACATTTCCCAAGCCATTTGTCTGTCCTCATGCTTATGTGCTAGCATGACCCGGCATAACCCTGCTCGGTCGCAGTCTAAAGCTTGGGGTCCACAGGAGCTCGACCATGTAGTATCAGTTACTGTATATATCTATCTGGACCATCTCCAGCAGGGTTTCGGAGAACATGTTGGGGGGACTCATTTGTCTGTCTCATCAGCGAAAACCTTCGGCGCCCGTAACAAATCGTAACCAAACGACACAACTGCTGGTCCTGACTGGATATTCTGACCCGAGTAAGCGGAGCGACCCGGCTAGACATCGTCTTTGAATCCCACAAGCCCTGGAAGGGACAAAGCCAAAAGATTATCCGAGATCCTCGATCGGTTTTGATCGCCGGCGATCGAGAGAGAGGCGATTTGATGAGGGGCTGGCTTACTGTGGGGGAAACAATTGAGGTTTCATGTCCACGTTGCCTCTACATACACGATCACCATCCAGGACATTTTCCTGCGGCAACGGCTGGGAACCTTGAACGGATACGCAACTCTAAATCTGTGCGTGGTGGCGCAGGAGACGGCCGGTGTTTTATCACATACCAACGCCGTTTAACTAGTGGCGGGAAATCCCACAGTCTGTCGAGTTGCTCCCTGGACTTGCATTCATAAGCTATTGGGGATTCCTAGAGCGCATCTCGACTGTGTCGCGACAACTAGAAAGGAGACTCATTCAAGCTCCTCACCAAAGAGTCGAGACTATTCAACAACAAGCGACAAGTTACGCCACCTTTAACTGGTGACGGCCCCGCGCGCTTAAGCTTCGATCAAGGAGGTGGAGCATCCCGAGCCGCTTGAGCCTGAGACATAATTTACGGAGAACTTACCGTGACTTGTCATTTTCTGAGCGGTATTATCTACAGAACCAGAAGGTGACAAGATGGTGGGAGTCCCTGGTAGATCCAAGGGCTGCGTCACTTGTCGACGGCGAAAGAAGGGTGTAAGTCATCAAGATCCTCCACATCAATCAACACGGTCTTTCTTACGGAGAGAGATCTCGCCCATGTAGCGTGATCTTGTTTGATCTGCATTGCTGACCTGCGAAACAGTGCGATAAAAACGTTCCCTCGTGCCACCAATGTATACGGTCCGGCTTGACATGCGAAGGCTATGGGCGGGACCTCGTCTGGGTCAACACCACGCCAGACGGAGATGACGGCAAGGTCAAGCCGCATCCACCTCAAGGAAAGGCCGCCGCTGGCCAACAGAGGCCATGGAGCGTGATTTATACCACCAAGACCAACAAAAGCAACAGCAACAGCACCGCCGTTGCTCTCCACGACTCGCTCGCTCGATCGGCCAGAGAGAATCTTTTCTTCGGCATGCTCATCTCCATGTCCCTTCCTTATGGCCACTTACTATCTCCCAAGGCCTCTGCCATCTCGACCAATGGGTGGGTGGCAGCAGTTGACGAGTATTACAACAGAGAGCCCGCTATTCGATACGCAGCTCTGGCGATGAGCGCGGGATTCATGGGTGTTCAGGATCGGAATAACAAGGTTGCACAGTACAGCCAACTCACTCTCCAAGGGCTCGAGGCTTACAACCGAGCTATCCACGAGATGGTCAAGGGGCTGAAAGATGCGAGGCGATCCAAAAATGATGGCGTCCTTGTGGCTGCGAGGATATTGCAATCTTACGAGGTAGGGGTTCTACATGAAGAGATGGTATGGTGAAAACTAACCACATGGCCTACAGTTATTTTTCGGGAGCGCACCTGACTGGCGTGCTCATATTGAAGGCCAATTATCTCTCTTCTTAGCTAGAGGGCCAGAATCCTTTACTACTGGACAAGCGCATCAGCTCTATGTGGATGGACGAGTTCTCGTGGTATGGCCTCAATCCCCTTTTCTTTCTTAGTAGGAGCCACAGCTAAACTTATAATAGGTCATGTTGTGTATTGGAAGGCGAACCCAATCACCGCTTCACTCCCCCGAATGGCGCACCGTTCCATGGCGAACCATTCCCAAGTCTGTCAAAGACAAGTTGATGGACATCATGGAAGACATCCCGTTCATGCTAGTCAGCTACGACAACCTCCGCGCCTGTCAAGACCCTGATCGTGCCGACGAGCTCCGCCAAATTGCCATGTTGAACTGCGAACACATTTCAAACAGTTTGGATGTTTGGGAACAGGAAATGGGGGCCGATCTCCACCAGTTCGACTACAACGTTGTCGGCTCTCCTCTACCCGAGCCTAAGGACGATACGGAATTCTCGCTCGTCTATCTTTCGAGCGTGTACTGGGGCGCCCGCCTGATACTGTACAGCACCCTTGGGATGATGAACATGGCTTATACGGCGGCGTCTGCGAGCCCGGGCACCGACTCTGTCCCGTCTCTCAGCGCCTCGCCAGCTTCGTCTGCTCCCGTGTCGACCCCAGCCACCTCTCCAGAAGAAACATCCAGTGGACTGGGACTGTGCGAGGAAGTCCCGCGGGTGAGGATGCTTAACCCAGGAACTTTTGCTCGCAAAATCGCGCACGCGGTTCCCCTTTTGTATGGGCCTTCTGCGGGTGCCATGCAGGGCGCTTCGGGCCTCTTCCCCATGGCCCTTGCGCTGCGCTTCTTTGCGACGACTGAGCCGCCTGGGCAGAGGAGTCTAGAGTCCCAGATGATTTACAATCTGTACGCTAAGCCGTTCGTCGGCAGTTTTGTTGGACGCTTCCTCCAAGATCTTCAGGGACCACAGCTTTCCGAGAAAGCGAAACGCGATAGTGAGGTCAAGGCACAACGAAATATCTTTTGGTATGCGGTTTTGGGTAGTGAGAGTATTGTGCGAAATGAAGCTTCATGAGGGGGGAAGAGAAAAGAAACACGTCGTTGTGGAACGGTACGTTGGGTTCTGCCAAGATGCTGCTAGGAATGCGGCGTTGTTGTGATGCGCTGCAGAATGTGCGCTACGCAACGTGGACTTTTGACGTGAGATTCCGCGTCTAATGTAGGATGCCTTTAATCATTATGAAAGTGTTATATAGTGGTTTTCTCAGATTGCAGTTATGCAAAGACGCACTGGGCAATGAGCAGCGAATCACTGACACTGGCTGGCCAGGTCGCAGAATGCCGCATGGATGGTTGGCCTTTGTCCTCTTTTTATAACGTAGTTGATAGTCTAGAACAATCCAATGACTTTGACGAACATTTGTTATTAGTTACTGAACGTATGCCAAGAATAAGCTCGGCTCGGCTTGACTCACAGATGTGTTAGATCTATATATATGTGTGCACGAAACCATTATTGGAGTTTAAGAATTACAACGACAAAAACAGCACGTGCTCCTTCAAAAACAAAGCTCTCAAAGTTCATACCCCTTGTGGTTACAAAACGCTTTCAATACTTTAACTCTTTCAATCTTCAACGCATCAAAATGCATGTGTGCGCGTGTATCTGCGGCTGCCCACGGGTAGTTGAAAAAGGAAATAACGACAGGTGCCAGTTCTGCGAAGAGTACCATAACTAAAAGAGTTCTCGGAGAGAAGAATCGTTATTTTGCTCTCTTCACGACTTCAGCCGGTCTCATCGCCTGTCTTGCGGGGTGATGGAGGAGAATTGGTTGCCATGATGGAAAGACGGGAAAACCGGAATGGATATAGGTGGATTTGCGAGAATGGAGATTAGTACTTCATTTAATTGCTGCAGTTTTGATCATTTGATACTTGGATCGGTTGAATTGGTTGCGCTTCTTGGTTCGTGAAGTCACGTATGCTCAGGCTTTTAGACCAACATAGATATCAGACCAATACAAATTCTTCAACCACTTATTTACTTTCTTCTATATACGTTTACTCACAGAAAGTTGTTATATGACAGTGAAACCTACATAAAGAGTAGATGTAGTAGATGTAAGACAAAAATGTCCTTGAACCCCCTTAGCAAGGGCTGAGACTCGCCGCACTGCCAGCATCCTTTGGAATAGCTCCAGCAGCAACCGCGCTTTGATAACACCATCTCCAGTCATCATAACCTGCTATCCAATTGCATTTCCATGTCCAAAAGACCCAGCCGGCAGATTTCTCAAAGGCCTGTACCTGGGCTGCCCAGAACTGCTGATACCAGCCGGCCTGGTCGGTGCGGTCACGAATACCGAGCTCGGAGTTATCCTGGACAGAATCGGCAACGGAGATGGACCACTCGCCGACAATGGCGTCAGCCTGGCGTTGGTCACTGCAGGCGGCGTTGATATAGCCGTCTTTGGTGGCAGTGACGCTGGTGTCCCATTTGAGGTAACGGTGGTCGTCGAAGGCGGCGAAGTCGGTGCTGGGGAGGGCGCTAGTTGGGTCACCGGAACCCCAGGAGGCATCCTGTTTGTTATTTGAATGTCAGTATTGTGTAGAAAGTTGATAGTCGAAGACAAGAGGTTGTTGGCGTGAAGAAGGCCTACGAACCATGAATTGGATGTGCAGACGCTTGTCATCAGAGACTCCCAGGCGGCTCTCAGTGTCACGGATGCGGTTCCAGGCAAGAGGATAGTAGGTATTGACCATGTCAGCTGCCTGGCTGGGGTAGTCGCCCGAGTGAACAGGTTCGTTGATAACTTCAAGCATGCCGACGGAGGCATAGGTTGCGTTGGTATGGATACGCTCAGTCATCCACTCTAGGAAGTCGGCGGCTCGTCCGTAGTTGTCTTGAGAGTAGAATCCTGGCTGAGAGACTCCCTGATGGCAACGTTGTTAGCTAGGTAGAGTTGACAAGAACTGACGCAATGGCTGAAGCCTTCCACTTACATGGCCAGTATATTGCTGGTTCGGAAACTGCGCTCCTGGACCTCCGTGAAGATCCATAATGACATAGATGCCGGCATCGTTGCACCAACCAACCAGACGGTCGAGGTATGTGATGCCTCCACGCGGAAAGAACTCGCCTTCTTGGACAAGATCTTCACGGATCCAGAAGCCGACGGGGATGCGGACCGTGTTGAGACCAAGACTCTTGATCTGGCTAATGTCGTCTTGCGTGATCCAAGTGTCCCAGTGCTTCTGGAACGCAGCATCGGCAGCGTCTTGGCCAAGCTTTTGGACACAAGACCACTCATCGTTGAGACCACCGCAGCCCATACTGGTGAACTCATCAGATGCCATCCATGGCTCGATGATGAATTGGGAGCCGAGATTGACACCGCGGATCTTGTCGCTGCCGGGAAGCCATCTCATAACGTTTCTCGTGTCTCGGCTGAAGACTGTGATTGATACCATATGAGTTGTTGTTCAGTGGCTGGTTGAGAGTTGACTAACCCTTTGCATTGGACTGAGGAGTCCAAGCATTGACAGAAGCCAAAAGAATCGAAAATGCAATTGCGGACAGCATCTTGAAGATGGGCAGTTGTATCAAGTGTCTAAGAGAGACAAGAGATGGCCTGAAGAGCTTCTCGAAACTGTTGACTTTTACATGTTTTTATACTACTTGCGAGACAACTAACATGCTAACAAGATGGTTCCCTTGAGTGTCGATCAACTGTTGTCGATCTTCTTCAAAGGGGTTCTAGTCAATATAGAGAGACTCATCAACGGCTTTCGCATATACGACATGCTGGAAAGGCCCGAAGCAGCCGCGGAGTGTTGGCTTGAACTGTCGATCGCATTGTATATTCGATACAAGTACGAGAAATCTTCATGCGAGACTTGTATATGGCCCATACCCTAGCATTGACATTATCTACGCGTACTGAGATACATAAATGGGTTGAGACGCGGTTGATGAAGTCAATCGGGACTCTTAAAGCATACAGAACCTTTAAACTTTCACGCACCTGCGCTCTGCTTGTCCGTTTAGTATTGTTCTTACATGAGCAAGTCCATTCGGACCGAATGCCGATCTTAAAAACAAGCTTCTCTTTATGGTAACGCCAAGAAAACGGACCCGTGCTGACGGCCCCTGAGTTCCATGTTGATCGTACACGCGTTTGTACAGCACATCCGCCTTGTATTTCTAGCTTCTAAAACGACGGCATGACGTTTCCCACATTGCGCTTTGATCGAGAAACATGTCAACTGGCGGTCGGCTTTAGCCCCCAGTTCAACCTGTAGATGATGGGCGCCGGGTTTATACAAAAACGCCGACTCTCCACTTCTCAGGTCCTTATTGACATGAACATGTCAGATACAGATGAAGGTGGGCCAATGGCTCTCTTCATCGGACGAGAACGAAGACCGGGGGTTCCTGTTTTCTTTATACGAATTGCCGGTATGTGCGAATAACATCATGCTGAATCATGTTTCATTTATGGAGCTAAGAGTGTTCTCCTTGATGAAGGCACTAAAACCTTTGTTGGTGTTGAAATGTATCCATTTCATAGAATGCTGACATTGTTTTCTCAATTATGCTTTTTTCGTTTCTTACCTCTTACCCCTTTACATTCTGTTGCCAAGTGCAAAGTGGGTGTGTTCAAACATCGAATTATGAGATGATTAGTTTCTTTAATCCATGCAATTGGGAACACAACTGCCGGATCGAGAACTGCTGCCTATGCTAGCATTACTTGCATCTCGTACTTTTACGTAGTTGTCAGCTTACTGCCGCGAGGTCCGGCACTCGTGATCGCATATAATTATTTATATAAGTAAGCCATTTGTCTCGTCGAAACAACATGCACCTTGTCGTCTTTTGGGAGACAGCATTGACGGAAACAATTCAGTTTGCAATTAGGATATACACCACACAATGTCTCTGAAAAGTTACGTCCTCTGGTTGGGGGCCTCCGCTGCCGTCATGGCCCAGCATCCCTTGACTCCCAATGGCCGAAAGGCTGGATCTGCGGGTGATACTGCTCTGGCTTTCTGGAAAGATCATTTGAGTTGGTGGCACGACTGGACACCAGCTCCCTCAAGCCCCAAAGGCGCTGGCCTTGTTCCCGTCTCTATGCTTTGGGGTGGTGGCAACAATGGGCCACATGACGCCCAGAGACTGCAACAGTTTCAACAGCTCACTACCACGCCAGCCTACGTTATGGGCTTCAACGAGCCAGACTGCTCTGGAGCCGACATTTCTGCCGACATCGACGTCAACAGAGGAGTTAGCTTGTGGAATAGCTTGATTGCTCCGATGGGCCAGAAAGGAGCTCTGCTAGGCAGCCCAGCCATGTGTCGCCAGAAAGACGAGTCGTGGCTCAAGCAGTTCAACCAGCAGTCGCTCGCCAGAAGCTGGGACTTTACCTCTATTCACATCTTCAAGCCGGACATGGCGGGCGTGCAAGCCGACATTGACTACTACTGGAACACGTACCAGAAGCCCATCTGGGTGACGGAGTTTGCCTGCGTCTTTGACCAAAACAACTTTACGCCTTGCACGGATCAGAACCAGATCAACCAGTGGATCAGCGACATTGTAGATTTGTTCGAGGCCAACCCGCATATTCTTGCGTACGCATATACTGATGGTCTTGGCTTGGGAACTGCTTGGCCTCCCGTGAAGAGCGATGGATCTCTGTCTCAGTCGGGCCAGGCGTATCTGAATGCCATCAGCAGATACCACTAAACAGTAGGAGTGGTGAGCTGTTGAGAGAAACATTTTACTGTAAATAGCGATGTTTCGGGCTTAAAGAGGAGTACTCCGTATAAATGTATATAAAGTTTTTTACAATATATCGATGAACTCTGGATTATCGTCCCACTCTTTACAACGAACCATAATCTTCCACTTTGGTTAATTTACACTGGCCAACTACTTTCACAGCATTTTTAACTCTACCTAAGGGTCGATGTTTGCGGTCTACTACGTGTAGTGGGGCAACAAGAAATAGCGAATAACGACGCAGAGCGTGAACACGATGTTCTAGATGAAAATGGCATTGCTCAGATGAGAGTTTCCATATACGCCTCTCCTTGTCATGAGAGATGTTTACGATGGAAGGTTTCATGTCATAAGGCATCGCGGTATAGAAAGAGAAAGTTGTTGTTGGAAGCCATTAGAGATACGACAACCTTTCGATCTCCTTTGCAGCACGGTTGGCCACTATTGTAGGATTATCAGTCTCATCTTTCAACTGAAGTGGAAATGCCTTATACCAACTCTATCTCAGTTGTTTATATAGTCTATATTGAATACGGATCTATCGTGAGCTAGTCATTCCTACCGGCTTCGCCGACATTGAATCTTGTTAATCCTTTGTCCCTGTCGCTTTCAAAGACCCTCCAACTAAAAAGAGAAGAAAAGTCCACAAGATCCCTTAGACTCCACAGCCACTCAAGCCCCCAATTATCTCGTTAAATATCCAAAGCCACAATCTTTCCACCTTCAACGAACGTTGCGTTGACGGTGCCGGTGGTAGTAACATAAAGCACATGCTTATCTCGAATCGTCCTGCCAAAGTGGACTGAAGTAGCTCCCGCAACGAGGCTCGAGTTGATATTTCCAGCGATAACTTTGTTTTCGCCGTCTAGCTTTATCTCGGTGATCACGTTCGCTGGGTTGCCAGCGACATATGCTGCTTGGGGTGTAACTGCAAAGTCGTCACCGAAGACTCCTGTAAGAATGGTCTTGTAGTCTCCGACGGCGCATCCAGATTTGCTGACAGGCACGCGCCCAAAGAGAGGATCAAAGGAGTTTGTGTAATAAACATAACCGTCGAGATAATGGATTCCGTTGACGCCGATAGGTAGTGGAGCTCCTGGCGCAGGCTTGAACACATCATTCTCAAGCACCACCTTGTATTCTCCAGTGTGCGTGTTTACACTGTAGACGACGCCCCCAGCTGAATCGGCAGTAAGGATGGTATTGGGGGTGGATTCAAGGGTAGTCATGCCATTCAGAAACTGAGCTTCAGGAATGTCGGTAACCTTTGAGATTTTGGTCTGCTCGTTGTGAAAAGCTACTTGCCAGACCGCCCATGATCCTGGAGAGAGACCAATTTCAGCAGAGAAGTTGCCTGCATTGAGTGTGAAAACATCCGGGGACACTTCTGTTATGCCTAGAAGAGCTAGGTTCCCAGTGAAGTGATGGATCAACTTTGGACTCTTTGGGTTGAATGGATCGATTTCATATAGCTCAGGGCTGGAAGTCAAGGTGACGAGGAGATTTCCATTGGACCGAACGGCAATGTTTTCGACCGTTGTTCCATTGGGGAATTGATGGATGAGGCGATGGTCCTTGACCGTTGTCCAAGGACTTCCATATCTGGGGTTTATGACAGCGCCAGTTGCCACTGAAGCAACCAATGCTGAAAATGAGAAAAAGAAGCTGGAGTGCATGATGATAGTATTGATGAAGTGCGAATACCAAGTTGAGCTACAGAGCAAGAAAAAAATTGCAATTAACTACGTATTGTTACCTGATATATATATACATGTATATGTAGGTAGTTGTAAGAAGCTACATGTATAGAAGCCCGGCAAATATCTCGGCCCCGAGACGGACCAATCCTTTCGAATCCTTATACCTCTTGGCTGCGCGCAATACTGCTCTAACCGGATACAAGCCCCGAAATCCTGCATGTTGAGGGCGCAATGGGCCTACGTCCTCATGAACATAGGTAGCATCAGAATTGAGCCAAGAAAGCAGACGATTTCTAAGCAGTCGTTGCAGCATGAGAGTAATCAATTGAGAAGGGATTCGGTCGTCGTGTGAGTTTGTCCGTCTCGGACTTCAGACATCAAATGTTCGGGCACATTTGATCTGACAAGCTTGGCTTACATACGTAAATATCTAGGAACAGAATAGTCCAATCTCACAATAGACCATTAATAGTTCCGGGGCATTCAGCTGAGACGCGCGCTAGATTACATATTGCGTTGACCAATGCGGTTATGTCGTTATGCTGCTGCAGACTATAACTCCATGTCTTTCTGCTATACCATTCAAGGCGTCAAGTTATGCTTAGATATTTGACGCTAGAGGCATTGGTGGTATTTTCTGACCACATAGACTTGGTTGCTGACGCTGACTTATTCCGAGAATGACAGTTTTTACGGGTTTACCATTCTAAGGGCCTAACTGCGAACGCTGGACAAGAATATTCCCCTGTGGTTTAGACTTCTATTACACGATTTATCATCTTGGGAAACTTTCGCGAGCATCGTATTGATGAAACCGAGGTAATATCTATCTTCAAGGTTAGCTTACACAGAACTTTTGCATCACCATTTCACTACATGTACTTGCTCCGTTAAGTCCGTCAACGTAAGGCCATATTGACAATTTCTTAATTGTTGTTGACACAATCATCAAACGTTCTCTCATCCCACATCTACCCGATCCAGTTCATCGTAAATGCCCTTCTTCACAGCCTCATCCGCCCAGCACATGTCGACCGCATTCCTCGCCAGCTGCACCATCTCTTGCTTCGTCAAATCTCCATAATGATACGCCTTTTCCATGTTGCCGTCGATCCAGACATCGTGCATGTACACAGGATCGTCACTGTTGATACAAAACTTCACTCCTCTGTCTAGCAGCTGTCGTAGCTTTGGGAAAAGAACCTCGGTTGCGGTGCGTCGGTGGTAGGCGTGTGGACAGAGAGTCAAGCCGACATTTCGTTTGACTAGACCTGCTATAAGCTCATCTCGATCGAGCACATCAAGGCCGTGGTCAATCCTCTCTATTTGCACGTCAAAAATGGCCTGGCGAATATGTTCGTGCGTGTCCTTTTGTCCAAAGTCGCAATGCGTCGTGATGTGAAGGCCATCCGCTTGAGCTCGCTCAAATGCCTTCTTGAACAATATCGGAGGCCGTTCATAAGCGTTGCTGGCAAGGCCAACTGCGTGGAACAGACCGTGTCCAGACTTGGCCCACGGTAGGGCTGTTTGATATGCGGCTTCACCGTCTTCGACAGGCTCATCCCGCAAGAAGCAGAAAATCCAGTTGGATCGCACTCCGTATCTGGATGCGCCGTCACGTTGTGCTCGCAAATAGCCGTTCAACACATGTTCTGCAGGGACGCCACGGCGTGTATGTGCTTGGATGTCGAAAAACGGTTCGACATAGCGAACATTCATCTCGCGACATCGCGCCAGATAATCCATGGCAAGGTCATAAAAGTCATCTTCTTTGAGCAGAACCTCACAGCCCGCAAAATAAGCCTCTAGAAATGTCGGTACATCCTTGCGGCCACCGAGTTCCGGACGATGGTTATAGGTAACGTTGTACGACTCCAGGAGCTCTTCATAGGTGTGGTATTCCTGTGATTTGAAGCGCAGCGGAATGTTGTTGCGCTGAGCCAGTTTCCATCGCAGAGCTGGCTGAAGTGTGCCTTCGATGTGGATGTGAAGCTCAACCTTGGGAAGAGAGGCAATGAAAGGAGAGACTGCAAGCCCGCTCATGGTAAATTAATTCGGAGCAACACCTTGTAATCGCACATGAACAGAGAGGACAAGAAATGCCCAGACAGAAAGCACATGCGGCTGCGAATTGTTGGCGCTCTCGGTGAGTCTCCGGATGATGCTTATCGTCTTCATCGGCCAACTTTTCAGTACTTCGTCCAAACTATCCCCGGAGCAGTCAAGGCGTGGATATCATGACTATATCTCGAGAATTCTCAGCGGTTGAGAGATCTTCATTGGGCGTTTCCGTGATAACTTGAAATCAGAGCTCCACATGGGCAGTAAGCGGACTGAGGCTACTGTGTAAATCGCGAATCCGACGGCGTAAGCTTGACCTTCAAACCGCCACCTTTTTATCTATCGGCCTAGAATTTCAACCAGAGCTAAGAAGTTCTCATAGCATCGTCTCTCTCAGTTTAGTTTGCCTTCCCCGATCGTTCGAGTTGCTGGCACGAGACCATTGAGACACGAGAAGTGGGTGCGTCTAGGCTTTTAACCGGCCATAGTCTCCCCTCATCTCGGCGAATGGCCGATCTCGGGAGACAAAACTCCTGCATACCGTATCTTGTGCTATCTCATCGCATTCCAAGATAAGCGTGAGGGGAAACGCGGTGCGATAGGAGGACGGCGTCTTCCAGAGATCGACTGGCTGCATATGCACATACATATATACATAAAGGTTACGCGCATTCAATGAGCGGCCAATATGATTGCGCTTCTCGTGAAACTGAGCCGTTACTGGGCAGCCCCATTGACGAAGACGCCGAGATGACTGCTCCAGCTCAGGAAGCGTCTCGCATGGAGACGGGCGCGGATGCCGCCATTGCGCGTCGCGTGGTGAAGAAGATTGACCGAGTCATTATTCCTCTGCTGTTTGTTACTTATATGCTCAACTTTATGGACAAGGTCATCTTGTCGAGCGCCGCTGTATTTGGTTTACGCGATGATACGGTAAGACGCCAATTATAACACTCACTACAACTACATGTATATATGAATAACTAATATATTAATGTTTGCCATTGCAGCATCTTGTAGGACAGCAGTACAGCTGGGTCAGCAGCATCTTCTACTTTGGCTATCTCATCTGGGAGTATCCCACCACTGTCCTCATCGCCCGTCTCCCTACCGCCAAGTATCTCACCTTCAACACCCTCATCTGGGGCGCCGTTGTTGCTCTGACGGCAGCATGCACCAACTTTGGTGGCCTCATGGCCGTGCGGTTTCTACTGGGAATGGCAGAGGCCACCATCACGCCGGCTTTCATGTTTCTGACGTCGACCTGGTATACTCGAGACGAGATGCCGACGCGCGTGGGCATTTGGTTTGCCGGCAACTCCATTGGTGGCATCGTGTCTAGCTTGATTGCCTTTGGCCTGGGACATGTCAAGGATGATGTGCATCCGTGGCGATGGATGTACATCACCCTCGGCATCGCGACGTTCCTCTGGAGCATCCCCATGTTCTTCTTTCTCCCGGACAGTATCTCCAAGGCCAAGTTCCTGACGCCCGAGGAGCGCCAGATTGCAGCTGATCGCACAGTCATTGCCGGCACGGGAACGACCGAAAATGCGCGGTGGAGATGGGATCAAGTTATCGAGTGCCTCATCGACCCAAAGACGTGGCTTATCTTTCTCATTGAACTCGTCGGTCAGATGCCCAACAGCGGCACTCAGAGCTTCTCCAACATTATCATCTCTTCCTTCAACTTTACCTCATTGCAGTCCACTCTCATCAACATCCCTTACTCTGTGCTTACAGCAGGCATCATTGCGGGCACCGGATGGCTTGCAGGCCGCTATCGAACCCTGAACTGTTTACTTATTGTCCTTGTCCTCATCCCATGTGTTGTCGGTGCCGCTGTCATCTACCGCCGTGATAGCGTGCCTCATGGTGTTCAGCTGTTTGCGTACTTTCTTCTGTCTCCTGGACCCGCGGCCATGCCTCTTACAATGGCCCTTGTCCAGTCCAACTACCGCGGCGTCACCAAGAAGATGACTGTTACGGCTATACTCTTCCTGGCGTACTGTGCCGGCAACATCTCTGGCCCTCAATTCTTTCGCGCATCGGAAGCTCCAACATATAAGACGGCTTTCAAGACAATTATGATTTGCTATTGCATCGTCATTACCTTGGCTATCGTTTTGAGGTTCTATTTGCAGTGGGTAAATGCGAAGCGTACGAGAGAAGAAGGCTTCGTTGGAAATGCTGGCGCGGCTGGAGCAGTGGCTGATGGCAAAGTGTCTGATGTATTGGACGGCAAAGATGTTGCTGAGGCAGTTACGGAGATTCAACTGAGGCCAGAGGATTACGAGGATGTGACGGACTGGAAGACGGTTGGTTTCAGGTATCGGCTGTAGCTTTCACTTCAATATTATGTTACCATTCGGCGCAATTCACTGTCCATGTAATTGCAATGTATCAGTAGACAGGAAGGGGTTGTAAATGTTTTCTGAATATGCTATATATGTATCTGGTGATCCTTCTACTCTGTTTTCGATGGTTCCTCCAAACTGTAATCGATAAGAGGTTTAGCCCCTGCGACAATGTTGTGAAAATTGCCCAATGTTATCGTTGCCACTTCTTTACTCTTATCAAGAAAGTTATCCTCATCCGGCGCAATATCACTGGCATAGTAAGGATCTTTAAAAGCATTTATATAATGCTCCAAGCTCGGGATCTCCCATATCACGGCACCGTCATGTTCCATGATGGTGAGGGGGAGTGGCATTTCCTTCAAGGGTTGGCGCAGGGAACTAGGGGTGTGAATCTAAATGATGTTAGACGGGCTATTTGACTGGTGATCCCTTTGATGAGATGACTTACCTGCGTGTACCCAATGATGCCATTTTTCTTGGCCCAGTACGCAATCTTGGGCGCATGAATATTCCTCCAGTGGTTGTAAAATTGTTCTTCTGTAAGATCAGGCCTACGCCTAATAAAGGCGATCATGTATAGTGTAGAACTCATAGTGATTGAGATTTAGAATGTAGAGTTGTGGTTATTGTAGAAGTTGGATACGAGATGCTGTTGAAATTTCAATGATTGCTCGTTACTGCAGTCGTTACTATATACTTGTGCTTCTACATGGTTTATGTTCATGGAAGCATATCCTCGACCGGGCTTCGGCCGAATGTTCACTGTATCCGAAATGGGAAGTGAGACCACTGCAGTCAAAATAGTTTGCGAAATGAGGCGTCTCCATAGTGCGATTGTTGTTCCGCCGAGCTCGGCCGAATTCCAACGCTTAGAGAATACCGACATGACAGCAGCTTGACAATTAAAAAGGCCTGGGAAATAATGAAGAAGAAGTAGTTAGCGCATAAGAGACACGTGCAATTGGAAAACAATTGGATAATTCACTGATTTAACAACATGAGTGAAATAAAGAATGTCATCGTCATTGGAGTATGATTTCCTCTTATCCGCAAAGTCTAACAAACCAATCCCGTATATCTTCTAACAGGGCTCTTTACAGGCTGGAGGAAGGTTGAATCCCATCGTCATCTCATCATTGATAGAACACGGGTTTTCAGTCTCTGCTCTGGTTCGCACTTCTTCAACTGCCAAGCCTCCCCCCGAGGTCAACCTCTTTCGCACCGACTACTCCAGAGCTTCCCTCGTATCAGCATTCAAGGGTCAGGATGCTGTTGTCAACACCATCACGATGCCCGATTTCGAGGAGCAAAAGAATATCATTGACGCTGCCGTCGAGGCAGGGGTCAAGCGATTTATCCCAGCCGAGTTCGGGATTGACACATCAAAAGAAAAAGCAGTTGAGATTATGACTTTCCTTCGCATGAAACCGCAGATTATACAGTATCTCCGGTCTATCCAGGACAAGATTTCTTGGACAGCGATTATTACGGGCTTCTTTTTTGACTGGTAAGTTCTTCCGTTGTACACCTCCTACTTCGGCTTGCTCCCTCTCACAGAAATCTTTTCAACACCCGTCTGCACGGAGAGGAAAACATTAATATTTGACTAATGCGACCATGTTCGGATAGGAGTCTCGACAACGGATTCTTCTCTTTTAATCTTCTGGCCCGTACGGCAGAACTCCACCAGCCCGGATATCACAATCACCGTTGTAGCTGGTCGAACTTATCTACGGTTGGCGAGGCGGTAGCCCGCGTTCTGCTTGCGCAAAACTCCCCCATTGTTACGAACCAATACGTGCGCGTCAGGTCGTTCAATGCCAGCCAAGACGAGATACTGAAATCTCTTACTTCAGTTACGGCGCGTATCGAGAGTGCACGGGGCTTAGACACGGTTGAATGGAAGCAGATTAATGTCGACCTAGAGGAAAAGGTTGTCGAGGCGCGGAATACGCTGGCTCAGGGTGATACAAGCAAATTGGGGTATATACTTAGCAAGGCTATTTACAATACTGGAGGCAATTTTGACGATGAGGGCGTGGTTATGAACGAGAAGCTGGGGATGAGGTCACCGGAAGGTCTGGATGCTGCCATTGAGCGAGAGTTGATCAAGCTTCTGCCCTAACACTCAACTATTACCCTGAGTCAAATATAATGCAGATATGCCCTATGTGCTTCAACGAAGAATGGAGCTTATTTAATAGCACGCAGTTCTAGTTGCTGGACTGCTCATTGAACGATGAGTTATGTAGCTTCTGTAGGGTCATCCTTGCTCATATGCGGCCTGTTTTTGCTCGCTGTTAGTTAGTTGCTTACATGTCAATTGGTTGACTCCGATTTGGGATAATAACTACGTGTTACATATGTATAATGCTGGAAACCATCCATTGAGCTCGAATTTTTGTCTCCCTTTGAATAGATGTGTGTCCGCACGATTAAACTGTGGCGCGGGCCATCTTACCTTTCGGGGCCTTGTCCGCAGGGAAACTCGACGCAGCTCTCAGGGTTGTAAACGCATACGTGTATTTAGTTGCGTTACGCTTACCCTCGCCTCGCGAACCGAATTCCGTTACATATCATACCTAGGCAAGTGTATGTGCCAGGGTACTTCAGTCTATTATAAGTGATCCGGACATCTCACTCATAGTGGTAGGGGTGCGGCCGATGGCAGAGTTCCCTAGCCGCACGCAGAAACTTCTAGCCCGCGCGTGGGGGTTGTTTTGTTATCCATGGATGCTAAGCCTTAGCCTAAGCCAGCGATTAGCTTTAACGTGATAGGTCATGATTTAAACGCTTCAAAGCCCGACCAAGTGAAACGTGGAGAACTTCACTTCTCGGCTTTGATCAACTCGCCAAAGCTGGAGCCTGACCGAATCCATACACGGACGACGCTCTTCAGTAATGATTCGACAAGCAAGACAGCAAAAATCGACTGATGCAATGTCATCGCCTCAGATCCGGAAGGTCCGCAAAGGGACACGCAGCTGCTGGGAATGTACGTCTCATTAAACGCAACGCAAACCTTACTCTCGGCAGCCTTGCTATTTGTCTTGTCTGACTTCTAATCAATGAGATACTGTTCAGGCAAACGCCGAAAGATTCGATGCACATTCCCTTCTGGTAACACAAGTATCTGCAATTGGTGCATCTCCCACGGTTCTACGTGCATCAGTCAACGATTCCAAGATGAGACGGGCGATGCATCGCGCGCCCAGAGCATGGAGAGCAGGATGATGCGTGTTGAGAACTTGCTAGAGCAAGTCCTTGAGAAATTAGACTCTACAGGCCGGCAGAGTCGCACCGAAGAGTCACCTGGATGCCCGACAACAGTCGATGACAGTACTGGAATTGATGTTGTTAATACGACATCTAATATTTCAGCTCCTTCATCGAGCTCTGCCGTGGTTTCCGTCTTCCAGAGTGCATCTGTAGGAATAAGCTCCTTTTTTGTTTCATTTCCATTATTACTATAGAAGCTGTATACTGATCAGTTTCCTGCCCTTCAGTTTATGACAGAGATTGGTGGAAAGGAAGCGTGTTCAACAGATGCTTCAACCGTAGCTCTGGATACTAGCCCATCAACTACAGACAACGACACAGGGATGTGGCCGAAACTGAAGAGAGTCTCCCGCCTGCTATTGGAGATGATGCCGTCTCGTGCCGCCATCGAATTTCTGGATAGTCAAAGCTCGCCTTGGATCTGCCAACTTCTTCGCCCTCTTCCATCTCTCAAGCAGTCGAACAAATTTTCGCTACTCAAAACGATGCCACTCGAATCATCAACCCTTAGCCACCCTACGACCATAGCGAGAGCTTTGGTGTGCATTGTGATGTGCCTACAGCAGCTGCCTCAGCATGTCGACATCACGCAATTCCGTCTGCCGTCGCCTCGGAATGAATACATGGAATCTCTGGCTTCGATAATAATATCTTTGGTTACCTCCGATGACGAAATTATTGCCACGTCCGAGGGACTTGAATGCCTTTTACTTCTTTCCATCTACTTTGTTAACTCGGGTAGACCTCGTCGCTCATGGCTCAACAATCGAAGAGCATTGGCAATCGCACAATTAATGAATCTTCACAGGATTTATGGCGAAGATATTAAAGATAACAATGATAGCGAAGAGGTCAACATGGCAGAGCTGTGGCCTCACATTATCCACTACGACCGACACCTCTCCCAGATTCTTGGATTTCCGTGTGGAGTGGTGGATACAAATGAACCTCTTGCTCCAAGCAATCTCAAACTCATGCAGCATTTGGACGAACACAAGTTGGATGCCTTCTATCTTGCCCAGCTCGACCGCATCGCTGCACTCTTGATTGAAAGAGAACAAGGCTCTTCAAGACTAGCAATGTCTTTGACGCAGTCCATTGACAATGCGCTTCTGAATTTGGCCACGTCTGTACCGCACTCGTGGTGGCATCCCTTTGACAGACTCTCAGAAACACAGGCAGAAGCAATGGAGATGCTCTATGCTCGATACAACATTCAACTGTGGCATCACCAGCTCGAAATGTCCAATCATCTGCCTTTTATGCTGGACGCAACAGAAGAACGACAGACCGAATACGGCAGGATCGCGTGTCTCAAAGCCGCGCGACAACTCATTAAAGTCTATCTGCCACTACGAACGACGTTTGGCATGTTCTCGTGCTGCATGACTAATTTTCAGGCATTCACGGCCGCCGTGATTCTCATCTTCAACATGTTTCTACGGTCGCCGGCTGTTGAGATGGAGGCTTTATCTGGCCGTACAGAGAGGGACTGGGGTTTGGTCGCCGATGTCATTGGGGTTCTGGATGCAGCAGTCGAACAGTTTGATGACAGAGTCGCTCTGCAGGCGCGCGACGTTTTGAAGCTCCTCCAGACAATTGAAAAGGATCCAAAGACACTACAAGGCGACAAGTTTCACTTCACGATACCTTACTTTGGAATCATTTCCATTGCGCGAAAGGGCCATGCAGGGGACCAGGGTGACGACCAACAAATGGCCGGTGGTGATGGTGAGAACGCCGACCAATTTGTGTCTCAAGGGACAGCGTTCCACTTGGACTATTCGCGGACCTTTATGACGACGATTGACTTTATGGGGCCAAGCACGGCGGCTGATGTTGACGAGCTGATGCAACAGTGGTTGGTGGAAGACATGTAACAATACCTGGGTATTATTCTGCGGAAGACAAGGATTCAGCTCAATATGGACAGCTCTTTGGTCACTAGGACTCAAAGTCTAGAGGGTGTGTGCATCATTCAACCCCCAGGCACTTTTCTCTTTTTCTTTATTTTTTTTTGTCTTACGTCTACATTATCTTTAACAGAGGGCGTTGAGCTTAACAATACAACCGATGGAACCTTGAAGTCATACCAAAAGCAAAAGGGCGCTGTATCTATTACTGTTTAATCAAGGTTGTGAGGGACAAGCAGACAACTAGGAAAATAAACAAAGATGGTTCATATTCTTACAACTGTTTACTTTCTGCACGCATGGAATTCGTCATTGCCCTCGGGCCTTTTCAAGGCGCACGATGAAACCGAGAACCGCCTATGGCTGTAGACACTGTTTCAAGGCTCTTAGAAGTGAGTCGGGATTCGCCTATTCGTATTCAATTAGTGCATCTCCAGGAACTAGTTAGACCCGCTCGCAACTTAATCGATATCTACTTGAAATCCCACGACGTTTAGTTCATGTCGGACTGCCTATCTGGGAAACTCTAGGCGAGAACTCACATACAGGCGTCACCATCATCGTGAATGGATACAATCCAGAGGTTGATACCACGCAGGGGGAGCAGTAAGTCAAAGGATCGGAGTCCCTTTTGGTGAGTTCCGGATCCCAAGAGCCTATTGTAAAACCCTTACCCGACTTCGGGAGTTATTAGACCTGGTAGAAAATCATCTTTCTCCAAGTCAGTCGAAAAAGGCAAAGAAAACGGATGCGAAAGATGACGAATGATGAGTATGTACTGACATGACCCGTAGCGCTGGAAGATTCCCCTTACTATTCCGAATCTAAACTAAAAAAACAATGAAAGGAGTATTACTGTTGAATCGTAGAGCATGCTACATAAGGGGGCTTAGTCGAAGAAGCCTGTACATCGGTTGCTGAGAGTCATTGTATTACTGATCTTATTGCCTCCGGGAAGGGAATCCGGATTTTTTGGAGATACCAGGGGGTAACTATACTGCAATATGTCCACATAGCTACTTTGCGTGTGAATATCCATTTTGTAGTCGAGATGTTGTGAGATGAAAAGAACCACCACATTGGAGATAATCCTGCATGGCACTGCTGCATGCAGCGCTTCAATTGATGACCATTCAAGGCTTTCGTCCAGGGCCATGATTCGGAGCAGGTCCGCGTGTAAATGAAGCAACACTTGCGGGTGTGTCCCGGCGCCGGCACTGCGGCTCCGTAGGAAGAGTAACCTCATCTTGAGAAACTAAATATAGGTGTGCCACTACATCGTGCATGCTCGTAGACAAAGCTGGAGATTAGTATTCCTCAGCCCTGTTTGTCCTCCCGATAAGACGCATCTCTCAAAAATACTAATTCACATCTGAGAAAGGACGGGAAATACTAGGAGTTAGTAACGGGGGATCATTAGACTCAGCCGTCGGGCTTATGCCACCCTGTCGACGGACCAATCTTTATTTTTATTTTTATTCCTTCATATCTATATTCACTCACCATCTTTATTTCTGTTCTTATACTATTTCCCATCCTCTGGTCTGCCAATGGCGCAAGCACTCCTACATCTTGTACGAGTACTGGCCATCCCATCTAATCAATGTCTCCAGCGCCCCATTGATGGTATTAATTTTTCCGTCTCCGTCTGTTTCAAGCCGCATGACTTCCATGGCTAACCCGTGTGAAAGCGTCGCATCGTAACTAGGGCCGCGCTAGATGTCTTCAGTCGCGAGATTGACGCAAAGACAGCGCCAACGCTGCCTTGATCACTCATCGCCTCGCTCTATCAGTTGTCGGGGTATAGTATTTATATACATCTTTTATCATCCAATCTCTATTCTTGCCCCTCATGTAATCACGAGAACGAGCACGAGCACGGAGCCGCACCAAGAACCCTCAGCCTCACTATTAGGCCCCGTGTCAGCATTCAAAACCCACACAAGGGGTAATTCCCATGGATTATCACTGCTAGTGTCTCCCAGCACTATGTCTGCTACCAAACGACAGTCGGCCAAGCCGCCGAACAGCGCCGCTTTGCCCCTGTGTCATAAAATTAGCACGGCAGACTAGTTCTTAGCTGTCCCTAACTATAGCTGCTCAAAGTGGACTTCCGACTGCCGATCGGTGTCAAACGCAGTGGGGAGAGAGGTGCTGTTTCTATTTGTCCGACCAATCGATCTGGAGTATCTTTGATGATCAGGACCGCTGGTCAAAGGCCACAGTAAGCCGGCTGTGGCCCCGTTCATCACGGAGGCTGGCCTTTACGGGCAAACGTCCAGCTGGTTGTCAGAGATCGGCGGAGTTGTGCTGTCACGATCTGCGCAGATGCCTCTTGTATGTCCCGTCTAGGCAGGACGTGATGGACGAGACGGTCTGGAAATGACAGCTAGGGCTTCTAGTAGGGCCATCGGCCCGATGGGGGGCATGAACTGCTTGGGCTGAATAGGATGACTAGGGATCGAGCGGTAAGATGAGCAAAGTTCTTTATATAGATGGCGATGTTATTCTAGTGAGCACCTCTGACGGCTTGATCACGCGGTCAAGGTGGTCGTAACCAGCCACCAAGGTACTGATTGCTTCTTTAATACGGGCAGCGTCTCGTTATCCATTCCTTTTTTGCAGTATCCTTTTTTATACTCTCGTTTCCTGTCACTCATTTCTCGCCATGTTGAAGTCACTGGCCTTTGTGGCCGCCCTTCTGGGTGCCGTCACGGCCTCGCCAACACTGGCCCGCCATGAGGATCGATCTCTCCAGCCTCGAGCCAACACATCCTTCTGGTATGCTGCCATGGACCACACCGGCCAGTACAAAGGCTATGCTCCCCACGCGCCGAGCCCCAGCTCCTACAATGTTTTCGTTGCTGTGAATGCTGGAGATGCTGGCTCTCTCCAGAGTGCCATCGACTCAGCCGGCAGCAGCAACCGACAGAATGAATGGCTGGCATCTCAGCCTCGAGTTGTGTATATTCCCCCGGGAACCTACACGCTTTCGCAGACGCTCAACATGCGCACCGACACTATCCTCATGGGCGATGCCACTAACCCCCCCATCATCAAGGCTGCGTCTGGCTTCAGCGGCAACTACCTTGTCAACGGCCAGGATCCCTCCACAGGCGTCTCCGGCGAGCTCTCGTTTGCAGTTGGATTGAAGAACTTGGTCCTGGACACCACGGCCGTCAGCGGAACCTCCAGCATCTCTGCCCTTTACTGGGGAGTTGCCCAGGCCGCTCAGCTGCAGAATGTCAAGATTGTTCTTGCGCCCTCCAGCGGTGGGAAGGGCCACACTGGTATCCAGCTTGGTCGTGGATCTACTCTTGGCCTTGCCGATGTGCGAATTGAGAACGGCCAGAACGGTATCTGGCACAATGGCCACCAACAAGCTCTGTACAAGAGCATCTACTTTTACAAGAACACGATTGGCATGCTGATTAGCGGAGGCAACACCATCACTCTGCTGAACCCGACCTTTGATACTGTTGGCACTGGTGTTTCCAACACTGGCGGCAGCCCCTTTGTCGGTATTGTCGATGCCAAGTCGATCAACTCGGGCGTTACCTTCACCACCACCGTCTACCCCTCGATCGTCATTGACAACCTGAGCAAGGACACCAGCTCCGATGTCGTCGTCCTCCGCGGCACAACGGCTCTCAAGTCGTCCAGCAAGATTGTCAACTACAGCTACGGAAACACCGTCGGCCGCAGCCCCATCTTCGGCGCCGTCTCCGGCACCACTGCCCGTCCGGCCGGCGTTGCCCCCGGCGGCCGCATCCCCGCCGTTGTTGTGCCCAACTATGCTCAAAACCCAGTCACCGACTTTGTCAACGTCAAGGATCCCAGCCAGAACGGCGGGCAAACGGTCAAGGGCGATGGCAGCACCGATGATTCGGCAGCCCTCAACAAGGTGCTCCAGTTTGCTGCTGCTAATAACAAGATTGCCTACTTCCCCTTTGGCGACTACCGCGTCCTGTCCACTCTCGTGGTTCCCGTTGGCTCTCGTCTTGTTGGCGAGGCTTGGGCAACCATCTCCGGTGGCGGCAGCTTCTTCAAGGACGCCTCCAACCCCAAGCCCGTCGTTCAGGTCGGTAACGCTGGCGATGTTGGCGTTGCCCAGCTGCAGGATTTCCGCTTCACCGTCTCTGATGTGCTCCCCGGCGCCATCATCGTCGAGTTCAACGCCGCTGGTAGCAATGCTGGCGATGTTGCGCTGTTCAACTCGCTCATCACTGTCGGTGGAACTCGCGGTGCCGATGGCCTGACTAACACCTGCGGCAAGGCCAACGCTGAGTGCCAGGCTGCTTTCCTCGGCCTCCACTTCACCAAGACCTCGTCAGCCTACGTCGAGAACACCTGGAACTGGGTTGCCGACCACATCACCGAGGGCTTCAGCGGCGGCTCCAACATTGCCGCCAAGGGAGGCGCCTTGGTCGAGTCGACAAAGGGAACCTGGCTGCATGGACTCGGCAGCGAGCACTGGTGGCTGTACCAGCTCAACCTTCGCTCTGCCAGCAACGTCGTTGTCTCTCTCCTCCAGAGTGAGACCAACTACGACCAGGGTGACAACACTCAGCAGGTTCCTCCCGCTCCCTGGAAGGTCGATGTCAATGGCTGGGGTGATCCTGATTTCTCCTGGTGTGACAGCACTGCCCGTTGCCACATGGGCCTTGCCAACTATGTCCAGGGCGGCTCCAACATCTACTACTTCGGCTCTGCTTCTTGGGCTTTCTTCAGCGGTCCGGGATACCAGGGTTGCGCTTCTGGCGGTTACCAGTGCCAGGGTAAGTTGACATATACTACTCCGGATAGACATTATAAGAGGACATTGTGCTAACATTTGTGATAGACTACATGCACGTCATCAAGACTGCTCCCACCAACCTCCAGATGTACGGCATGTGCGCCAAGGACACCAGCGTCGCTCTTCGCCTGGCAAATGGTACCAACATCAATGCCCAGCCCGACTTCACTGGAGGCTGGAGCCCTGGTAGCGATGTTGGCCGCTACACCACCTAGATATCGACATAGGAAAGGACCTTCTAACGGAGGAGACATGATGTATATATGTTAATGTTGGTTTGCATATAGTATTAATTTCGTAGCAGTATACCAGGAATTTTCCCATGTATTGCTCTTTTAGAGCTTCATTGCGTGCAGATGGCATCATGCCTGTGTTGTGTCTCTACGTGGCTCGTTGTTATTTCCATGTTATTTCACGTGTGATCTAAAGGAGTCTATTATATGCATACTACATGCACGCCCATATAAAAGGAAATGACAGATAGGTGAAATATTACACATGTCACATTAAGGTTCTCTCCCTGCTAATGCATCTAATCATCCACCATTATTCCTTTTGAATAAGGCGTCAGCAGCTGAATGCATCGTTTAGTTAATACGAGATATTGCGGAGTTCCCATTATATCCGATTAGTGGCTGTACGATACGCATGTAAATATAAAGACAGGCGTCGCTGCGTAAAACAACGAAAGATTCCATTCATCCATTACACCCGTTTGGCAAAACACTTCAACTTTATTCGCACTTTTAGCCATGGTAACTGCTTCGGCTTCGTCGCTGGACGACATTACGAATGAAGAACTTCGCGGCTGGGTGGAACTTATAAAGCAAATACGAGCTACTGCCGACGCAAGCATCAAGAAAGAGGAAGCAGAAGGCGTGTCCTTTGATCAACGAGTCTTTGACGACTATCCTTTCATCAAGGCGCCCGCATCGCAAGATGCCATCCAGCAACAGGAAGCGACGCTCCAAACGACGCTGCCAGATGACTACAAGCAATTCCTTCAGGTCACGAATGGTACAGGATGGACTGGTATTGGCTGGATTCCGTCGTTGTGTGGTGTTGAACAACTGCGGTGGGAACAAGCGGACGCTGTAGGATTTGAATCGCTGCGCGTGGAAACTTTCCCGCCCAGTGTGACGTCTCTAGGGGAGACGATATCGTTGACCAGCGAAGAGTTTGATGAAGCTCCGCCGCTGGAGCGAGTATTGAGGATCAGCGATGAAGATGAGGATACTATTGTCTTCTTACTAGAGCCCGAGTATGTACGAAAGACGTGGGTGTGGTTGGCTGGGAAGAGAGGGATCGAAGTTAAAGATGCGCCAGGCCAGTGGCTGTAAGTTCTTGACAACTGTCTCAAAGCCATCCGTTTATCCTAATTTCTTTATTTGCTAACTCGCTGGCCTCAGCTTATTCGTGTTTGTACCTTGGATGGCAAGCACCAAAGTGCATCCCACTTTTGAAGGATACATGCGAACCAGAGTCAGAACCATCAAGGCGTAATTGAACAAGGGCTCAGATAAAAAATCCCAACAATATATATTGAACAGCAATCAACTGATGAACCATCGCTCGTATCAAAAGATCTCTCTAGTTGTTACACTTGCCTAGCTTTGAACAGCTAGCGCCGAGTCGTTGAACTAGCAAGTGATACAGTCTCATGAGTTTGAACACATCTCATGACTGCAAGCTGCTGACAGATGCGCCTTAGATTTGGCATGTGAATTTGTCAGCCGACACATTCCGGCAGTTGATGCCAGATAACTGAATTCTCATAAACTGTATTTAAATAAATCGCCTTGAAATTCTCTTAAAGAATTAAAAAAGAAAAGAACTAATGAATAGGTCTCTTAATGGGCACAGAATTTGCTTCTTACAATAACAAGCAATAATGGAGCAAATATCCGGAATAATTGAGCGGGGTCTTCCCAACGCCGTCGTCTACGATCTCACAACGCCGAACGAAGTTACAGTCACGCTTCCATCAAGATCAACCTGGTCCAGCGGTCTTCACTGGCACGAAACCCACACAGAATATCTCAAGGTCATCAAAGGCAGCATAAAGGTCCGCCTAGGGGATACCGAGCAAATCATCACCGCGAGTAAAACGAACCAGCCCGAAATCAAGGTTGAGCGATACGCCTGGCATGAATGGCAGCGAGCGCAACTAGACGGAGAAGAAGTCATCGTTATTGAGAGGACAGACCCAGAGGATGGCGAAAAAGCCTTGTTTTTCTGGAACCTCAATGGAATCATTCTGAATGCAGGGAGAGTCATCAGTACGAATGTGCCAGGGTTCTCCTTCTTCCCTGCGACGATAAAGGACTTGATCATTGACTTTTGGATCACGTTCAACCTCTTTATCGTGTTTCACTCTTTGGACAACTTCCCAGTCATTTTGAGTACGACGAAATTCTGGAACGGAAAGGCATCGCGCGCAAAGGCGGGTCCATCAGCAGATTGGTTTGTATCTCATGTATTGTTGTCGCTTGCTTCTTGGGCAGGTCGCATTTTTGGACTGCGGGCTGTAAGGCCAGAGTATACGCCTGCTCAGCACTATCAGCGTTGGAAATCACATAATTATCTTGAAAAGTCGAAGGAATCTTGATGAATGGTGTGCTTTCAGTTTTTAATGCGGGCCTTAATGCGATGTATATGGGTGTGTATCGGTCTGCAGGTGAGAGATGGGCGCTCTATTTGGGAATTGGAGATGATATTCTCTAACGGGTTATACAAAAAGATTTATAGGTACATAGTCTTATTAAGTACCATCAGGTTTCATGTTTTAAATCGATACTTTGCCGAAGAATTATTATGCCTGCGCTATTGGAATGCTCTCTCAATTATTGATTCCCCGCTGGATTTAAGCTTACCATTGTGCATGTTGATCTCCTGGAGCTGACTGGATGTTTTGTTTCGTACCTGCGTCTTTGTGAAACAGGAGCAACAGAAATGGAGCACGTTCATACCTACACTTTTCTGCTGATCTTTGTCGTCTCTTCAAAAGGTGTGCTCAGCTTCTTTTCCTGCGTACGTACACTTTCAACGGATGGGAAGGATGCATGGCACTGTTTCATTCAATGTTTGCTGCATCCCCAGATTATTAATTAACCGGCAGATTGACCCTCTTTCTGTTCAATTATCCGTTTAACAAGTGAGATTTCCCATAGTCTATGGACTCTCATGACGCAACATGCACACATAAGTCCCTGTATGCATCGTCCCAGAATTATGGAGCTTCAATGTTACCGTACACTTGAGAGAATGATCACCGCCACTACACAAGACACAAGCCAATACAGTTTCCTGATTTCTTGCACCCTGTCTCTTACAACTCAGTGTGACATGATGAGAATATCAGTTAATTGAGATTCTAGACACCCCAAATAATGGAGCTCAGCATTCCCGATGTTATCTCCAGTTGGAGCGCTTCATTTCCAACCTAACTGTACGGGGGAACTGGTAGTTTCCGCGATGGGGCTCATCTGCATGAAGTTTCAAAAATCCCTTGCCCAGGCAAGATCGCGATTGGTGACACGAGGAATCGTGGGGAAACCTCTGCCGGGAGAAGCGGCATTTCAGAGTCCGGGGGTCATGCCATGGTTTCCCAACCCAATGAAGTCATTCGCATCCCCCCAGAGGCAACCTGCGATGACCAACACAAATCACTACTACATCGGGTGATCGACACAGTTATGACTGCATTTGCCGTTTTACAGGACGTGAGCCGTGTAACAATGACCGAGCTTTGTTCCGGACCCCTCATTGATGTCTCACACGAGGCAAGCATGGTTGAGAATTTAGACATAAAAGCGGCAAGGAATGGCGGCAGGAAGGGAGGATTGCGCCTTTCATTCGGTGGCCTTTTGAAGACGTCTCGCAAGTGTGTCCAGCTGGAGCTCAGCTGATGGCCTCTGTAACTTTTACGATTCCATTGCCATCAGAGGAAATATTCAACTATTGCCAAACACAAGAGGAAGCCTCGCGTCTCAGTCATGAGATCCATGAGGGCTCTCTTTACCGCGCTCAGCATATTTGCGGGCGCGGCAGTGGCCACCACAGAAAGTACTGGCAAAGCATCAATTCACGATCTTGCTTTACAGAAATGGACTGTGACGAATGAATACGGCAACATCACCGTGCCGGGCAAGTTCCCTTCGCAGGCTCATCTAGATCTTCATGCAGCTGGTGTGATTGGTGAGTCGAGACATAGCATACGATTGCCTACTTTGGATTATACTAACGGGGAAACGCATAGATGAACCGTGAGATTTCCTTCTTAATGGCTTGTATGGTCAATTGAAGAGGCGAGACTGACGTGATGATACTAGGAACGATGGCTTAAATGACTTTGACCTGCGATGGATTGCGGCTCAGAACTGGACATATACCAGCAAGCCAATTAGCGGACTGTGAGTTTACCTATGTTTAGTAGACGATGAATTAACCAGAACAAATATGCTAACAGTGAGTCTAGGAGTAAACATTCGGACATAGCTACGTGGCTAGTGTTTGATGGCTTAGATACATATGCAACGGTCAAGTTCTGTGACCACATTGTTGGAACACCAGATAACCAGTTCCGACAATGGTTTTATGATGTCTCGTCTGCTCTTGCTAGCTGCAAGAGTGACCCTGTTCTCAGCATCAACTTTGGCAGCGTGCCTCGCATCATCAATGCCATCAACGCAAGCGATGAAGTCCAGCGTAAGCCATATAATCACTCATCTCGAGGAAACTGTGTTAACTCTGGGATTGCATAGACTGGCCTGCTTCGGTGGTTTATCCATTCGAGTATCCAAACCGGCAATGGGTCCGCAAGGAACAGAATGACTTTGGTTGGGATTGGGGCCCAGCCTTTTCTCCCGTAGGACCTTGGCAGCCGGGCCGCATTGTCCAGCTTAGCAAAGGCGGCGAATTGTACTCTCTCAACACCGACATTGACATCTTCCGCAAAGGCCAGTTCAACAACTTTGCTCCTGACCAGACTGCTCCGTGGGTGGTGAACGCGAGTCTCGATTTCTTGGGAACCCTTCCAAAGCATGCCTCCATGTCGGTCATCATTACTGATGCCAGTGACAGCCGCTCAGTATTGTACTCGGGCAAACTGGAGGGAGTGACACAGTCCGACATGACCGTCACTGGTTCTGTGACAATAGATGCCCACAAACCCAAGCTGTGGTGGCCTCGAGACATGGGCAATCAGCAGCTATACAACATAACAGTCTCTGTCAGCAGCGCAGGGTCTAAGACACCTATTCTTGTCTCTCAGCGGCGTGTTGGTTTCCGAGCCATCTTGTTTAGCTCAGGAAATATTACAGATGCCCAAATCGCCAGCGGCATCACCCCTGGAAACAACTGGCATTTTGAGATCAATGGCCATGAGTTTTACGCCAAGGGTGCCAATCTGATCCCTCCCGATGCTTTCTGGCCACGAGTCACTTCGGATAGAATGAATCGCCTATTCGACTCAGTTGAATCGCAGAACTTCAACATGCTACGCGTGTGGTCCTCGGGTACATACTTGCCCGACTGGATCTACGACATTGCTGATGAGCGCGGTGTATTGCTTTGGAGCGAGTTCCAGTTCAGTGATACCTTGTATCCAGACAGCGATGATTTCAAGGCCAATGTTGTTGGTGAGATTACTTACAACGTCCGTCGGTTGAACCACCATGCTTCTTTGGCATGCTGGATGGGTGGCAATGAGTTTGAGAACTTGATGCTGCCCATAGCTCAGGGCGCCGATCCTGCAACTTACCCATACGTCCTAGGCCAGTATGAGAACCTCTTCATTACTACGCTTTTCAATGTTTTGGCTGCAAACAGCCACTCTATCTCGTACAGTCCTTGCAGTGCAAACAATGGCTGGCTGGAGATTGATCTTGATCTTCCCGTGCCTATTGTTGAGCGGTATTACAACACTACCAGCGGTCACATCTACGGCGACACCGACTTTTACAATTACGACACATCAGTTTCTTTTGATACTTCTGCATACCCAGTTGGCCGCTTCGCCAACGAGTTTGGTTTTATCAGCATGCCCAGCATTCAGACGTGGCAACAGGCCGTTGATCCTGAAGAACTCTCCTTCAACTCGACAACGGTCATTCTAAGAAACCATCACTACCCAGCTGGTGGACTGACTAGAAATATTCACAACAGCACTTTAGGCCAAGTCGAAATGACGCTGGCTGTTGAGCGGTACTATCCGACCCCGGACAAGACCGATCCAGTGGCCAATTTTAGCTCCTGGTGCCACGCTACTCAGCTGTTCCAAGCAGACATGTACAAATCTGAGATTCAATTCTACAGACGTGGCAGTGGCTTGCCAGAGAGACAACTTGGCTCTCTGTATTGGCAGCTCAACGATATTTGGCAAGCCCCGACCTGGGCTGGTCTAGAGTACGACGGACGCTGGAAGGTGTTACCATATGTTTCTCGCAGGACTTACGAGCATGTCATTGCATCTGCTTTCTGGAACTATACGGCCAATGAGTTGGAAATTTGGGTGACGTCTGATCTCTGGGAGCCTGTGGCTGGCGAAGTATCTTTGACTTGGGTTGATCTGAAGGGCAAGCCTATTGCCAACAACGCGGGAATGACGAAATCGACCAAGTTTAACGTGGGCGCCATCAACACCACACAGATCATCACAGCCAACATACAGTCGGATCTTAAGATCCCGGATACTAGTGACGCTGTTTTGGTCATTGAACTTACAGCCCACGGCAAGCTCCCCAACGCAGCTAGCAGCAAGACGACAACCTTTACTCACCACAACCACTTCCTTCCCGTGTGGCCAAATCAAGCCAAGGTGTCAGATCCCAAGCTACACTTGTCATACAACAAGTCTACAAAGAAGTTCACTGTGGAAGCTACAGCTGGTGTATCTCTCTATACTTGGCTGACGCACCCAGCTGGTGTTTTGGGCTTCTTCGACGACAATGCATTTGTTTTGAGGCCTGGCGAGAAGAAGGAGGTTGGATTTACTCTTCAGCAAGACACTACGGGTGGGAAGTGGACTGAACAGGTGACGGTGGAGAGCTTGTGGGATTTGACCACGCCATGATTAGTTGAGATAATGGTATAGGTTTAACAGATTATATGACTATCATCCTTGTGCGCAAATTAGGTGACTTGCTATGACGATGGCAGTGACAATGGTAAACATGTGTTGTAAAAACTCTATGCTGCTCTATCTGCTTAAAATCTATTGCCCTGGTGCTGTCTTTGAAGTGTATACTGTCTCCGAATCGCCCGACTGTGATTTAAACGTAATGGTTTCATCTTCGTTGATGATAATCTCCGTCACTTTACCCTCATCTTCCTCTCTCAAGATATGTTGCTTAAATCCAGCCGTCTCTTCCATCTCATACAACCTATTAGTCGTCGCCTTCGCAACAGCTACCGTCGCTAGGGTAGCAAGTACGACTAAAACAGGACCACCCGAGATCACTGCAATCTCGGCCAAGAGCATCCCAGCCTCTCAGGTGAAACGCCCTTCTCAATGGCATCAAACGCGCCGCGAAAGTTTTGCGGGTTGCTGTAGTAGAGCGTCTTCATGTCTTGGCTATACCAGGAGATGAACCACCAATCGCGGCCTGTGGTGAAGAAACCGGTGTTGTATTCAACTTTGAGAGATTCAGTGGAGGAGTCGCTGGCGGGTATGGCGGCCCATTCTTTGCGGTGCTTGTAGACGTCGCTGTATTTGTGGATGAGGGAGATGCTGACGATGGGGTTGGAGGTGTTGTTGCGGATAGAGACGGAGGCGGTGCGCTTGGTTGTTTCTATGGCTGTGGTGATAATTAGATGAGATATATGACTTTATGAGATTCAATTTGCTTTACAATTTGCTTTGCGATTAAGAGGTATCTGATGGGAACAGATTGACCGCATTTATAATTTTCGTTGTTGTCTCCATGTAAGTTACAATACATCCAGCCGCCGTCTCTGGCTGCGTGTCTCAGTTGCCCAAGCAGTCACATTATGATATCATGAAGCCACACCTGAAGTCTCACCATAGCCATGACGAGATCTCCATTAAGGCCCCATGCCTGCAAGATATTGCTAGTAAAGAGCACCTATTGGTGGAAACATGAGAGGGCGTTTCTCTGCGTTAACAAGGGTTTTGTTTGTGTGGTTGGGGGAGGCTTCAAGACAGAAGCTGAAAACTAGACAGCGAAAGCTCCACTTGCTTAACTTCATCCGATTAGTAGAGATGCAAGATGTTGGCACGGGCCGGTCAGACCCTGGAACTATATTTGCGATTGGTAAAGGGGACTTGTAGGTAGTACAAGTGCCGAAATCATAAATCTAGACCCTGTTGTATCTGAAGTGATCTAGTTGACGGCTTAGTCTCGCGAGCAGAGCGTGATCTAAGGCTGTGGAACTACGGAACATGTCTAATGAGTGAGGCATAACAATGCCAGCTTTCAAAATCCTTTGTGAATATGAAAGACTTGCATCAGATGAGCTGAACGAGCCTCCAGAGCTGACGGCAAGCCACTAGCACGGTCGTTGTCTTTGTCACATTTATACAGTTCATAGTACTGACAGTTCAGAGGCTATCAGCCTACGAATACGTCTTTATAAATAAATTCGCTCCACTCTATCCGGCTTTGAGTTATGCATAATTTATAGCACAGTACTTCAATGTTTCCAGGCTTCTGTGCTTTTGTTACCTTTAAAACTACAATTCTTTTCTTTGAAGATAAACAGAACTACTAGCGAACAATCTTTGTTTTGTAGAATGTGTGTATTTGTTCAGACTCCCGGTGAATTATGGTTGTCAGGTCATCAAAGGAGAAAAGCTCTCTTTCAAAGGCATTATGTTCAGCCATTGTTACAGTAACGCCTTTTCTGTTCGTCCATTCCTATGATCCCATCGACTTAAAAAGCGAGAACCGACGCATATAGGCCATAAGTAAACTGCATATTGGTCTCTCGACTACTCTTCAAACCAGATCGATCGCAGGATATCCCATTCCTAGTTATCTTCCCACTATGGCTCTATTGAAACCTCAACCTACTACTCGCCCTCGAGGTGACTCCGTCAGCTCTGATTCGTCTTTCCGCTCTGCAATTTCTTTTCATTCCGACACCTCTTATCAGTCTGCTAGCTCTTTCGTAGCTGTTGGGTTTGCCGAAGCCGTTGAGCCTCCCGGATTTGCTACGTCTCCTGGCAACAATGGTCCTACAACTCATGGTCGACGTAACTCTACTACCTCACCGAGCTCTACTGACTCTGGCGTTTACATGAGCTCTGGAACTCCTTTGCATTCCGACAATACCGCTGGCCCATCTAACTCTAATCCGAGCTCTTCCATTCCCTCTGCTAGTTCTACTAGCTCTGTACACCTACATCATACCGAATCTACTAACTCTAACCCATCCGCTGACTCTGACAGCCCCAGTGTTTCTACTACCTCCAGCACCACCAAAGATGACGCAGGAAATCAGCAGAGCCGAAATGAGGGAGCTCACTCAGACTGAGAATATGCAGAATCCGCCAAGCCGTACATGATTACAAATTGAGTGATCCTGCAGCTCAAGGGAAGTTATTTAACAAAAACTAGTTTACTACTGAGGGCTAGGCGGTGGCTTCGCGCATGGTGTTTACACAACGGCAAGTATCTATCCTATGATATGTGCGATTATTTCTTGGAGGTGGTTCAGGAAATTTATCTTTCGTTTTGGATAGAGAAATCTGGAAAAATAGATTGTTGAATTAATGAATTGACCGATAAGAATTTTAAGCAATTGTATTCACTTGTCATATTTTTTCCCTTTTTGATCGTATTGACAATTCAACGTCTGTAGTCGTAAGGACGTGCCGGCGTAATTTTAGGGCCATGCGGAACCAATAGACGAAGTATATTTCCATTTACGTGGTCAATTCTTGCTACCATACCCGGTTAATTATTTATAATGACTTATTCAGCCATTTGCAATTCTCTATTTTAATATGATTGGTTGCTAGCAAGAGGTTTATGCTACAAACGCCGCGCAATACCTCGCTCTATACAACGGGTACGATTAGTAGCGAAACGTCAGCGCCCCCAACGGTTAAATACGATATATGGGTCGTGGAAATCCTCCACGCAAGCGATGCTGGAATTAGCTGCAACTAGCTTTTAGTGACTTATAACGATGGATCGAGCTGACGAAATGGCCTACGAAGTGGCATACGAACTCCCCGGCTTCGGCTTCGGCTCCGGCTCCGGCTCGAGGAGTTTGAGTTTCGTAAACTTCAAGTATAAGACTAGAAACTGGTATCTATTCCTTGCGAGATTCAATCACCAGAACCATATATACCCTTCATTAATTAAGCAATCGAATGCTTCTGAATTTCATCAGAATTTAAGACTTCTGACATACCGCACACTCATCGTTGGCCGTTTCAAAGCAGCCTATACCTTTCATAATTAGAAACTCGTCTATAAGTCAGAGATACTCCACCATGCTCATCAAGCAAACCACATCGGCATTCTTTAGTCAACTCGACGAACTAATTCGTTCCGAAAATGACGGCAAATCTAGCTCGGCCTCTGTTTTGGCCAAGCTTGGGACGCCTTGTGCCTCGGTTGCTATTATGGAAGACGGCGTCATATCGTCCCACTGCTTCTCAGCTGGACTAGAAAACACAGAGACTGTTTTTCAAGCTTGCAGTATATCGAAACCAACATTTGCGGTTGCATTGCTGAAGCTCGTTGACGAGGGCAAGATTACACTCGACACCCGCATTGGCGATGTACTACCACAAGATGTATTAAATGCCTTGACAAAAGACACTTCTGCTGCCGAGAGCTCTGCCGTCAAGGGAATTACCATTTCACAACTTCTAAGCCATACTTCTGGCCTCTCTCAAGGTGGCTTCCCCGGTTATTCTGTCTTGGACGATTCTCGAATTCCAACACTGCGCGAAGTTTTATCCGGAGCGAATCCTGTCAACACTCTGGATGTGCACTTGCAAGGGTTCCCTGGCCAGTCGTACTCTTACTCAGGCGGCGGTTTCGCAGTACTTCAACTTGTCTTTGAGACCATCACCAAGAAAGATTTCGCCACGGCAATGCATGATATCCTACTAGGACCTTTGGGAATGACGAGATCCTCATTCCACCCGTTACCGACTCAAGAGAAGAATGCAGCCAAATGCCATTGGAATGGCTATACTCCCTGCGAAGATGCTCAGCGAGTCAACCCTGAACAAGCTGCTGCAGGTTTATGGACTACACCAAGTGACCTCTTGAAGCTTGTCAGAGCTGTACAACAGTCTCTCCAACGTTCCGACAACACTGGCTTTCTTCGACAAGAAACAGCTAAGAGTATGCTGACAGTAGTGAAATCAGATGTCGCTCTCTCATGGTTTATTCCTGGAGACCTGAAGACTGTCTTTAGCCACGGCGGTAGCAATTGGCCAGGCTTTAGAACTTATGTTGCTGGATACGCCGATCTTCCGGGGGCAGCCAAGGTAAAGATACCAGAAAACTGCGGCATCTCCATCATGACGAACGCCGTTGAGGGAGACATTGTGGTATGGAAACTACTTCAGGCTATTGCGTATTTGAAGAAATGGCCAGAGATCCCTTTGCCGCTAGGTTATACAAGAGTCCTGCCATTCAGAGCCCACAGAGGCGAAACCGGCACGCAGTGGAAGCGTTGGTTGGGTAAGTGGACATGTGGTGAAAAGGGTTGGAGCATTGAAGCCAATGAAAGTGGGAACCCGACGATTCGATATGGCCAATTGTCACCCTTCCCATTGGTATCAGCAGCAATGTCGGCTACGATTAGGGATGGCAAAACACAAGCTACTAACCTGATGGTAAGCGGACTAGACGTTCTGGTATACTTTTGTGAAGACGATACAATCGAGATAGTCAAGGGAAGGGGTCAGCAAACTACCAAGTTGACTAGGGCATGAGTTTGTCTACGCACAATTTTCTAAATGTAGAGGTATATTATACGAACGCGCCTGTTTGCATATATTCAAAATTTTTTAATTCTGATGCATTTGTCTATTCATGCTAATTATTGATTCGAGCATCAACATGAGTTTGATTGCCAACTCTTAAGTGATATTTACCCCCTTTTCATCCAGTTTTCCTGTCCCAACAACAAACTACACCATTGGCAACACCCATCACGAGAAAAGCAATCATTCGAGAATCAAGCTCTTCCTCATTGACCACCAACGCGAACCTGCCAGCCAGTGTGTGAAATTCCGATTTTGCTCTCTAATAGCTTGAGGAGAAAAATGCTAGATGAGTCAATCGCAAAGAGGAGTGAGTGGCCATCGTTACTCTGCCGCGCCTCAAACTTGCCATTTGGCGAGATGATCTCTATTCGGTCATAGTTATGCGTTAATTCTGTAGATGTCGTCAGCTTGCTAACAGTGCCAGTTTTGGGAAGGGGTTGAAAAGTCGATCAGAAACACACTGGGGGTCGTTTGGGGGTCCGGGTTAAGACTGACCATGTAATTGTTGAGACGGGGAATACTGGCTATCAAGTCTTGATGCTTGGAGAAGAAGGGGTCTTGATATGTAAAGGGTTGGGCTCCAGGAAATATGAAGCGGTTTGGCTGACAGATGTCTATTAGGCTCATCTCGGCAGGCCTCAGATCATCCATCATCTGTCGGAGGTTGTAAAAGAAGCCTTTCTTCGCGGTCTCGGTATCGGAGCTGTCACTGTCGCCGTATTCCCAGCATTGTTCAGATTTGTCGTCAGACGCGCAACTCGTTCTACCCAAATAAAACCCTCCACCTTGACGGACAGACAACGAGTATTTCTCTGTCAAATACTTGTCGTACGGCTTGTGCTCTGCATAATCCCAGTTTTGGTGTGGGAACTCGGCAGCGACCGCGGCAGTAACCCACAAGCGCTGCTCAATCCTGACTTCTTGCCCTTCGAAATAGACACCACAAGAATAGCCGGGGTGAATATCTACCTTGGCATACTTGATACCTTGGCCGATATAAACTTCCATCCCATTGCTCTGGTCATCCCAGGACTGTAGAGGCTCACTCGGAGGGACTCCCGCCTGGATATGGAGCACACGGCTGCTGTCGTCATTTGTAAGATCAGCTGTCGCATCACTAAGCCACTCTCCCTTGAGCAATTGTAGGCGGTAGTTGTCTTCTTTCCGAGCAACCGGTTCATACATGTAACGAGGAGCTAGACGCTTAAGGACATCCAGGAAGAATTGAGCCACTACATTGCGGCGAATTGCAATGACACCACTCTTATTGTTGACGTCCTCGGGTCGCACCCAATTCCAATTGAAGCCTGAAACATTCGGCACTCTATTGTGGTTGATGGCGCCGATATAGTTAAGCGTGGCGATTGCTTGTTCGGATGAGGAAGGAGATGATAGAGGGTTACCGGAGCTGTCTCTGGGCGGATTCACCACCTCCCCCGTTGCTGTCATGTACAGAGACGGGTCATGGTTGGGATTTGCGACAGCCGAGACGGCGAGGGGCGGAAAGCTGTGTCTATGGGCAAATTGTAAATACCCGTCGAAGAGACAATGTACCAGGCAACCACCAGCTTTTGTTTTCATATCCATGCCTGGAAAATTGACATCATCTCGCGGTTCGGTGGGCATCCAGTCGAGACGGAGCTGCTAAAGACTGAAATCTGTATCAGACAGATTTTCCAGCGCACGCATGAATTGAAACTTGGCGTCTGGGTGATTGTTGAAATAAGGGTCGTCGAGGTTTCGGCTGAGATTGCTCAGGACGAGATCGACGGTGCACGAAGCTGCCCACGGTTTATCGCTGGGCTGCTTCCAAATATTCCAGCTGCCTGAATATCCCCACTTCACAGGATCGTTTTCAATGACAGTAATATCTGAATAGTACATGTTGAAATCGACACTGCGGAGGTTTTGACCCAAGTTGACAATGGACAAGTCTCTTGGGTTAACGTTTCGCGGTATCCCTATCCGCATCTTGATGCCAACTTGGAAAAGGGCATTAGTGCAGGCGGTTATTCTTGGGTCATCATAAGGGGTGCCTTTGGGGATATCAAACGGGCTGATGCCGCCAGTCTGCTTCATCAATTCTTCCAGGGTGATTGGGTCCTCCAGGTCACCGGTCGTCGGGTTTACCAGGTAGCATAGATACTTGACTTCCTGGCGTGCTTGATCTATAAATTGTACCATGCCAGGATTTATGCTAGCCTGCGTTGTAGCCACGACAAAGTCGCAGCCAAGGTTGGTGAGATTGCTTGATGCGCTATCCATGATTTGGTAGAAATAAAAGGAAAAGGAGAATTGGCTCTAAGCGTGATGTGTGATGTAGTAATTGTAATAGAGGAGATTGGTATGAGGAGAAGGGAGGGAACAGCAATTGTGATGCCTGTGACATGGCCTGATTGCCAATTTTATAGTTCGATTTTACTCTCCGTACGAGATGCGCCAGTCAGCCTACGTCTGTTGCATAGTATTGAACGCCTTTCGATGACCGCGCTCAAACAAACTATCTCATACCAAGTGGGACGACTCAATATGGACTCCAGCCTCTATTTGCTGGATGATACGCTGACAATTAACGCTCATGCAAGCTGAGAGCTGAATCTCCTCCACAATTTGAAGTCTCATTGCCTTGAACCGTTCTTCAGCTGGCCTTTTTCGAGCGGATGATTTCCCGATGAAGACGTAGAGCACTCGCTCTGCAGGACGCGAAGCCGCGGCCGTCTACCAATCATTTCGTCCAGCAGAACCCTGTCCTGAATTTCTGTGCAGCGCTGAGCCAAGACCTGCCGCAGCAGCGGGGTTGGAGGGGCGAGGCGATGCGGTTTGTGAGTTAAAGCTTCCTGGTTGTTGGGCCATTGGGTCGGCATTGGCGTATAAAGAATGGCAATCAAAAGATAGATTGTATGTATCAACAGCCTATAGGAACGTTGAAGTACATCTTCGGCGTTGGTTGAGCCGTAATTGAGCTCAATACTAGTCATGATGAAGAATAGTGGCATCCTCCCGGCCACCAGCCAGCGGAGACAAATCCATAGCCATTCAGTTTTCATGTCCTGGGATAGCGAACTTGTGGGCCTGCGTATATTTAGGCGCGTGTTAGTATTAAATACAAGGCCATATGTACCGTGTAGGTGACTTAGAGCCTATAGATGCAGTACAGAATCTTATGGTTGAGCCAAAGTGTTAACGCTAGAAATGCGTTCACTAACCCAGCCGTCGTCGCATCCCATAAGACCAATCTTCAAGGATTTTTGGTGTACAGATAATTAAAGGAGTATTAAACGTTTGGTTGTATTCCAACAACATATTGAGACTTGTTACTAGTTACAATCTGTGAATCCTAGTGAGTGTAAAGAAAGAAAATAACAGCAGACTGACAATCACTTGACAATCACGTCCAATTATAGATACATTGCAGCGAAGCATATGTTACATTATTGGTGTTCATCTATCTATTTATCTCAATTATCCCGGATGCCTTTGCACAGGGAATGTGGAAAGGATATCCTAACGGTCGAGCTATTTCGTCTACGGCACGATATAAGTTGTCGGGGCTCTGCAATGGCAAGCCACATACATGTAAGCCCAACACTATCCGTAAATCCTCCTTAGGGAAGGGAGCAGAGAATGGATTCCATGGGTTCACAGAAGTATCTAATAGATCAAAAGGGATATAGATATTGGGCCTTTAGAGTTACCGCGCTCGACCCAGCCGGGACAGCCATCTGCTGTCTTATAGATCAGCTCTCAGCTGCTTTTCAACTCGCATCCACGATACGAGGCTAGGTTGGCAGTCTCGCGCTAACTGATACAAATCTCCGCGCTTATACGTAGTCACTTCAAGTAATAAGCAGTCAGCAGGAAAATTGAAGTCTTGTACAAGTAAGTCAGATTCCATGTCCGCTCTTTTGGCTCTTCCACGTAACCACGTTGCGCTCTAATCAAATCTCCTTGATAACTCACTAATCTCTCATACACGACGGCAGCAATGCTAAAGGCTAGCATCTCATCCGCGAGTCAATAGCCAGATGCGATTCCCACTTTTGCCCGCTGCCATCGCAACCAGTTTGCCAAAAAGAGTAAAATAGTGAAATAAGAGGCGCAGCTAAGCTCTCCTTCGCTCCACTACGCCATCGATCCAACAGCAGAGCTAAGCAGTCGGCAACATCACTAACGATGAAGCAGCTCTAGAGATGAAACTCGACCCCGGAATCCGCTGTGCTGGCATTTCCGGAACGGTTTCATTGATAGTAGATGGCAAAACTCTAAAATGATAAGAGTTGTGGTGATTGCATGCCGAATAACCGCCCCGAGACGACCGGTGGAGTCTTCAAACACTTTGTCAGATGAGCGGGCGCTCCGCTGTAACAATAGAGCCAAAGTTGATAAATTCCAAATCAACGAAAATATAATCATTAGACAGGCATATCGTTATGGGCAAATGATCTCTCTCTGAGAATGAGACTCCTTTCAATGTTTGCCCAGAGTTTAAACATCTCCACTATGCACGCTGTAATTTCTACAACTCCACAAAGCACCCATTTTACACCATGCTTATGTCTAACCGTGAAATACAGAGATTCCGAAAGAGGAAGCAGGTGCGCTTTCAAAATTAAATATATTGGAAGGATACACGATGACATCTGAAACAGCTGGGCAGCGGAACTAGACCAATACTGAAAAGTGCTGACCTCTCTTGGTATCCTGTAACAGGCAAAGTATCAGACGATCATAGAGACGCCCAACGGATTGTTGATAACCATAGGAGGCACCAGACTCGCAATTGCGCCATCAGCATAACAAGGCTGATAGCTTGTGAGACACGATTGCCTACATAACAGTTTAGAATAGAAAGGCAAAAGGTGCATCAAACCGACATTAGCTGCCCTGCATCTGCGTGACTATTCCAGTCACCCTAGTAAAAACTCGGAAAGACTACCAATTCCACAGCAACACAGAATTTGTCTTGTCATGCAGCTTTGCCCAGGCTCCATATTACTACATAGAATGCTGCTAATTATGGACACAAATGCAGTAATTCGTCTATAGCCCACATGGCCTCGTCTTGGCCACCAAAATAGTTCAGCGGTGGAGCAGCGCGGTTTGCAAATAGGATCGAGGCTTTGTAAACAGAAAAATAAACACCTACCGACTAAACGAAATGTTCAAAAGCCCTGGCTGCGCTGACTTGCTTGCGCCGAATCTGAGACCATTCTTCAACTCTCAAACACTGGTTGCTTATCAGTAGAGACAACAACCATTTCAACAGTGAGGCAGATTACTTATTGTTTCCAGTATCACCTTCAACCAACACTCGAATATCAGTAATTTCTGCGTACAGCATGCAGGGGGCACTGCCCTAGCCATGTAATCAGGCCAGGGTCGATACTACGGGCCGTTTCCAGGTAGCTATTCCACGTGGAGTTGCTGCTGGCGTTTCGAGTACAGTAGCATTCATCATCAGTGCAGAATTTTTTCTATTTACTGGCAAGGATTGAGACAATCCAGCGGTATCCGTACTCCACAAAGCGCGAACAAGACCAACGAAAAAAAAAAAAAGAATCGCCCACGGGCAACTACATGAATTATTAAAGATATGGTATCAAGCATGATGTCCAACACGAACTGCACACAAAACTGTAAAGTCGTAGAAATCGTAATAGTAAACCCCCCAACTCCTCTCTAATCGCCCGTATCGAATTGTTCTTTTTTCTCCCGGCCGTATTCGGCAATCAAGCTGGCAGTTCCATGGGCTCATCTGGGGTATGTTTCTTTACTGATTCGAATTCGGTCGAACCAGGTACCTCATGGACGGGTAGGACATCGTCTGGGCTGTGTGGCGTTGAGGGATGATGCACCAGGGGAGTTGCCGACGTCTTTGGCTCAACGGGAGTGTAGTCCATCTCGTGAATTCCCGTGTCCCTGCGGCCTCTCCGTCTGCGGAGGAAGAAGAAGGCCAAGATGCCGATGGCGGCTGCACCGCCTAAAGAGCCACCCACGGCGCCACCAATAACGCCGCCGTTCGATTTGCTGCCACTTGATGCTGGAGTTGTCTCAGCTGGGGGTGAAGTAGAAGTAGAAGTGGGAGTGGATGTTCCTGTTCCTGTCCCTGTTCCAGTACCAGTGTTTGTAGGAGACGAAGAAGGCGTTGTTGACGTCGACATTGTCGTCGGGGGTGCTGTTGTTGAGCTCGTGCTAGACGTAGACTTTTGAGCTACACCGATGGTTGTGAGTGCCGTCGGAGTGCCTGTCAACAGCTGTCAGTAACTACAACATTCGCTCATCTTGATTGAAGGTAAAACACTCCAGTGAGGAGCATCACATCATCTCATACCTGGAAAGAAAACCACAGCGTTTTGGTCACTGCATATATCTTCATTCTGCGATAGGTCGATATTCTGTTGGTTAACGCACCAGTACACATCCTGCTTTGTGTTTGTGCACTTCTCCATGCCCTCGCCACCACCAACATTGTCCACGTCGGGAGTTCCGCAAAACGACGGGCAAGAAGAGCTCCTAAAGGTCTTGTCCGTGCAACTTCCGCGCACAAACTCGCTGGCACCGGGCTTCTGCAGCTCGTCTCCCGTAGCCTGGCAGATGCCATTGGACAAGCACGCATAGCCAGTACCGCAGCAGACGGAATTGTCTGTGCTGTCAGTACACGGGACATCACCAGGAGCAGGAGTGCCGTCGGGGTAGTAGCAGAGGGCGTTGGCCCGGGCAGCCAAGATGATGAGCAGAGCTAGAGAACGCATTTTCTTTTTCTCTGAAGACGACAGTGTTTCCACACTGTAAAGATGAACAAAGTGGTTATGAAATGGCAATCCTCCTATTCAGTGTCTCCAATAGCATGCTGAGCCCAGCCCAGACAGTGGAAGATGAGTGGGAACAAGCAGCAACAACAACGAATCAACTATGCCCAAAGAAGAGAAGAGGAAGAAGATCAGAAGGGAAAAAGAAGGAGAAAGCAAAGTAGAAGACGGGGAGATGAAGCTACTGCATAATATGGACAGTCATACGAGTGAGCTGCAGCGGAATGGACTGGAAACAGCAGCAGCAGCACTATGCGATAAGCTGAGGATCCCCCCATCTCGTCTACTCCGTGCTCCGTCGGCTTGGCTAGCAATGCTACATGCTACATGGACTATTCTATTTGCCGTCCATGGCTCTCGCACTCCTGAAGAAAGAGCCTCACTGGACGCAATTAGACGGCATGGGTTCGTCTTACTATAAGTGGATTTGGCCCAGAGGCGGGATGGGATATGTTACAAGACAACACAGGCTCAGCCAATGGCAAGTTTGCAAGGGGTGTCTAGGGCCACCGGCTGAGTTGACGGGATTGGCGAGTTTATAGCTATGGTTGAAAATGTTGTCAGGGATGGCGAGCCTTGGTGCGGCCCTTTGCCTAACAAGGCGTCTTAAACCCATAGGGCTCTATTTAAAGCACCGCAACCTCGTGATAAGGTTGTTGCTGGCGCCCACAATCCGCATCAGTACCAACATGCTGTACATGCAGACTGAACTCAGCCCTCCTGCTCCGGGCAAGTATGTACCAATCAATGAAGCAGTAATACGACATGCCGATTCTCGGAAATTCAATACAAATCCAGTGCAGGGGGGATGAAGCTACAATATGAGACCCGCGACAATTGAAGCTGCCAAGAGGCGGCAGGGTATTGGAGGGCTAAATAGCAGCGAGTAAAGCGGATTGCAGGTAGACGAGGTAGACAAGCGTACATGGGTGCAGCAGCTCGCGTTTAACTTCGTGGTTCCGTAAATCCGTAGGACCGTCTCTCTCCGTCCCATGTGGCCCGATCCTGGAGGATCATGGACTGGAACCAGACATTTTAGCAGCACCCATGGAACTTGAAGTGAGCCCAACGCCCAACTCCTAGTAGATCCCGGACCCAGCCGTCTAAAACCTCCATACAGTACCCGTAATATCGACTCCATACAAACACCGCCACTCCAGCATGCTGGGACAACTCGCGGTCAGTGCATCGAGTGCAAACAAAGAATGAAATACTAATCAGGCTGCACGTCCCTGCGGTAATTGAGACTGAAATTGAAATAATGGAAACCAATTGAGCCCAGGGCCAGGAGGGCTGAAAGCAATGATCCTATTGTACAGCGGCCAGCAGGCAGCTATTTACGGATACTATGGGCGTACTGTACTAACTTAACATGAAGCGCCTATCCTGTGCTATCATTCCCTGAGCACGGCTGGCTGCTGATGTACATTGACGTCAACACATGGAGCTTGTCAAGGGGCTTCACATGGAACCTCCAATTCTTTGTCTCATCCATCAATCGCCTTCACTACCATCTGCCCCTCGCCTTGAATCCCGTCCAAACATCAACTAGCTAATCAATCAATCAATCAATCAACTCTCATTAATCAGATCATCAATTTGCCGTTTTCATCACCATCATCATCACCATCAAATGTCGTAACACCCACGATCATTAACGATGCTGCCCATCGTCCGAGTCAGAGGCTACGCCTGGGTCGCTCTCATCGCCACCCTCCTCCTCATCTACTTCTGGAGCTCCTCAACCGTCTCCCCATCACCTCCTCCAGTTCCAGACTGGCGCACTCCCAAATACAACTCCTACTTCTGGAAGACCCTCCCGGTACACTATCCGCCAAAGTCAATCCGCCCGCTACCAACCACATCCCCGGTCAAGTATCCCAAGATCCAGACGTCATTCGCCAAGGAGTCGCCCGACGCGCGCAAGACTCGCCAAAGCCGCCAGCTCGCCGTCAAGGACGTCTTTGCCAAATGCTGGGCCTCGTACAAGGAGCATGCATGGACCGCGGACGAATTGGCGCCCGTATCGGGGGGCAAGAAGAATCCCTTTGGCGGCTGGGCCGCTACACTGGTGGATTCCCTCGACACCCTCTGGATCATGGGCATGAAGCCCGAGTTTGACGACGCCGTTGCTGCCGCCCACGCCATTGACTTTACCAAAACCGCCCTCGACGAGGTCAACGTCTTTGAGACCAACATTCGCTACCTGGGCGGCTTCCTGTCCGCATACGACCTCAGCGGCGACTCCCGCCTGCTGGACAAGGCCGTCGAGGTCGGCGAGATGCTCTACAAGGCCTTCGACACGCCCAACCGCATGCCCATCACCAGGTGGGACATCCACGCCGCCATGGACGGCAAGAAGCAGGAGGCCCATCCCAGCGTGCTGGTAGCCGAAATCGGCAGCCTGTCCATGGAATTCACGCGCCTGTCCCTCATCACGCGCGACCCAAAGTGGTTCGACGCCGTGCAGCGCATCATGGACGGCATGGCGGCGGCGCAGAAATCGACGGCGCTGCCGGGACTCTGGCCGCTCGTCGTCAGCGCGAAGGACGAGATTTACAACGTCGGCGATGCGTTTACCATGGGCGCCATGGCGGACAGCGTCTACGAGTATCTGCCCAAGATGTCTGCCTTGATAGGGGGACAGCTGCCCATGTACCAGGAGATGTACGAGCTCGCAGCCACAACAGCAACCAAGCACAACCTGTTCCGACCCATGACGCCAAAGAACGACGATATTCTCATCTCGGGCACGGTAAAGGCCGATAAAGGCACCGTCGTCAGTCTTGATCCCCAAGGCCAACATCTAGTGTGCTTCCTAGGCGGCCTAATGGCCCTCGGAGGCAAAATGTTCAACCGCCCCCAGGACGTCTCCGCAGCCACCAAGCTCGTCGACGGCTGCATCTGGACATACAAGGCCCTCCCGCACGGCATCATGCCCGAAACATTCCACATGCTGCCCTGCCCCTCCTCCTCCGCCTCCTCCTCCTCCTGCCAGTGGGACGAGGCCGCCTGGAAGAAGGAAGTCCTCCGCCGGGCCAGCGACCCGGGCTCCTCCACCGCCGACGACATCATCAAGCGAGACCGCCTCCCTCCGGGCTTCACCTCCATCCCCGACCGCCGCTACATCCTCCGTCCCGAGGCCATCGAGAGCGTCTTCGTGCTGTACCGCGCCACGGGCCGCGCCGACCTCGTCGAGTCCGCGTGGGACATGTTCACCGCAGTCAACTCCACGACGAGCACCGCGCTCGCAAACTCCGCCGTCTGGGACGTTACTCTTCCGCGTGATCAGTTGCCTGACCGGGCGGATTCGATGGAGTCGTTTTGGTTGGGCGAGACGCTCAAGTACTTCTACCTCGTGTTTAGTGAGCCGAATACGATTAACTTGGATGAATACGTGTTTAATACAGAGGCGCATCCGTTTAAGCGGCTTGTAAGGTGAAGTAACTGAGTTGAACTGAACTTTAACACTTTTGTATTACTGAATGCTTGTTTCTTCTCATACATGTACTTGGAGCATACATATTAAGGTATCATCTATATGGCTTGAAAGCTAGGGCACTTTTGGGTATCATTTGAAATGGAAAGGTTTTCTGGATAAAGGAAGAAAAAGGGTGAACACATAACAGAGTTTATGAATGAAAGAACAAGGAAGGGCTTTGTCATAGTTTTGCCTTTTGGGATAGCAAGGTAGTCAACTGTGTTGGTTGAATACACACAAAAAGCTGAACATCTGTCTCTGTTCTTGAGAAATTGGGGAACATATAACAAAGTTTATGCAAATACAAGAGAAATGGAGGCCCTTATTAAGGTATTTTTGCTGTTAGGACAACAAGGTACCCAGTTGTGTTGGTTGAATACATACAAAAAAGCTATACACCCCTTTCAACGCCACCCCCTCTTCCGTCATGAGTTAGGTCTTGGAGGTTGACCAAAGAATTTCTTGATTTCTTTGGAGATTAGAGTTTTCTTCTTTCTCGTATCGTGTGGGGATGATCTATCAAGATTTTGACAGATCGACATTAACGAGGCGCACTTCAAACTTCTCTGATCAAAGCCAACGTTGCGATCTGCAAGCCTCCCTATCACAAGCACATACCTATAGAATATAGTACATGGATTCACTACGACATCAGAGGCATGTAACAGATCACTCGCATCAAGAACAGAAGCTTTTGAAATCCGTAATTTCTCATTTCATCTACCCATAGTATAAAGTAGAGCAGCTCTGCAACCCGCAGTAGCATTCAGTTAAAAAAATATCTGCAAGACGAAATAAAAGGCCGTCCAAAGAGGCCATGATCCCCCCAAATAAATAATAGCGAAAGCGTAGAAAATAAAGTGACAAGACTCCCAGCCATGTCCAATCATGCCACCCAGACAAATAACAAAAAAAAAAAATGATAAATAAACAGGCAAATAGTAAAACGCCATTGTTTCCGACCCAAACTTGTACGTGTCTGCGCTAAAAGCCATGCGCAAAGAAACATGAAACCCAGTAAATTTTTGTTCAGTAATCATCATCGTATGTTGATCCGTTTCTCAGGATTCAAGTCTTCGGGACAAAGGGAATAAAGGTTGTCAAAAAAGGAAATCCAAAAGAATCCAAGAGAAAGTAAGGTGTAAGAACACGATTAATACAAGGGGCGTGTCTAAGCCGAAGATCAAGGGGGTAGCGATGAGTTTAAGATATCCAATGACGCTGGTGTGGCGTGTTCATGTCATCGTCGGATGCTACCGCAAAGTGTTGAAATTTATCTCGCCCGTCATCGCATTCATATTATGGAAATGCTGAGGCTGGCCTTGCATTGCGAAGCTGTTCTGGCGCTGTCCCGGTTGCCGCATATCCATCATGTTGCCCATGTGATGCGCCGGCTGCAGCGGCTGCATGTTCTGAGCTGCCATACCCATGTGCGACTGGCCCATTGGGTCATGCATATGGTTAGGCGGTGGCTGATTAATGTGTTGATGTTGATGATGCTGGTGTTGCGCTTGATGCTGATGCTGTTGGGGCGGAGGGGGGTGGTTTCCAATTGGACTCATCACCATCTCGGACATTGGCGTGACAGCGTAGCCGTTGATGTTGTGAGGATACTCCATAGTAGGAGACATCATTGGAGGAGAGCCAACGAAGGAGCTGGGCATCTCCGAAGCCTGGCGCGGTACAGGCGGGGTCTGGCCTTGGTTCGAGTTGCTATGGGAATCAGGAGTGCCTCCATTCATCTCCATGACGTACTTCTTTTCGTACTCTTCAACAGAAAACTTGCGGTCGTAGTCGGTCTCCATCATTTGGATCTGCGCAGGCTGAGCCATGCCGGCGTTGCCGAATCCGTCAAAGATGTCAACTTGGGCCATGGCAATCGTCTCGGGGACGTTCTGGAGCATGGGGTTAACCAGACGAGGAAGAACCTCGCTAACCTTGCTCATGAGGAGTGGCAGGAAGCGGTAGTCGCCATTCCTTGAGGCGCTGACAATGTTGATGATCTGAGCAAGGTGCTCATGAGGCCCTTGGGCAAAGGGGTCCCGGGAAGCAGGCTGCATAGCCAGGTACTCTGTCATTGAGTAAGCGCACTCGATGAGTTTCTCGAGAAGCCCGGAAGTCAGGAGCTCCATGCCCTGGCCGGGGAAGTGCGAGGCCATCTTCAAAAGCAGCTCTCTGGACATGGTGCCAGGGAACTGGTACGAGATGGAGTCCTCGCCACCCGCAACGACTCCGTTGCTTAGCTGCCAGACCATGTTCTTAAGCCACTGCTGGTTCGTGTGAACATCGTTCCAGGAAGGATCCTGGCAGAGAGCACGCTGGACCGTGTCGTTTAGTAGCTTCTGCAGGCTGACGATGGACTGGGATGGGAGATGGCTCCGCGCCTTGTTCCACATGCTGGTAAAAGCGTCGTCGAATGGTCGGAAGAGATTCACCAGGAGAATGAAGCCGTTGAGCTGGTGGGCGAGGGGGTCAGTGGGATCATCTCCGAGAGTTGGGAGATTGATGGTGGCCTGGAGAGTAAGGGGGCGCTGGCGCTGGATAGCATACGCTCTGTTTCCAGGTTGTCAGTATAAAAAGCAAGTCCGAAAATGACGGTGAATGATACACACCTCTCAATGACAAAGAACAGCCAGTAGATTCTTCGCATACGAGCAGCCTCGGCAACGTCGAGCTGCATGTAGTATTCCTCCTTGTTCATGCCAACCATCTGGATCATGGTGGTGGCCTCACGGAGGTAGTACCAGGCCTTTTCGTGCATTTCCTGGCCATAGTAGCATCCAAAGAGGAAGAAGTTGGTGGCCAGTGAGTTGATGGTGATCTGCTCGAGGTACTCGTAACCCTTTCGGACTCTCAACGTCTCCTCCAAAAGAAGCTGACACGAGACAATGTTGGCGCCGGGAATCACGTCGAGGTTGTAAGGATCCGAAGAAGGAATCGTCATGCCGGGTTGCAGCATGACAAAGGCACACATGGAGGCCATGAGGCAGTAGGCATCGCGGTTCTGCTCCATGTAGAGGATCTGCTGCTCGATTTGCCTCCGGTCCAGGATCGGGGCCTGTGCGTTCATGTGGTCGAAGAAGAACTGGGAGCATTCCTTGACCAGTTCGCTGGTCAGCATACCGGGAGTGGGAGCGAGATTCGAAGCCGGAGGAGCATTTGGCCCGCCGTTGATGCGACCGTGGATCTTGGCGGCCAGACTGGTCTGGCGTTGTGTCTCTCTCAACTCGCTAATGACCTTTGCGCGAGAGCCCTTGGGACCCTTCTTCTGAGGGATGGCATTGTAGGTGCAGGACAGCTGGGCCGAGGAGCAGTTGCGGCACGGGTTGATGCCGTCGCACTTGACCTTTCGCCGGTGACAGGCGTCGCAGGCTCTCTTTACGGCCTGAGTCATGGTGGGCGACAGACGAGGAGGCGACGCCAGGACGAGGCGAGGCGATTCCGTGAACAAGAACAAAGAGCGGAAACAGGAACAGGAACAGGAACGATGTGAGCGGATGGCGCAATCTGGGGAGCGCTCAGACTTATTTGCCGCAGGTTTGGGGCCCCGGGTTGTTCGGTGAGCTGTCAACTAGATTGAATGCTCCCTTGTTTTGCGGGGGAATAGACAAGAGACAGATTCAACTGGTGCGCGCGGTTGGGGTGGCTTTTGGTGTGTCCTTGGTCTGGCTTTGGCTGAGGACAGGATAGTGCAGGCGCAAGAAATCGAATACTATACAGTAGTATGTAGGCGTATGTAGGTTATTCGGCCCTTTCGAATGCGGGCCAGAAAAAAAAACGCGGGGAGAGTCGCTTATTAGGCGGAGTCTGGGGTGCCGATGCCAGGGAGTCGGGGGGGAGAAGGTTTTTGGCTGGCTCACGAGAGCGACAGACGGACGGCAGGCGACGAGTGAGGCCGTGGATACGGCGATGGAGGCGAGAATCTGGAGTTGTGATGATCGTTTGTTGTAGAGACAGGTAACGAGACGAGGTTTGAAGACGAGGAGGAAAAGAAATGGGCCTGGATAGTCAGCAGAGAGCGAGAATATGGGGGGAGGCGGACCCGAAGTACGTAAAAACAACCTGGCTGGAATGAGCAGAGGGCGAGAGTCCACCGCCAGGGAACACCGCAGGGAAGGGCAGGGAAAGGCCCTTGTAATCCTGGTCTACCACAGAAATTGGGCTTGGGCTGGGCTGGGCTTAGCTGGGAGCCAGGGCTGAGGGCGCCAGACCAGACGATGGGATGGGGAGCAAAAGCCTAAGACGGACTGGCGGGTTCTGGGGGTGAATGTGGTGTGTGTGTGGCCACTTGTTAGTTTAGGCGGAGGAACAAGTAGAAACGAGCCAGACGAGATGAGGGCGTCCTGCTAGCGTCGGCGGTTGGGCTGGCACTGTGCAGTGGCGACTTTTTCGTTTTTTCCCAGTGGGTTTTCAGTGGGTTTCGCAGCCCTTGGCCTCGTCAGCGCATACCCTCCTCACACTGTGCTTGGCTGCTGGGGGCGGCGCCTTTCTTCAGCAGGCATCGGGGAGGAGTGCGCAAGTTGGTGGCAGAAATTTGCCAGAAGCCAGGCTTGGCTGCTAGTGCGGCGTAGCGGTGGAGCCGGAGCCGTACAGGGCATCGCCAGCCAAATCCGCGGCATCAACACAGTGCAAATTCGGAATTCTACGCACGCCTCTTAACGGCGTCGGGGCTAACACGAAAGGCTAAAGCAAAACGCACCAGACAAGAGAAGGAGATGCAATGCAAAGCAAAAGCCCTCGGCCACGCCGCGCGGGAAATCCAGCGGCATTGATGCGAAAGGGCAGGTCGCACGGCAAGTACCGGTACATCTCATAGGTACAGCGCTGCTCACCATCTTACGGTGATGCTCGTACTGCCACTGTCTGTCTGCTTTTGCTGCGGCCTGCCGCTTCGAGAGCCGTGCGTGCGTGTCTGACATGGAAGCCTCAGGACAGGATTTACAGTGCAGAGACCCCAATTGCTTAGCAGGGCCGTAAGAGTGCGCTGAGGGGGGCTTCTTCTTTCCCCCCCAGGCAACTGTGCGACGACGGCGCAAAGTACAGGTAGGCCAGTCAATGCCGCGTCTCCGCGAGCACCAGCACGGTCCACGGGTACAGGTACCTCTCTGCAGGCTATTCGCTTTTGCCCTGGCAGACAGCAGGCAGGGTGAGGGCATCACGAGACATTCAGCTCAAGTCAGTTCCCATACCCGTACCGTTACGAGTACCAGAACGTGACGTGCCTGGATTGTATTAGATTAACCTTTTGCCAGCACGGACGAGGCGCAACGAATGGAAGCGCTGGCTTGAGACAATGAAGAAAGCTAGAACTGAGCACATTTACGTCTGTGGCGAGGTGTGGAAGTTGCCGAACAATTGAAGTCTTCCAATGGATCTCTACATATTGAGACACTGTGTACCTGTACCTGTCTGTTCTCCTGCTTCGGATTCCATGGGTGTTGAAATCTGGTGCTCAACTTGAGATTCCATCAACTCTCATGCTGGTCAGTCCATGTCCATCGCGCGCACATGGCCAGACTCTTGTTCGCAAGGGGAGCGACAGCCGACGTTCCGGTACAGCAGCTCCGGTCAAGTCTCGGGGAGGCATGTCACCTACTTTATTATCCATGGCGACTAGCAGCAGTAGACCTCGCAGTAGCATCGAGGAATGCAGTCAGCTCCCTTTTTAACCGTCGAGTAATGGTAGCGGTACATGGAGCATGCCAGCCAGCGCTCAACACATTCACCCGTGGAGAATAGCCAATAAGTACAAAAAGCTGGGCGAGACATGACACGCCAACAACACGACACGACACGAACACGAGCAAGTCATGTCCATCTGTCTGCCAGTCTGTCTACTGTACAGTATGGCTCTCTACGTACAGAAATAGGCACAGTACAGTTTCTACTTGGCAATAACTGTACTGTACAGGAGCAGCACAAACACAGTCCAAGGCACCACACATATACACACAGTGCCGCATCTCCTCAACCCCAAACACAGGCACAAGGAACAGGCACAACGAATTGATCAATCAACAGACTGCCCGGATTCAAATAATGCCATATTGCCCGTCTAAAGTGCAGCATGTCACTCATGCCAAACAACTCGCGCCCCAAACCCAGACGAAACTAGTAAAACCACGACGGACGATTCAAACACACGAGCCCCAAAGCGCCATCACCACATCACGCAACCCGCTTCTCCTGCTCGTACCCCGGATTTGACCAGCGTGCAGAGGGTGTCCAGGTTCCGCCAATCACCTGCAGCGCTAGCCAAACCGGCCCCCAGAATTGAGGTGAAAAAAAATCCGGGCTCGTTTGATTCTTCATCGTCCCGCCCATCAGCAACCAGCCCGCTTTTTTTGCCAGCCCCGGCGCTGTGTCTCTCTCTCGGCTCGCTTTCTGTCTGTCTGTCTCTCAGTCTCTCTTCGTCCTTCGTCCTTTCGTTCTTCTAGCTAAGCCCTGACCCGAACTACTAAGCGGGCACCGGCTCCAGACATGAGCACACCGGGGCGAAAAAAAGAACTGCCACTGGTTTCGTGTAATACTTTGAATCTGAGCGGAAATCTCCAATCTGTGCGGCTGTACAGTCCAGTAAAAGGGCTCTCGGCATCCGCGGCATCGTGGCTTTGACCCGATCGCTCAGCTTTTGCTTTTCTGTGACGATGAGATTTGATTTTCATATTGACAGCCGCGATCCGTTTAATCTCGGGCCATGCTTCACAATTGTCCAGCCCAGCCCCGGACCCGGCCACTGTGTCCAGAACCGGACAAGCCCATGGGGATGAAAGAGTCTCGCTGCAACACTAACCTCGGCAATGCCACAAGGTGACAAGCCCACCCCGATCGATTGACTAGCAGGCTTCGAATTTGCTTCCATGCTCCCCGGGGAGGGAAAATCACGACTATCCGGCCTTGCATCCGGGTCCGAGATCGTACAGTATCGTGTTCGAGGCTGGTCTTTGCTCTGCATTGCCCACCCAAACGTTGATCAACACTCACTTCTCACTTCTCAGCTCTGCCTCTCTTTCCTCTTCCCAGCTCAACAAAGCTTCTCTGCTGTGCTCTCTCAAGCTCTTCTCTCTATTTTTTCGCGCCCTGCTAGCGGTACCGGTACAGATGCGGAGAAGTCGTCTATCGGACCGAAGAGGCCATTCCTTCTTGCTGCAAGGCTGAGAGCCAGAGACAACGTTGCATAAAGGGGCGCTGCACAGAAAGGGGGGCCGCACGCACTTTGTTGCACCAACCAGCAGCCGCTGAGCTTCGACTTCGCCTACTTTTGGAATATGCATGGCGATCCAATGCAGGAGCGTTTTTTATTTTTCAATTTTTATTTTCTTCATCTTTCAGTGCATGGATTCAATTTACAGATGCAGATAGATGCAGACAGCGAGTAGCACAGCAAGCACAGGTCGTAGCGATACCACCTCGACACACTGTAATGCGTAATGATGCGTAATGCGTAATGCGTAATGCTACTCCGTCAGCCTTTTTTTCCTCTTTTGATGTTTTGTATGTAGTATCTGTAAGCATTCCTCATCCATTCTCTTTTTCTTTTTGTTTAATTCTATTTGCGTGCCAACTGAACATTACACCATCACGTGATGCACTTGACTCTGCCTCGGTTCTCGATGTCTCAAAACAGCATCACCACCTGGCTTTCAAGCCTCATGTCTCGCCTGATTCCGACGCCCAAGAGACAACACACCATCCAGTGTCCTGGTCTGTGCTCACAACTGCGTCATGCTGCTTCACCGACTTCAATGGATGGATTCTTCAGTCCCGTCGCACAACTTTCAAGCACTAACGCCTCACTAGCAGCTCGCTCTCCCTGCGCTAACAGAGGACTCGGGCCACTTTGTGCTTCATGCCACCCAAGCAGCCCTGACCCAGTGATCCTATTCTTGTTCCTTATTCCTATTCCTCGTCTTGCACTGTACTGTAGCACTCGTACGACTACCTACAGTACGTTCAGGTAGCAGCAGCAGCACATGGCAGCGTGGTAATCATCTCATCATCTCAGGGGGGCCCGAGATCTGTGGCCATCCCGTCCGTCACTGGCACGGCAACACCCGCCTACTGCTTCATCTTCATCTTCATCTTTCATCTGCGGCCGCTGCTGTTGATTATCGACGAGGTTTCTTCAATCCCATGCACGCACTTACAGGCCCAGGTCCAGGCGTACAGCGGCTGAAGGCTTTATCTCGCTTATGTATTTGAAGGAATCTCATCTCAGATCTTGGCAACGTCCACGAATGATGTCCCTTGCCAGCGGTATCAAACACCAACTTCTCCTGTACTCTATATCCGAATGCCCAAAATACTATACCTCAAGGTAGTACTAGTACATACACGTAGGCATCAGATTCCAATGGTGCTAAGAACCACTCAACTGCCATTGCTGCCAAACATGGCTGTGCCCGTAGGTCCCAAAACAGAAGTTGCTCGTCCATCCCTTTTTTCCAAAGACAAGACATTCTCAGATTCATGCAGTCATGCCATACCCAAAAACCGCAACAATTCCCTCCGGCACCTACGAATCCTACACGGCTTCCCGCATCGGCATTCGCACGACGCTCTCCCGTCTGACCTACGCTAGCTTCTACGGAGTATTACTCTTACTCTCTGCTCATCTTTCTTTTGTTGCTCGATTTAGGAGAGCAGATTTAGCCCCCCCAGGAGGACGATGGGCTTGCCTGTTCTGTTTTGACCAGCGACAAGTGCTTACTGGCGGCGCATCGCTGGACAGGGCCATCTCGCTGATCCCCTAGGGGCCTGCAAATAGGCATCACGAGATGGGCGGCAGGGACCGGCCTTTGCATGGCAACGTTTCAGATGCCGGTGTCGCCCTCTTTCTCTCTCTCTCTTTTTCTATCTATCTCGTCGTCAAGCTTAAGCCACGCTGCTCGTACTCGTAAGCCAGCTTCGCTTTCCTATTAATATATTTTTCTTCGCCCGGATATCCCGGCCTTGGCCTCTAGAATTCGATAATATTTCTCAAAGTCTAGGATGAGTGTCATGTCTAGGAAATCTTGGGTCCGAGACTAGGCCAGACACGACGATCCACTGCGCAACAGACACGTAGAGGGCATGATTCATAGTATCCATGCATCAGATCTCCCGTTTACCGCCTTAAAAAAAAAAGTGAGAAAAAAAGAGCCGACGTGAAAAGGGAGATCTTATTCCAAAGGAAATACCGAGATACGTGTAATATGTACGACACGCCCGTAGATTATCAGATAACCCTTTTGCAATCGATTTCAACGCCGGTCCCCTCCGGCTTGGTCAATGCGTGCATATGTTCTTCTTGTTGTTGGCTCTAGCAACGCGCAGGAACACCTTCATTCTCGGAACGGATCCCCCTTCCCGATAGTCTCGGACCAACGTCCGGGGTAAGTGGGTCAAGTCCGCTCCGGAACTTCGAGATGGACTTCATGGCTTCCCGTGATAAAGTCATTGAAGATAACGCCGTGTTCTTATTTTCCTTTTGTCCCTTTCTTACGTCTTATCTCCCCATTTTGTCATCGATAATTGCGTATGCAAAATCTTCTCACCAGCTGCGAATGAGCCCTTGAGAATGATTCGACTCAAGATGAAGCTGCACATCTAGATTTTGACGATCCGCAGATTCCAGTGTGTTCACATGAACAAAATACTGGCATTCTCCCAGAATTCAAGCTCTATTTAAGTATAATCTATCCATCGTATAACTCGTACTTAATGCACAGGTGCTCCCTCATGACCATTTTCCCATATAGGCTTCTAGGGTAGGACACTCATTCCAATCAAGGCAGATTCTTTTTGGATATCTTGGTATCCTAATGATGTTTAACCTTTTATGTGACTGATCTATTCATTTGATCTCCAGAGCCTGTTAACTAGCTTCGCAAATGATCTATAGAGCACTGTGGCTATCAACAATTCGGCAGCTTTCGATAGGGAGAGTGTTCTATTTGCGTACGTGAAACACATGACGCACTTTTGATCTTCCTTGACACCATCAGAGTGAAAATAATTGGCCACAGGTCATTCCCTAGCTACTCTACTATCCAGCATTCACGTGTTATTCTCAGATAATTTAGTTATAGACAATACATTTGGATCAATGTGCTGTGGCGACTAGCTCAACGCGAGGCTGTTCCAACCTCTTGGATCAAAAACTAGAATGAAATCTTAGGTTGGAATCGATCGGCAGCAGCAGATCGATTTATCTGTGCTACCTACCACGGGAGTACTAATTACTTCAGCTCTGAGGCAAAGCCCACCTTGCTCGGACGGATGTTCCACAAGCCTATTCCGGCTTGCTCAACCGAAGAATGTCGTTGATAGGGGGAAACAACCGAGATATCTTGTGTGCCAACTATCTGTCTCTCCTGCAAATATTCAGTGTCACTATTCAAGGGAACACAGTCGTAGCTTAGCCAGGATGCAGTTGCAAATATAAACAAAAATGTGAGATGAGGAGAGTCCAGCTCAGGTGTGGTAGCACAGCTGAAAACTTCTTTTCATCAGAATGAACTTTTCGTACGGGAACTTTTGTTAGGATACCTTTTTGGAACATTGCATGTTGAGCCGATACTTGATTTCGCTCATGATGAACGCAATGTTCCAGCGCAAATCGCCAGTGTCTGAAATGCAGTGGTATCTCGCGTTTGGGTCCCGTATGGAATAACTTTGAGACATATTGAAGTCTGGTTGAGATGTAGAGCGTATCCGATGGTTTAAATCGCAAAAGATACGTGTGAGACTAAATCAATTAGGGAGCTGGCGAAGAGATACTCTAGTTGTGATAGTATGGCGTGTGGATGTTCTTAAGACACTCTTCGTCCTTCATATCCGTCAAGATGACCCGCTTGTTAACCAGTTAAATCCGATGTAGACTGTTTGTGTCGCATCATATGCTAGCAATTCAGGATCAGAGAGACTCACATGATAACTCCTTGTGGATAAGAGATAGGAATTATGCTTTGTTACACGTTCTCAGCATCACAAACTCATAGTCCCATGATCATCTTCCGATCTGTGAGAGTACCATGACTCACTGTTATACTCATTTGCGTGGTAGAGACCATGAATGATATGTTTAGACTGGTTATATGTCGCTGACTATAGTAAATCACCTTCAGTTTGAGATGTGGTGATACTTGAAAACTTTCGCAAGCTTCACTGACAATCGTAGATCATTAGCTATGCTTACTTGTACTTTATGTGTACGGCTATGTAAGTAAGTAAATCTAGATTGATTACGCGGCTAGGAGCTACGGAATGGTAATGGGAGCTTATGCGCCGGAGTGTAGGGATGATACTCCCAGAACTCAGAATACTATACATCCCAAAGAAGAAGAGAAGAAATAATGGTCATCTTACATTGTTATAAGAACAAAAAGAGCCTCTGATGAATACTAATATCATGTACTGATATCACCTTATCACCTTATCCGTCAGAAACATCGCCCATCACAGACCCAAACTTCATCACAACATCACGCCATTCCACGTAGCAAACAACGCCTCACACCAAAACATCCATTCATCACAGCCCAAATCATATCAATCTGCACAACCTGTATTCTCCAATGACACTCATGCTCATAGACTGTCGCAGCCATCGGTAAAGGCAAAAACAACTGCCCACACTTGTGTGAAAACGCATATATAAACAGCATCACACAAACTGCGCCGTGACATGGACACAGCCGATACTACGGGGATGCGCAAGCAAAACCAAAAGAGAAAACAAAGACAAAAAGAGAAAATAGGCTTTGCTTGCGGCAGTGATGCTGTGACGCCTTGTGGACTACTTGAAGCTCAGCATGCCAGCATGCGATTGAACTTGGATCTGATCGTCTAGAGCGCCAAAGCCTCTATGTGTACCTTCGTACTATTTCAATTATTCTTCACTCATATTTTAACAAGCGAATACTAGTCTACGGTAATGTGCAGGATGGAGACGATTACAAGAATCCTTCTCGGACTTGTCCTGATGTGCTTCGCCAACGCCCTCAGCGACGAGGTGGTGGAAAGGTATGAACCCCTACGACGAGATATCCAGTAACCAAAAGCGGCGACAAGACTATCCTCTACAACATCATAGAGATACAGATGGCAAAACAGAGAAGCAACTCTCTCATCACGGCTAACCGTTCAACCATCACTCTAGATCAAGCTTGACTCCCCCAACTCCCCCATGGCGAGGTTCCGCCGTCCTCTCCTACGACGCAGACTACGAGACTCCTACTCCCTCTCCAGACGAATATTCCTCTCCAGACCCATATACTTTCGAAGAGACGTGGTATTTGCCATCCAGCACCATCGAGCCATCGACGACGCCTCGTCCCCAGTATTCCGCCATTGTAACTGTTAGAACCACCACATGGGTTCTCTCTCGATCGACGACAATCACCAGTATAATCCTCGAAACATATTATTCGACTCTAACAGACATCGAAAACTCGAACGAGGGAGGAACCGTAACGGAGACGGAGTCGGATCCATCCAGCTCAGCTCCGTGTGTAGCCGCGTCTGTCAATCCTTCGGGATACAGATATGAATGCTCGTCTTCGTCTTCATCGTCCGTTAGAGCCATGACGACAATAACTTGGTCGCCCGAGGTATCCGCCTATCCTCCGCCGTCAATCTCAACCGAAGGCCGCGTGAGCCCAGCCTCTACATCAACAACTTCGTCATCAGCATCAACAACAACAGCAACAGACGAGGGGACCGAAACTCCACCTGTAGTAACAGGAGCGGCACCACCTCTTCTCGGAAAAGCAGACACTCGCGCCATGGGTGCCGTAGTCGCGCTGCTCGCCATCCTAGCGTGAACTTCTTCTCCCTTACCTCCAGCCAAACCCCTCACATCTCCGTCAAAAGATATTGATCCTTCACTCGTTCGTTCGTTCGGTTCGTTCGCTCGTTCGTTCCAATAGCATCAAAAGGAAAGAAGAAATTTTACGCGAAAGAGTAGAGTAGGGGGTTTGTCTGCCTGCCTTACTCCCCCCCCACACCCCTCACTTCAAGCTTATCTCCTGTTCCCGGGTCCGACAGAAGTTCTTTTTCTCTTTCTCTCGCTTGTTCAAAAAAAAGGTGGTGGCCTCGGGTAAATCGCAAAAGCCAATAGATGCCCCCCCAGCTCCCCCCCTCCCATCTCGACTCTCGACAGAAACGAAGTTTCCTCCCATCGTTAACTAGGTCCCGCTCTGGAGAAAACAACAAGAACTAGGGCAAATATTCTCCGGCACGGCCCTTCCCATGCAAGAAGTTGGGGACGGGGGGGGAGGGGAAAAGGATCGGGCGTCGAGATCCCGTTCGAACGGCTCTGATGTACTCGTAGGGTGCTAAAGCTCGTGGTTGTATGTGCTAAACTTGTTGTGTTTTCTCTTCGTTTTCTCTTTCTACGCCTGTAGTCGAGAAGGGGGGCGTCTCGTCTTGCGGACTTTTCTTACTGGGGGTAAGCTTGGGAAAGGGTGAGGTTACAATGCAGTCGTCGGAAAGGGGGGGTTGAAAGATTGGGGTGATGTGATGATGGTGCGTGAAAGCAAGGGTTCAATCTTGCACCGGATATCAGTCAGTGACGGGGGATGGAGCGTCAATCTTTTTTTGCGACCGTATTTCCTTTTTGCTATTCGTCTAGGGAATTATTAATGTGTAATTTGCTTTCTTACTTGTGAGCTAATCGACCTCGGTACTGTGTATATCGTGCGTACTGTGTTTTACAACTGTATATCACAACCAAGGCACCGGCATGGAGCATCTCAATTGTCTGTTAAAAGCGGGCTGCTGCTTCTGTCTCTCCTCTATCTTGCCGGTGGAGTCGTTCAAACGTGTCTGAGGGGGCGTGGAACATGGTCATGGACCCCTATGCTATGCCAATCTCTCGTCCCCATATACAAACACACGTGTTGATATCATCTCCCCGCAGGCAGCATGGGGGTGTTCATTATGGCACAGGTACGTAGAAATCGTACACCATGCCATGAGAAAAAGACACACGAAATGGATGTCGATATCCACCCCCATCTTGGGCACGAATAGCCCCAGTATCTCCTCTCCTCTTTGCGTTGCATGCGGCGGATGCAAGCCGAGGTGGCAATGCATGTCCGTCCTCGTCAAGCAGTTCTCATTGGGATGATTCCCGACCTTGATGGACCACCAAGTAGCTTCTGCAGGTATTACGAGTACATCTGTTCTACATGGGTTGGCGCAAAGTCCAGGCAACTGATTCGCTCCATCACCCTGTCCATGACCCCGGGGAGTCTCTCCAGCTCGGCTTTGGTTTCCGTATGTTGAATTAAATGACGGAGCATTACATAGCTCTCGCAAAGAGTAAAAAGAGCAACATCTTAACCATCCAATGGCTTCAAATCCCACAAAATCTTAGGCTACACCCGCCCCCAGGAGCCCGTGCTTCAACCTTCGACATCACCATCCCTGGCAGGCTTTTCTCCCCCGGAACTCCACGCTCGCCTCTAGTATCTCTTACCCCTCTTTAGATATCCGTAAAATCGTAAAGATGGTTCAAGGATGAGGTGCCGGAACTAGAGCTTTCATGCAGGAAATTAAATCTATGGTGGATTCGGGGAACTCCGGGTCCCTCCCTCTAAGCCCCCCCCCTAGTCACCTTGGAAGCGCCCAGCCCGTCACATCACCGTACGGGCGCTCGTAAGTTTAAGAGGATCCTGACCTTTTTACTACTTGTAGGCATCAACAGCCACCTATCGAGGCATAGAGTATGCGTACGGTCTCGAGAAACGGTCTCCCCCCCACAACAACCACATACATGCAGATTGCATTTCGCACTCTGTCCATCCAGAATCGCCAAGAGAAGCGCAGATAGACGCAAACTACGCAATATTCTCTCGGCTTCATCGTCGGCAATCGCGTATTTTGTTGGGAGCGAACCAAACAAAACGATGTGGGAGTCGCATTTTGTGCGTCATTCCGTCTGCTTTACAACGTAGCATTACATTGCATCCACCGCACAGCAGGACGACAGGACAAACGTCCTGTGAGGTAAGAACTATTCATATATATCCATGTCCTCTAATGTGCCTCAAGGGCAAATCCGATTCGTGGGACAGTGGATATTGCCAAGTGGCATATATCAGCGCCTACGCCATGGGAAAAGACGATCTACGACCCCTTCCAGGATGCAGATATCGGCTCACAATTCCCTTTGCAAAAGTCCCGAGACAACTACATACGAGGGTCATGCGGGCTGTTGTCATACATACATGCCCCCGACATCTATCTGTTTCTCGAGATCCCGTTGGCAAAAAGCAAAACCCGTCTATGCAATTTCCCTCCCTCCCCTCCCACGGGAACGGAGCAATCCGTTTTGACTCGTGCCTATACATTACATTTGCCCTTGGGCTCTCTCCCCCCTGAAATATGTAAATGTAGCAAAGCGGGCACTTCGGGTCTCAAGTGGTGGCCCACGAGGTCCATGACATGGACAACAACGTGGCAATCGTCTGCTGACTGCCGCTCCGGCCAATTACCAGTCATATACGATTCCAAGCCCTCGTCGAGCCCAATAAAAATCAAGGACTCTGCTTTTCCGCAGCAAAGTGATTCGACTGGGCCATCTGCCAGGTGAAATTGCCATGGCAAAAGCGGGCAGCAGAAACCACGTCACCCGCCAGAAGTCCAGGTTTTTTTTCCCTCCCTGTGATGAGAGGCATCCCAGCATGTGATATTTGATAAGAGGCGTACCACTTTCTTCTAATTCTGCAAATCCTTCCTGCAAAAAATTCTGTTTAGGGAAGCTACATGGCTTATTGTGCGGCCTTGAAATCTGGGCTGAGTCTATGATGCGCGAAATGCAGGAATGAAAGAATCAAAGAGGGGGCTGAACAGGTTGGGTTGGGTTGGATTACCAACATGTTCTGAATCACCGGAAGAATGGGGACAACGTGCCCGGGAGAGCTCCCTATTCGAAAGAGTTGCTCGCCTTAACCGCCGCAATTCCAGGCTAAAGCCTCGCTGGCGGCAGTTGTGGATAGTAACTAGATACGAACAACGGCGCGAAATCAAGCAAAGCACCGCTGTGTGGGCCCAGGGAGGGACCCCTTTCCACCTGGCCGTGAGACATTGTTTCACTCTGTGGCGCGACATTCCTCAATGTCTAGCTCAGTTGACCACCTGGGGAAAGATGGTCAACATGTGGTTGAGTCAGGAGAGACACGTTCAATTGTAGGCTTCGTGTGGGGGAAATGGTTGCTGGAAATGTAGCAAGTGAATCAAGTATATGAAATTCAACTAGTGAAGAAGAAGCAGTTGAGATAGTCCCATCTCGTCCCCACCCCCCTAAAAACGTATCAAGGTCCTCCATGCAGATTCACGGGGTTCGTGTGATGAAGTGTTATTCTCCATCAGAGGCATCGCTATCCTCAATCACGAATGCTGCCGAGCCTGCCGAATATTTTGGCACTTTGTAGTCCGGCATGGGAATCAAAGGATAGAGCTTGGTCCGGACGCCATTGTCCCCGTAAGCAGCATACCAAGGTGGCAACATGGAATCGGGGACCGCCCAGCCTAGCTTCGAGTTTCGAAGCCAGAGCCTTACCATGTGGCGGGACGTCTCGTCACCATCTGTGTACGAATCGCGTCGGTGGAGCAATGCCCAATTGTTGAAAAATAGCAAGTCTCCTGTCTTTAGGTGAAGTCGGAGCTCCGTGCGGTATGCGGCTTTTGATATTCTTTCCAGAGCAGACTGCTGTGAGGCAGTCAGAGCTGGGATGTTGGTTGGTCCACTGGATGGATGAGGCCCGAATCGATTCGGATCTATGCTAGCCATCAACCTGCCATCGTGAATTGCGAGGGCGGGCGCTAAGTAGCATTTTGCTCCACGCCCCGAACTGCAAGGTAACACCAGTTTCAGCCAACACCCAATGTCAAATAGTAGGGGGTAAAAACAGCATTGCTCTTACATTTGCACAGGCCAATCTGCAGTTAAGAGAGTCTTTGCAGCTGATGGGTCTTCAGCAAGCAGCTCATTAAATGCAGTGCTGACGGAACTGAGATACGTGTATCCCCCCCTTTCCGCGCAGTGCCGAACTTGGAGCGCTAGGATATCGCACCCCATATCATTGTGATAGGGCTGTTTGAATTAGCATTAATCAATAGGCATAGACGACAACAAATTGATATTTACCAAAGCTTGATTAGAATGAATGCCATGGCGCATCTCCACAGGGACTTTCCAAAGTTTTGAGTTGGTTATGTGTGCTTTTTTGATTAGAGGCCATGTTGGGTCAAGTCATAGGAGAAAGATATAACTTACAGAGGACGTTACCCTTGCGGTCTTGCAACCCCCTCTTGTCAGCGATATAGCTGGATATGCCTAGGTAGATCGTGGTGCTGTCTTCAACTGAGTATCTTGACTCTTCAAGACCCCTGAGAACGAAGAAGCCGCGCTGCTCATGAATAACTCTGGCGGATTGGGAAAGCCGCGCCGCAAGATTCGGAAGGGGAAAGTTGTCACGGTCAACCTGGTCTCCATCGAGGCCAAGAGCTGTAGTCCAAGTCAGCTGGCTTCGTATGTTACTCTCAACAAGTGTTTATTCAATAGTCTCTTACACTTGAAACTTTGGAGGGCTGCATCGATTTCTTCGACATCCTCTCCGCGAAGCTGCCAGGTGTACGTTTCTTCGTCCTCGAAATCAGCCCCTGACCAGGCCAAGGGGCCATTGATGGCTGTTGGAAGTTTTGCCATCATGTCCTTGGGTATAGCAGTGGCTGCGTCAAGGATATTTATGGGACCAGTCGTGCTTGGCGGAATCATGATTTCTTGTTGAGGATGCTGCATGCTTTTGCAAATCCAACCTCGGCCCCCGTGGCTCTGGGCTGTCTTATATGCAAAAAAAGGATAATGGAAAAGGTACGAGAGTGGTACGAGGTTGAAAACGGGCCAGACAGTGAGCTCGAGGTTCGCCACCAGATGCAGAGAGACGTCGGACAGCGTATCGGCGCCAGGACAATGCGATGCTTTGATGTTTCCGAGAAAGTGGAGGTGTGCTGTGGGCCACCAGTCTCCGTAATGAATCTCGTCGTTTGTGCGCCATGGCGGATGATCTGTTCGCGCACGACACGACGCACGTCGCTTATCAGACTTGAAGACAGCGTATAGGAATCAACCATGTAGACACAGAGTGCCTAAGGGGGCTGCACGAAGCCAGTGCATTCTGCTTGCTGAGCTGGTGGTGAAAATCTGGTGGACGAGACCCGTAGTCGCACTGTTCGGCCAAAGGGGGTACTTTGGAACTGCAAGAATGCCCTTCGGGACACGTCTGCAGCGGCCCATGGACGGTGGTAGGCAGCGGTAATAGGTCTAGAGGGGGCTATTGGCGGTTCGTTTGAGAGAAGCAGAAAGAGGAGCCGCTGGGTCGTCGCACTGCGTTTGAGGTGGGAGAGAGCCTCTCAAACCACACCAAGTTCCCGCGATAGCAACCCAATTACGACACGCCTCTGGACGTCGGACCAGCCCAGAGTGGGTAAAGGCTCAACGGATATTATACAACACATATGGCCGTAGTTCCTTTGCTTTGGGCATGACGACGGACCAAGGATACTCCGCAACAGACCAAAGAACAGGCGAAAAGAGCGTGATATGATTGGGTAAGGTAAACCAAAACAATCAGAGTTTGCCTCACTAGCAGACGATGCCTTGTTTTTTTTTACCTTTGGCCGGGCGGCTGTTCAAGGGGAGTTTGGCAGAGGAGGGAGGAGAGAGAACCATCCGAGCCCCATATCAAAAGGGAACTAAGTTTCCTCCGGTCTGTGATCGAATTCCAGGCTGCCGGCACTAATATAAGACGTAAGCTACCGTGACAATGCAAAGAAGTAAAAAAAAAAAAGTCTTTGAGCGTGACTCGCTTAGCCTCAGCCCTTACTGCCCTCACTGCCCTCAATGACTTGGGCTAATGAACGGGGGGAGAATGCAAGAGCAAACAAAGAATCGAGCCATACTGAATCGGTTTGAGCAGTGGAGCTGTCCGATCAACCCCGTCCGCGCCTGGCCAGTGATGGGGATGAGAAGGACTTGTTCACATCCCGGACTATCCATCCACGCGCGCAGTCGAGCTAGTAGCACTGGTGCTGGTGAGTTTGATGGTACAAGTACTGAGAGTGTGGATTGTGGTGGGAGATGGGGGGCCATACTGAGAGCGTCACTGTTGTGATGCGGAGCCAGATGATCACACATGAGGCGACACCACTTCCCATAATAGCAGCACTCGGTACGAGCAAATAACGGGGATCCCAGCGGTGCTGCTGGACACCACCACTCCTCTCTCTGGTGCCGTGCCTCTTTGTATCTTGGTCTGGTCGTCGTATTGAGCAAGTTGGGATTCGAAAGTTCATCTTGGTCGGGTGAAGTGCCGCAATTCTAGACTTGAACTGGGAGTCCCTGTCCCCTGTATGTCAATGAGCCGTTTGCTGATAACCTTGTCACGCACACGGCGGATATCTATCCACAGCCCACAAAAATATATATCTCGCCCCATCGCCATCCCTTCTCTCCAAGGCAATACAGGCAGGAGCACTCTGTAGATGCGCTGTTGACGTGGATTACACACATATATGAAAGTCCATGTGAAATTTGCAGTGTCAAAGGGTGCGAGAGTAGACAGTTTTTCAATGGGACAAATGGGCTGATTTGTTCAGAACCCAACAACTCGCACATGTTGCTGTGGTTCACGACATAGCTGTAGGAGATGAAAATATACATCTCAGGCGAGGAAAACGGGAGAACATCCCTTTGGCTTTGTTCCCTTTTTTCTCTCGCTGTTGTTCTAGTCATGTTGCTGAACAGAGCTACGGGGACGGCATTTGTAGCACGTGCAATGAAGCATGTTGGTAGAGATAGTTGCCTTACTAGCAGCAGCATGTCATGCTTTCATCGGGGTATCATAGATGACAACCGCGAGTGGCATACATGGCTGTACAGGTACAGTACAGGGGAAGGGAGCTGAAAGGGAGAGTTGAAAAATAATATCCGACATGTCGTTCTAGCTTTCAGCTTCCAGTACCCCAACTCGTAGCGGGCGTAGCGCAAAGTACAAGTGATACGAGTACTCAGTTGTGTGTATCTTGGTTCCCTCCCCCCTGCCAGTCCCAGCCACTCAGAGCTGCATGTGGTGACAGGGACGGGGCTCTGAACGTCAACCGGTGAGGCCTGTCAAGTCGAGCATCAGCAAGGCTCTGGTTTCGGGCGGGAACGCTGCAGGCTGTGATTGGATCTGGGGGACGTGACGGGAGAGTAAGTGGATAACAGAGTTGAGCTTGCAGCCACCATTGGAAAACGAGCGACCAGGCCAAGGTGTTTTCCGCATGATGGGCTCCATCAAGACCGTCTGGAACAGCTAGCCAGGGTGTGGCCTAGGCGGGCTCTATCACTTTATCACATTTCGAGTTCTGATGGCTTTGAAAAAGAGACGCATGGGGGCCGAGGCTTGTTGTTTTTGGTGAGTGTGTGTTGCTGCATTTTCCAAGGCTTTCGGTGAGGACGAGAGCCTGTAGGAGGGCGCGCGAGAGGACGAGGATTGATGGATGGATGGGCAAGAAAGAGAGAGAAAGCCGCGTTCGTCAGTGTGTCTGTAAGTAGGCGAGAAGCGAGTAGCGAGAGGAGGGGACGGGAGGGGCACACAACATGGTGTTTTTATTAGATCAGATCCAATCACGATGATGATGCTGTGCTCCCACCGCACTGCACTCGTCCCAGAGAAGAAATTAAAGAGGTACGAGTACAGAGAGAAAGAGGGAGAAAGACAACAAACAAGTGAAGCTATTCCGGATTCTGATTTCGGATTGTGATTCTGATATGGGCTCCTGCCCTCGATGCCGCTCTGGGCCGGGCCGGCATTCGTTCCGATATGCTGCCCGCCAAGTGCCTGCGTGCATGTCACGACCTTGTTTGTGTCCAGCCCTTGTCAAACCAAACCAGAAAGGCAGAAATGGGGAAAACCCCAGCCAACAGCCCGCCAACAGCCCGAAAGGAACTGCAACCGCAGCCGGGCTTGCAGCCTCAGTCGGGCCCCCTTGCGTCTGAGGCCTTTTTGGATCGGCGGCGGACCGGCGGTTTATGGACACAGCGGGCTCAGCAGCTTCGCAATCCTGGCAAGCCTGGCATCTGGCCGCTCCTCGAACAAGCAGCGCTGCTCCAAACGCTTCAGCTCGGCCGACTAGCGACCACGGACGGGCAGCGAGAGGCGCCATTTGCATGTACAGTACTAGACTTGCACAGACTATCGCTGCAACAGCGTCTCTGGCGTCTCTGATGCCGCCGCCTGCGTCCCGATACTCTGGGCTCCCGGCCGTCGCCGCCATCGACGCTCATCATCGTACTCTCTTGTACAAGTACGGCGGGCCCCCTGCGGCTGGTCATCCCGGCTTCCCACCTTTCTGCTCCTCTTGTTTGGGCTCGACCTGAGAGAACTGGATTGGACTGGACTGGACTGGCCTGGACTGGTTCTCTTCCCTTGCGCCTCGAGTCCGGTCTGCCTGTCTGTACTTGCAGGCTCCTTCGTCACTCTCACCCCCGTGCCCGCTCTTTCGCTCCTGCCCCCTCGGAGACGCTCCTGGGGGCCTTTGATCCAGTGGAAACACGTCCAGCGTGTCTGTGTCTGTCTTTGGCTGGTCCTCGAGCCTTGACGTGTGCAACACACCCTCCTGCGTTACATGTACGAGTACGATACGCTGCCGCAGCCATGGAGACGGCCGTTGTGAGCTTACGCTCTCCTGACATTTCCGCACGGGTAAGTGACGTCTTATCCCCCTCTCCGGTCCTACGGGCCACGGGTGGCATACGATGCGAGCGTATCTTATGGGGCCGGCTTGGTGGGTTGCCAATCCATTGAGTTGCTGAGTCGTTGCGTGCGTTGCTGCTGCTGCTGTCTCGGAGTCACCTTCGCCCTTTTCGTCTTCTCAATGCCTCGCACACACCCTACCAACACCCCCGGCTGTATGTATCATACCTAAGGTTTGACTCGTACCGACCGCTGCGTACATCTGTCTTGTCTGTCCTGTCTGTCCGCGGCGAATAGGATGAGCGGCGCCTCGTCTCATCTTATTACCGCCGCAGATGCCCGGCCCCCCTTCTTCCTGCCGCGCCGGGGTTGGATGGTCAACCGGACAATGCCATATCGGACACAGAGGGACAAGCCAGATTAGAAGTTGATTTTTGACCGGTTTCCTCACAGGCCCCATCCAGAGCAAAGCGAAAGTGGGCAGACGACGGCGACACGGCCTCCAATGGTACGACCTCAGCTGTCCGGCCCCGAGCCCGAGCCAAACTCAATGAGCCCAAAGGAGGCATTCGGTTGGCAGGTCCATCTCGCACGGATGCGGTATATGCGCCATCATCAACAGGCTCTGCTTGTGCAGCCACCAAAACACAACAACCTGGAGTGGTGGCGGGCCTATCAAGCCCCGGGCGAGTACTGGTACATGGCGAGCCCGTAGCCATCCCGCAACCTCAACCCCAGGCCTATCCAGATTCTCAGCTGCATAGCAGCACTCTGTCAGGCCACTCTTCCCTCGCCAAAGATTGCTATGCCGGGACTATTTCTCGCCAGGACAGCGATGCCATGTCGATCGCTTATACCACTGAACCTACGGCATACAGTCACTACTCCACCACGTCTGCGACTTCTAGCCCACATTTCCAGCAAAACCATTGGCCTGTTCAAGGCCAGCATGGCGATGCCCTCGGCCAGTCTCAGAATCGTCAAGTACCATTGAGTTTGCCTCCCCAGTCTGTGTCACTGCAATCGACTCAAGCCAATGGCGCAGTGTATCGGGGGCACCCAGTCTCACCGCAGCAACCGGGCCAGTCAAGCCAAGATATCGGTACCAACCTCGCAGCGCCCTATCCAACTGGGCATTCATTTCCGCCAGCCTTTCCGAATCATTCTGTTGTTGTCCAATATAATTTCCAGTATCCGCCATATCCTCTTCCTCCCCATTACTTTCAACAGTGCGTACCACACCAAGCAACTGGGCAACTTCCCATCCAGGCGCCACAAGGATATCCCTACCACGGCCCGCAGTATAATACGTCGCACATCTCAGCGGATACCAAACAACTTGGGCCTTCCCTTTTGACGCCTGTGCAATCAGTGGTTGAAAGATCCCAATTGCCCGAGAATCATCAACAGGCTTACCCGTTACAGCAGCCTAGTCGTCAATACTCCATTATTGCTACAATGGACAGCACCATGTATCCTGGGCCTGAAGCTGAGGCAAGCGAAGTTATTCACGTCCAAGATGACGTCTCGTATGAGCATCACACGCACATGACCGAAGCCGCTGAGTGGCAAAACCCAGTGAATTACATCACTGGCGAGACTCATGAAACTGGCGAATTTGGTGATGACAACTCTGATGCTTCTGGAATTTCTGATACCATGGATATCCAATGCGATGTGCATGATGACAGCGAAGTACAAGATGACTCGCTGGGAACAGGTGAGAGACCGCAGGAGCTGGCGCCATCTATATCTATGAAAGAGGAGGATGCTGCATCGTCTTCGATTTCAAAACCGAAGCGAGGTCAACTGAGCCCTACTCATCGAAAGCAAACTGCAGAGACGAGAAAGATTAAGGCGTGTACACGATGCCGAATGCAAAAGATGCGGGTGAGTTCCCACCTGGTTGCCCAAAACAGTGCTTTTACGATGTGTTCTAATGACTAATAAACCCTATGATACAACAGTGTCAAGTGGACACGAATGACCCATCGGGAGACTGTGTAGGATGCAAGACCTTTTCAAAGACGTCGAAGAAGACCATCCACCGAATGCCGTGCTATCGCGGAAAGATTACAGATGCAGTCTTGTTCCGTGCCGGAGGGCTCGAGCTTACTAAACGCTGGAAAGGCACAGAGATGAAGGATGTTGGAGACCGAGTCAACCCGAAGGACGTCCGCACCGTTCTCTTTACTCTGGGCATATGCAAAGAGGAGGTCAAGATTGAAGTAGTCCATTTCAGGCCGCAGTCTGGGGACGTGACTGCGAGGTTCTGGATGGATGGTGAGCAGGGGGTGCGAAAGAAGAAGGATCTAGCGCACTATTGCCTGGCTAACATTCAGAAAACGGCATCGTATTTTGAAGACTACATCAGGAGGAATGCAGTGGAAGTTATATTCAATGAGAGGGCAGGTGGGAGTGACGGGGCTGGAGACATTCTCGAGTCGACGTACGCTTATGCAGTTCGTCGTTTCCAACTTCTCCGAGTATGTTACTTTCCATCTACGCCTTGATACCCAAGGTGGTTATAAGAATGCTAATAGAGTGAGGCAGAGAAAACCGGCACTTCCTGGCAAGGAGGAGAGAGAACTCAATCTCTTGGGCAACTTGTTCATCCTTTGGTTTGCCATGCGTAAGTGAAGAGAATTTGTCCTTTTCTTCTCCTCCGTTTCCACTCGCCCGACTCTTTTGATCTGTTTACCCCTCTCGTCAATGCAACTAACAAGTGGTGTAGGCCACTCGACTGGGTCTTCATGGATCCAGGGCAAGGAACTGTTGGGGATGAAACCCGAAATAAGGGACGAGACATACCCGCTGTTTAAAAGAGTTTCGGTACCACGCATGATCCTTGCGCAGTTTGACAGTATCAACTACACCCGAATTCTCACCAAATACGGAAAGTTTGTCCTCACTGAGCTCGAGTCTCTCATGTCGCGAAACCAGCCAGAATATTTCTTTTTGGTTTATGTCTGCCTGTTTGTCCTTTTGCGAGAGGCGAGCTGGACAAGCGCAGACCGCTACCGCCACGCACGGAATAACCACGGCCAGAGTGTAAGTGATTTACAGCATATACCTCACTGGTCCCCTATCTATCTTTGGTAACCATCCGGTATTCTAACTCTTGCAGCTTCGTTATTCAATCCCGCAATTTGTAGAGAGCCTGCATGACAGCTGCAACAACCTTCTTCAGCATTGGCACTATTATAATGCCAAGTCGTGGCCCAAGCCCAATGAAGCGGCTGATAGGTTCAATACTCATCTGGCCCACATTGAAGCGGCAGAATATAACCTTATGATGAAAGCGCTTACCGATCCTGCAGTGCAGCAACAACTGGATATTTGGAGACATTACAAAGCAGATAATGGCCAAAGTGAGTGCCGATGCCTTTTCAAAGTACCAGAGTGGACGATACTGACGCAATTGGACTCAGTGAAACAACCTGCTCCAAGCAATGTTGGAGGGAGGCCGTACGAGGGGCGCCAGGTCTTTTACGACTGGGATCACCCCTTCTATTGGGTTTCACAGTTATTTGAAGAGAATTGGCAGCCACATGCCACTTACCGGGCAGAATCCGTAGATCCGCTAGCCAGGTAATGAAGCATGAAGCACGATGACGAGAGCCAGCACGAGTGGTGCATGCAAAGGATTCGCTGCATTGCATCATAGGCTCCATGATTGGTTATTTTACGGGGCTTTCATGGATTAGATTTGGGAGGGATAGTTTCGGATCATCGCTCATTTAGGTTGCTTCTTTGACTGGACTACTAATACTTGACTTTTTATTGTCTACGTCATGGTTAGCTGTGGGATTCTGGACTGGGTATGGACGTTTGATATTCTGTGGGTTAAGATTGAACACGACCCAATTGAGGCCAGTTGGCAAAGATTGATTTGCCTTTGAAAAGCATTGAACAAGCACAAGCACATGCAAGTATAAAGTGAACAGGCACAGGCTCGGTCACCAACAGAGGCATGTCGGCAACGTCTGTCACATCTCAACCCACACCCTGTTTTTGCCAGCCAATCCCTGCATGCAAGTCAGCACAAGCGAATCCAACAAGCAGTTACAATGACAATGCAGTACTTTTGCCAGATGTCAACAAAGGTAGCCCAAGTATCGGTACATTGGCCTGGACACCACACAGACAGACGGGGTTGTGAGCTTAGGCGTTTTGCCGGCGCATAAACGCCACCAACCCCAAACTGAACTGGTGTAATTAAAACCCACGAGAATATACAGTACAGGTTAAGCTCTGTTGATCATAGTAAGGGAAGGTGGTTTTTATGTTGTTGGTCCAGGGGGGGCGTCCCAACAACAAAACTACGGCATACTATAAACGCTTTGCCCCCTTTTTTTTTTGTTCAACGGCCTCTTTTCCTTTTTCATCGTGTTAATGATGGGCTAAGTTACTAGGTATGCTTCTTTAAGTATAGCTGGTATGGGGGGTTTTGTTGTTCCCACCTTTTGCCGCCTGCGTTAGTTGGTTAGTTAGTACGAGTAATTTTTGACAGGCGGCTCGTCCCGTCGGACTGCTTCTGAAACGTGCATTAGTTGTTGAGACTACTGAAGGTGGGAAGAGACTGGAGCTTTACTTGGCCTGTTGGATGGGAATTGGAAAATACTATCGTAGTTATAGGGTATATTTTAGGCGAAATGGTGTATGTGTAATATACGGTGCTGTGGACCGTCGGAATGAATGGCTTGTAGACGATGTAAGATGGCAAAAAGTTTGGTATATTAGTGCGTAGTTGGAAGATGGACGGGATGTGACGCCGAGCGGCATTTTCACTTAAGAGCTACCGTAACAGCAGAGGCTATTTAACGAGACAGTATCTCAATAATTAGGTCTTGCGTATGGTGGTTTGAGGTTGGTGGTGATGTGCTGCACGTTACAGTGTCAAGTAAGAGGTGTTAGTCATGATGAGTTACTCATGATACGGATGAACACATCAGGCCTATACAAACCTCAAGTTTTACCAAACAACTTTCCAATTGCGCTCTTGACTTATACTAACCGCTGTCTAGATAGGCCCGGGACCACTGGCTGAGGTGTAGGGACGTAAAGACGTACTGAAAGAAGGCAAGAAAAGTCCCAAACGGGGATCGAAATTGTAAAGAAAGACCAAGATTGTTCAAACCCACCCAAACAAACAAAGCAACCCCGCAAAACCGGAAATAATCCTAAAGGAAACAAGTTAAGCAAAAGAGAAAGAGCAAAATAAAAGACCCAAATAAAAGACCCAAATAAAAGACCCAAATTCCAATCTCAATCCGACCAACCCACCATATCTCCTCCTCAAGACTCCCTCCATCAAGACTCCAATCCCCTTGCCCAACCGTGCTCATCATAGACGCCAACCATAGTCACTAACGTGGTCTACGCCTATTCTCACGCACCAGAAACGGCCGCATCCTCATCTTCGTCTCGAATCTGGTGACAAAGTCCGCATCCGGCTGCACAAGTCCAGCACTGGCCCAGCCCTCCTCGGGCCACTCCTCGTCGGCGGAAATGACTTCTCTAAAGCTGCTTCCATAGCCACGAGAACGATAGAGATTTATCCGACTACCATTGCCAGGCCGATTACAAACCCACATCCTTGCACGGTGGTCTCTTTCACGCTCATCCTCGCCATGGGTCTGGTGTATAACTCCCAAGGCCTCCTTGAGATCCGCATACTCCTTTTCCATTTTCCACGTCTCATACTCTGTTGGCAGCGTAACTTGAATCAATTCTTCGAGTGACGCATGCTCGTAAAACTCCCTCATTCTGATGGCTTCATTCCAGCGGACCACTTGAAGACGATTCTGTGGCACAAGCAAGGCATTCACCTTGGCAGAGTCGGGCTGCTCTCACGTATTAGTTGAGTAATGCACAATAGATATATATCATGTTGACACCATCTTACCGCGTCGCCATTGAAATGCTGCTCTATCTGAGCTGCTCTATCCATTGGTGGAGGGGGTCCCATGCCGGTCAGGAGTCTCCGAATCTCGAGTCGCCCATACTCCTGAATCTCCTCGCGATTCAGCGAATAGTCTGCAATTTCGCTTTCCAATCGATGCGCGTGAAGAGCTCGGTGAAGCCTGCTCTGGGTGGCTGTGGATTGTAGCCAACGAGGGGGTCGTCTAGAGAGCTGTCTCTCTGTCTCTATACCAGGCATTAACTCTGTGGTTGGTGTCTCTGGGGTTGGCGCTTCGGTGGTCGAGTCGACTTCCATTGGTGTTTCTGGCGTCGGTTGTTCCAACATAAAGGACGCCAGCATCTCCGCTTCCAACTGCTCGTCTGGCGTCAGCTCTTCTGAGGGCAGTTGCTGCAATGGCATCTGCGGTTCCTCCGATATATCCCCATTGGATGTCTCTTCCACCACTGGCTCTTGTAGTGGTGCCTCTTCCATGGGCTCGTCGTGTATCCGGTCCTCTTCCATCTTATACGCTCTCTTGTCGTAAATAACGAATATTCGACAAGGAGCGGAACGCTGACTCGCTGTAGGCAAGCATATAAATTCGAGGACGAGATGCAATGGCAAATCAATCGTCCGATTCCGCTCTCTGGAGTAATGGATTTAAAGTCTGTGGAACTGACACCTGACAGCGACGAAAAGACTTTGTGGATGATACCAAGTCTAGGGAAACCATCCAGGTGTCCACCTGCCAGATCTATCAGCAAACCATGCTTCTTGAGCAAGCCTACCTAGTACTCAGAGCGAAAGTATAAGGGCGTCGAGAATCGGAAGGAAAAAAAATAGTAGTCCAGGAGAGGACGCTGGTACCTCCGATGATGAAATTTCCTCGGAGGTCGCTGCAAGAGAGAAAGATAATTAGAAGGAAGAGAGAGAGAGAAGAGAAGAGAAGAGAGAGAGATGGCAGATGCCAGAGCAAGCCAAAAGACCAAAAGAAATTAGAGAGAGAGATAGAAAAGGTTAAAGATGGCATGTAAAGTCAAGAATCCGCCTCCCCTCAGAGCAGTGCCTGCCAGTCAAAACACCCCCAGACCGCCTCCCCAGCCGCTCTGCATTTTCCTGCACTGTGCCATTTCCAAATGCTGTCTTGCCCTATGGTCATGTGCAAGATAAGGGAAAGGAAGACGATAGATGCAGAAATAGAGTTCGAGGATCTGGAGGTCGTGCAAACCCACAAGGGTCTCCGTTTGTAGTCGATACTGGCGGGCGAGAATACACGGCACGTGCCCTCCTATCTTTGCCGGACATCATATGGGATAAAGACATTGAACGTTACATACAGGCCCCGTGAGAGATAGTATTTGAAGTAGATAGTACCTGACATAAAGGCAGAATGGCAAGCATTGTTCAGTGACAACCTTGGTAGGTCTCCAGAAAAACTGCCTCGGTACATTCACCATCTCGATGAAGCACCAGTCACAGAGACGCGAACACTCATGTAAACTCTGTCCAAAGCCTTCTCTCAAGTACACGCCCCATATTCACAGCCTTGGAGCTCCATAAAGACATCACAGATCGGTAAGGGCATCACAGCCCTATAATGACACACGAACAGAAAGTATATCAAATCCGCTGCGTCTCAAGAAAAGAAGAAAATCCCACACAGTAACAAGAAGAAGAAAAGCCCACAGTAACAAGAACAACTACTCATAAACTCATTCTATATATACTTCCAGCATGGTATCCATAGCATGAATCAGCATCACAGCACCAAACACCCTCGGAATAACTTTATATGTTCTATGCCCCCCCCCCCTCCCGTCGCCCCTTATCTCATGGCTCAACGCCATCGCATCTTCCTCCAACCCGGCCTAACCCGCCTCGCCTCCCGGACGAGCATCTAGCTCCGATCATCCTTCTTCAAAAACATTTCCAAGACGACCCGCTCCCGGTCCTTTTTCGTCTTATCCTTGTCATCGCTCGTCCGGAACAGCAGCGGGCTGACAATCTCCGCATATCTCCTCTCCCTCACCCTCCTCTTCCTAGCGGCCTCCGTCTCTCCAGGGCGGAAACTTAGTCGTCGAGTCAGTGCGCCGAGTGCCGGCGAGGGCTGAGTTGCGGGGTTCAGCTCGCCAACCACACGGGAGAGTGTAGCTGTCAAAAAGACGAATGCAATGTTATGGCTCGGAGACATTGAAAGCAAGTCGAGAATGTGATTCTTCACATCTGTCCATGATGCTACCGGCAGGGTAGTCAGGTTGGGCAGTTCGATTGAGAGCTTAGCCCAAAGATGCGGTGGAATGAGCCCGTCCATGAGGGATTCGAGGAATAACAGCAGGATGGATGAGTAAACCTCCAGCTTTTGCGTTGACAAGAGTTCCACTGGTAGAGCATCCCCCAGGGGCGAATTCGTGTCCAGTGCGGAGATGAGAGCTGCTTCTAGTTCGTCTAGTTTTGCAGCTTCCACAGTCCATGTCGACGCATCCAGTGGCCAGCCGGGATCTCGCGGCACAGTCAAATCATCCAGCATCGCCTCGTCGGCTATACACCGCTCAGCTGCGGTCTGGATGGCTTCCGTAAGCTTGAAGAGTTCTCGTGGTGCGGAGCAATGCACATCCCAGTCGTAGGTAATGGTCCCTTGAATGCCCTTTTCCTTGACAAATTTCCGTATGCCGTATTCCGGTACTCGAATCAGCTCGTCGATAGACCGGCCAAAACAGCTCGGGAGCCAGGTCCCGTGTACGGGAACAAAATGGTCCTTGCCACCCTCGACACGCAATACCAAAACCCCATCCAACTTGCAGCTGGCATCATTGAGCGCGCGAACATGTGGAATCTCGCAGACGCGCGCCTCAATTATAGCCAATATCGTCTCCCCAGGTTCGAGGGTCACTGACTCTCCAAGCTTGCTCTTACTGCCATCTTCATCAGGCCGGTGGAAAGACGTCTTTAGCCATTGTGAAGAGCCCATATCATCCTCGCTTGTTTGTGTCTCGTGAAGAAACTCAAAGCTAGCAGCTGCACTACTAGTGTTGGCAATGGTTATTGAGCACGAGTGCGTTTCAAAGAAGCCGACATAGCCAAAGTCCACCACGCCATCTGTATGGCCGTGGCCGCCTTCTACGATAAGAGTAACACCAGGCCGACCCTCATTCTCGGCGCGATCCAACTCAAAAGCGATTTCGGAGTGGATTCGAGCCTTCTTTTCTGGATCAACGGCGTCGTAACGTAGAGTAAATGTAGAAATTACTGGCTTATGATCCGAGGATGTGATTCGCTGATGCGAGGTGTAAAGATCGAGAGAGATTTGATCTTGATCGCCGTCGTCTGCTTCCGCGCCAGTGTCATTTATATCATACTCTTCATATTCATCGTATGCCTCACTGGATGCTGCTTTTAGCGGCTGTTCCTCTCCATCGGTGTCGGGGTCGTAGCTGAAGAGAACATCGTCATCTTCCTCGATCCCTCTTGTTCTCATCTCGTCGTCTTTCATCTTAGCCTCTTTCAGCTCTTCTACTATCTTTTCATACGCCTCCTTGTCCTTGCGTGTCCTATAGAGGACCCGATCACACCAGCTAGGCGCCCTCTGCTTCTCGCTCGTATCAAATAAGCCAAAAGTACCGACATCGTACTTGAAAGTTGGTAGGAATGAGATAGGTCCTTCTCTCCAACCATCGTGGAACAATTTATGTTGCTTAATTACTCGTCTCAGTTGGTCGTGCGGTAGAAGCGAGTCGATGGTTGCCTGTAGAGAAGCCGGATCCTGGCTGGGATCTTCAGGGAAATCGTCTGGGTCTGGCAAGGAGCTTTCTGAGTCGAAACTTTGGTCAAAGCTGTGATCCCGGGAATGCATTGATGACATTGTAGTCGTCTCGTCGTCGCTTTCTGACGACCTCATGACTATGATGCCATCGCCGCCCTCGATGGGTGGTGGCTTATCGTTGCTCAAATCGTATTCTCCCCGAGCATGCAATGTTAAGAGCCTTCTGATGTCGTCTCCTGGTAGGCCATCGAGGCGGAAATTCATGTCTCCAAACCAAAATGCAAAGTCCTCGTCTCCAATCCTGTCGCCATCATCATCAGACACGCCTGAAATCACAATTGGGTCAAACTGGGTTTTTGACACAATCTGCCCTACATCCCAGCACCGTCTGTTGAGGGAAGCCGAGTCTGCGCCGCTAGCGAGATGGCAATTGACAAAGAGGAGCTTTGTAGTTTCGCCCAGCACAAGGCGAGTGGCCACGGCGCCTTTGTTTCCAAAGTATCCGAGCAGTCCTGTTCCGACCTGCTGCGTAGAAACATTGCTTATTGAGGGGGCGATCGTGGGAGAGGCGTAAATCAAGAGCAATAGGCCCGTCATTTGCTCAGACACAACAAGCTGATACCCTTGGGGTATTGCTGCTTCCAGCGCTGCCGTCCATTTCTCCATGGGCCCATTATCGACGTATATCCGGTTCATGTACTCTCTTGTCTGGTTGAGATCCACCACTTCTTGCAGTCCCAGTACGTAGAGATCAAAGCCGACGTTGTTCCCTAGTCGTCTTGACTCGGAGGTTGGTGGAGCATCGGAGATGTCGAGGGCCGAGAGGCCATTGCCAACTTCATTATCTTCGGTGAACCAGCTGGCAAGATCCTTGTCGGTGCCGGTGCAAGCCGCTACATTCCACGTGCCTACTTTGACCCGGATCTGGCTCGGGCGAAGGTATTCGGAGCGGCGAGACAGGACAGCCCTGGCCAGAGACTGGGGAACTCCGACTTCGACCGGATCCGAGGCGATGGACTGGCTGGTCGGCTCTCTGATGGACTCGGCCATTGTGTAGTACGACAATGACGACGAAGAAGAAGATCGTTGAATGCGACGTCGCTACCTCTCAAGGTCGTGGATCTTCTTGCCGCTGCCTGGCTGCTAGATCATGATGCGGCGATTGTGGTTGCGATTGCGATTGCGACACAGATGGGCGTAAGGCGGCCGCATATATGAATGAGTAAAGGTACCTATGCGCAGTACTCGGTAAAACTGCAGCAATTGATGGACGTGATACAAATCAGAGTCTATGAAGTAGTATCGGTTTCAATAATGGTAGAAGAGCTTTGTTGAATGGACAAAGAAATGTAGTAGTAGTAGTAGTAGTGAACAGGGGTAAGGTAGAGATGGAGCTTCCCCGTACTCGTACTCAGGCCATTCATTAGAGCTCGCGTCAATGCCGGGAATAGGCTGCTCAGGTCCCTATCGATAAGCTCCAGCAAACGCCTAGCGTTATTGAGGCACACTACAGCTGCTATTGGATCCGCCCCTCTTGGCTCTCGGGCTAGTTGAGCTCTCAGCTCCGGCCTGGATATCCAACCTAGGACTGTCATCTACATCCACAGATTGCAAACAACGACTCTACGCATCCTCACCACCATCATACTCACCATTACTACATCCTCTACATATATCTACAGCAATAACCATTCTCAGCTTATACCGGCATCTCCTTTTCACCTTGTTGCTTGCGTCAGGACAGTCTCGACTTCATCATACAACACTCTCCGTCCTTGATCAAACACCTCGGCCTCGTTGTTGTTATTGCTTCCTCTCTGCCAACCACCGCATACATAGCACTCCCCTTCTACTCCTCCTCCACCCTCATTCTCCCAAAGAACCTCCGCAGCCATGAGTCGTCCGACGCCCCGTAAGTCGCGGCACAACCGCCATCCCTCCAACCGCATCCCCGCCATCTCCGACTACGAATCCGACGCCGCAGTCATGACCTCCGCCTACGAGGCTCCCCCGCCACGAACAAACACCGAGCTCAACCTCTCCGTCCTGCAGCGCTACCTGCCCTCCATCAGCAGGATCCTCAGCATCGCCGCCAACGCCGTCGTCTACACCTTCGACGCCGCCGCCCAGAGCTGGGAAAAGTCCGGCATAGAGGGCACCATGTTCGTCTGTGCGCAGACGCCGCTGCCAGAGGACGTCGACCACCGGCCGAGAGCGTGCGTCTTTGTGCTGAGTCGACGAGGGTTGGATAACGTGGTTGTCGATCTGGCGAGGGTCGGTCATGTGGAGCTTATGGGTGAGCTGGTGATTCTCAAGGTTGAAGGCGACTGGGAAGCAGACGAGAAGGTGGTTGGACTGTGGATTCACAATGATGAGGAAAATACGAGGGCAACAAATGGCGCCATTATTGAGGAGAGCTGGAAGATTGCGCGAGCTGCTGGGACGGTGTCGAACGAGGGACCAGAAGCTGGGCCGGCGATGCAGGCAATAGGACGGCCGCTAACGCTTAACGAGCTGTTTGGGAGACAGAAGGAGGCTACTGGAAGTTGAGCAAAGCAATTGCACGGAGCTGAGCTTTATTAACTTGGCATGAACTTGAGCATCATTACGGAAAGGAGACATGGATTACATCCAAATATCGGATTCGCTGCGAAGGCGGGTGATTGGCGGGATCTGGCTGCAAAAGGCCTATTCATTCAGAGAACTACGACGAAAAGCTGCCGTCAGAGCCATTCTACACAGATCCCTCCTTCATCCATGGTCAAAGGAATTGTAATCTCATTACCCGGAACATACTGCCCTACCACAGGCACACTTCCGGCGCATAAGTGCCAGTCTATCCATAGACTCGTCCTGAGCAACCAATATCTAGATACAATAAACAAACAATCCATACGCCGATTAGCTTTGTAATTCGCAACTCCTCGCTCCCTAGTCGCCTCTTCTTTGATCCTTGTTTTAAAATCACCTTAATCCATATCCAATTACACCGTTCCGCTAATACTCAGCTCCCGAATCTCCTGCAGCACCTGCTCCACTCTTGCATCAAGGTGACCCTCTGCATACAAATCTCGAGTGTCCGCATCCAGGTATTGCTGTACTTGCGCCATACGCGAGTATGCCTCTGCGCAGAACCGCAGCTGGATCTTGACCAGGGCTTCAAAGCTGGGATCCAGGTAGGGAACACGCAGGTCAATCAGCTGCGGCAACTCGGTGGTGAGCTGCTCATTCAGCTGCTCGTACACGGCCTTTGACATTTCCAGCTCCTTCTCCGTCCGCGGCAGCTTAGTGGCATCCTTGTCTGGCTTCTCGACCAGCTTCTTCACCTTGGCTCGCAGAGCGTCGTAGTCGAGAAGCTTGTGCGAGCGCTTCTTGATGCATTCGTTGACGTCGGGGAAGTAGGCGCAGAACCGGGCAATGGGATCGAGCACCGTCATTCGGTAAGGGCCGTCGAGGGCCTTGATGGTTTCGGCGTCGAGGTCTTCGACAGCCTGCTTGTAGCTCCTGCTAACGCCATCCTTCGCACCGGAGTCGCCGTAAAACGCATCTATCGTCTCGGCGATTCTCATCTGTGAAGCTGTCATGGCTGGGTTTTTTGGTCGGGCATGTTAGTCGGGCGCTCGGAACGTTCGGCCGGGCGTCTGCCTACCTCTCAAAGAGTCCAGGTAGCCCTTTGATTCTTTCTGCAGCCGCAGTGCAGCTGTTTCCATCGTCTTGAACCGTCTGTAGTTGGGTCAGCACGTGCCATCCCTCGCCCAGCCGCTTGAATCCCCTATATCTGACCTCTCTTCGACCTCGTAATCGCGATCGTTTGTCTTTTCCACATGCCCTACAACCACAAGGTCAGAATTTTGTTCAAACAGAATGGTCACCAGCGCTGCTCACCCGTCTTCATCATCACCTGCGTCGTCGCGCGGTTCACATTCTTCTTGAATCCTAGAATCCCGTCAGCCCCTCTCCCTCTCTCTCAGCGGGGCATCCGCAAGCTCCGTACCCGCCCACGACATGTTGACTGTCTTGTTCGCTGGTAAATAAGACTGATGTGCTTCTGCTCTATCGCGGGGATCGAGGACTGCAGGGTATTTCTTTGCCGGTTTGTGCTGGTGCTTGTTCGATCGATTGCGACGGGATGACGGAGTACGAGTAAGGAGTTTGAGAGGCTTAAGAGCTGGACAAAGTGACGACTGAGCTGGGGCCCAGCCACGATGCTCCGCCCAATCGGCTCATCGACGTCAGCGATGGGCAGCTCAGCCACACCTGGAAAATCCATCTTCCGCCACTCTGCGCATTCAGTCTCACGTGAGAAGCCATCAACTTTTCTTTGCTTGTTCCATCCAGGTCCAAATCCGGTTCATGATTTGCAAGCGGGAGCGGAATCGGCGGGGATTCTTTGAGTTTCTGCTCGATGCGGAAAGCATGTTAAAATTCAACCCTCGATTCCTCATCGTCAGCCTCGGGAATCCATTGCCAAAATACGAGAGTCTACATTCGGCCGGTCACTTTGTCCTCAATGGCCTCGCAAAGACGCTTCACTTGCCGGCCTTTCGCGAGGTGACGCTGGGCAGGCAGTCTTGCTTGGTATCTCAGGGCCCAAAGTACATTCTTGTGCAGTCTCCGACTTACATGAACACCTCCGGAGGCTTTGTGGCGAATGCATGGCAGGAAACCGTCCGGAAATACGGTGCCGAATCACTCGGGCTAGTGATTGTTCACGATGAGCTGGAAAAGGACTTTGGGGTGGTCAAGCTTCTACCGTGGGACCGCAGTCCGCGTGGGCACAACGGCGTCAAGAGTGTGAGAGGCTCGTTATCGCAGAAAAAGTATCCGGAATCACCCTTTGCCCGCATTGCCGTCGGCATCGGGCGTCCTGAGGAGCGAGATGCAGCTACAGTGAGCCGTTATGTGCTCAATAAAATCTCTCGTGAGCACCGAACGACGTTAGAGGAAGAAACGCCTTGGGATGTCGCAAAGTGTCTCATGGAACTGGAGAACCAGTGGAGAATTGACGTCCAGGGCGGTTCGGGAGGAACCACAGAGCCATGATTAACCTTTTACTCTTCTCATTCTTTATCATCTCCCTACATGGAATCCACATCTTTTCGATGGGAAAATCACATCTCTTAACGACATCATTGAGATCATCTGGAGCAGGCTGTTGCATTTAGAGGATGAGCGTGTCCGTGAGGAACCGGACGGCCACTTGATATCGACTTGGATTCGATGTCATCTCACAATAGAGGAGCGATTCATCAACATAGATACACCACCAAACCGGGATCTTGACAGAGATGAGGAGCTAATATCAGACACAATGCTCTGCCCTCTGACTTGTCTTGTCCCAGTGCGGCTCCAGCAAGTGCGGGAGAGAGCCAAATCTCCCCGAGAGCCGCACCACGCTGCACTGCAGTGCAGTTTAGAAAGACAAAATAGCGGAGGCCATGTTTTAATCAGGCATGTCACCTCTTGAGATATCATCTTACATCAACTGGGAAGCGATTAGAGCCGTGTGATGAATGAACGCACAAGCCAGTTTTGCCAGTGTTGCTAGAATGTTTCCGATCGGAGGCTCGACTCAAGACCAACACGGTCTCCTATTCCAAATCTTTGCGAAATTGCCATGTCTTACACCAAGCACTCTTGTGAACCACCGGCATCGGACTCGTTTGAATGCGCTGCTTGGTCGGGACCCCGAAACTCTGTTTATACTGTGGATATTCGATATGCATGTGAAAGTGAGATTTGCTCGAATCATGTCTTTGCAAACTCTTATTCATCCACCGTGGCTGACACCATACGAAAGTATACATCGACTTTTCATGATCGATGTCTCAGACCACGTTCGCCTTACCCGGGACGTACGGGGAGCGAGCTGGAGATATCCGGGGGAAGACGTGGAGGAGGCATCCTTGGCATCACAAGCTGGACAGCCATCAGGCACAACCTCACGACGCTAAGGCCAGCCCCCCACAAGCGCGGCATTCCAGAGATAAGGAATGACGGCCCAATCAGCGGCACCGGACTGTGGCTGTTTGGGCATTATCTCGCCCGGGGTGCCATGCGTCTAAGGGAGCCAAGGGGAGCGTCTACACCAGACAGGGAATAGGTTCCGTCGCCCCAAGGATGAGAGGCTTGGAGACAGATGCCACTGATAAGAGCCATGTGGTGTGTAAGGCCTTGGCGGATAAGCACAAATGGCTTCGCGTAAGGGCCATGAGATTGTCCGCCCCATGCAGATACGGACACAAGCCAGACACAAGCCAAACGCTTTTGCTATCGGGCAGTCGTGCAGGGTCCAAGTCGCTGCTTTGGTGTGTGCCCCAGATCCAGTGCATATCCAGACACGCGCGATGCCTCCCTTTAATACGGAGTACGATCTGGCGCAAAATGGATATACGGGTGGGGCAACGTTTTCTTTGATGGAATCGCCCCAGAGCTGATGAGGCAGGGAGAACGATGCAACATGGCACTGCAGGTGGCGCATTTCCAATACCACGGAAGACGCTTTCAAAGGGCGAAAGGCATCCACAGGTACCGTATTGAGGCTGGTGCGACGGCCCGAGAAGGGGGGATGTCCGAAGGAGAGAGATAACGACGCCTTTCCGAGGACTCACTCATACACCGTATACTATGAGAGGCGGTTCAACAAGACGAAGACGACCCAAGGGCTGCTGTTCTTCACAGAAACCATCACCTCATGTTGCTCCATGCCCGAAGCATTGATTACAGACAAGCAAATGAATAATGGCTCCTGTCATCGGCTAGCTTTCCTTTATTACTTTGGTTGCTTGGCCCGGCCATGCTCTTGATATGCACGAGATAAGCCTCCCAGATAAGCATCGACCCAACATGGCACCAACGTCCTGGAGAGCCTGTGGGAGGCGCATCACTTATCTCTGTGGCTTCATCCCTGGCCACTTACAGTAGTGGGTGTCCGCACCAATGAAGTTGCCATCCATTTCGAGGGCGATAAGCTCATCTGAGAGGCGTGGCACCTGCAGCCCCGATTTCACATCGTACCTGTCCTGGGTTATGCGAGACTATTGACTATTGGGCCTCATGGAGGCTAGTGAAGTGGCAGCACTTTATGCTACGGGCGTGGGATGAGACTGTTTCTCACATGCCCCATTCATACGATTCATCCAGTGAGATGTTATTATAACTTTAGTTCATCCGAGCTGAAAAGCTATGCGGGATAAGTCGGGGGGGTCCAGGAAGTTTATGCGGAACTGATGGGATTGAGTGCTTTGACTTTGATCGGCATTGGCCTGTAATACCCATTTGGGGGAGTGATATATATCATCCCAATCCTCCCAATCTCACCCTCGCATCCTGTTCCCTGCCGATCCATTCTCTCTCTCCCCTCTCTCGCCGGTCTGGTGGTTTTTACTCGACATACCTTTGTGGTTTATCGTCGAACTCGAGGAGTAGCTTTGGCTACACAGCGAAGACACCAAGGAACGAGGCGATATTAGACGACCTTTTTGGGAACATACGAAAGAATCGGGAAAAGAATCATTCATCATGTCGTCGGTCGTTGCCTACAATGGCACCACAGGGAAAGCAGACGACGGTCACTCGACCGGCGTCAGCGACCTCAACATCTTCTACGACGTACGTCCATTACTCTATCTTGGTGGAATAGGGGGAGGCAAAGCAAACAAAACAAACCAGCTCAACTAACACTCTCTGCCATGTAAACAGCCCGGTCAAATGGCCTGGATCCTCGTCAGCTCCGCCCTCGTCCTGCTCATGATTCCCGGCGTGGGCTTCTTCTACAGCGGTCTCGCGCGCCGCAAATCGGCCCTCCAGCTCATCCTCCTGTCCATGGTCTCCGTCGGCGTCATCAGCTTCCAGTGGTTCTTCTGGGGCTACTCGCTCACCTTTTCGCGAACCGGAAATGCCTTCCTCGGCGACCTGACGCAGTTTGGTCTGATGAAGACGCTGGCTCAGCCCAACGGCTCTGCTAACCTGCCTGATATCCTCTTCTGTCTCTACCAGGGCATGTTTGCTGCCATTACGTGAGTCTCTCATCTCATTCCCACTCACTCGGTTTCATCCCTCAACTAACATGATCTAACAGTCCCGCCCTCGCCATCGGTGCCGTCGCCGACCGTGGCCGCATGCTCCCCGCCATCGTCTTCATGTTCATCTGGTCCACCGTCGTCTACGACCCCATCGCCTACTGGACCTGGAACTCCAACGGCTGGCTCTTCAAGCTCCCCTCGTACGACTTCGCCGGAGGCGGCCCCGTCCACATCGCCTCGGGCACCTGCGCCCTCGCCTACAGCATCATGCTCGGCAAGCGCACCGGCTACAATAAGAACAACGGCCTGCCCTACCGCCCCCATAGCGTCACAAACGTCGTCGTCGGCACCGTCTTCCTCTGGGTCGGCTGGTTCGGCTTCAACGGTGGTTCCGCCCTGGGCATGAACATTCGTGCCGTCATGGCCTGCTTCGTCACCAACTTGGCTGCCTCTGTCGGTGGTGTTACTTGGATCCTGCTCGATTATCGCTTGGAGAAGAAATGGAGCACTATTGGTTTCTGCTCTGGCGCCATTGCCGGCCTTGTTGCGATTACGCCCGCTTCTGGTTTCGTCACTCCTTGGGGAGGCTTCATCATCGGCGTCGTGGGTGCCATTTGCTGCAACTTTGCCACCAAGCTCAAGTTTCTCATTGGCGTTGACGATGCCCTCGACATCTTTGCCGTCCACGGCATTGGCGGTATGGCCGGCAACATCATGACGGGCATCTTTGGAACGTAAGTCAATATCATATCATCCTAACCACCATCATCTCTCTAACATTATTTTCTTCCACAGCTCCTCCATCGCCTCCCTCGACGGCGGCTCCTACCCCCCCATCGGCTGGATCCAGCACCACTGGGTCCAGCTCGGCAACCAGCTCGCCGGCATCTGCGCCGCCTTCGGCTGGTCCTTTACCCTCTCCTGCATCATCCTCTTCCTCATGAACCTCATCCCAGGTCTATCCCTCCGCGTCAGCGCCGAGGACGAGGAGGTTGGCGTGGACGACTGCCAGCTCGGCGAGTTTGCTTACGACTACGTCGAGCTGACGAGGCATGTTACTGATGGTGTGGCGCTGTCTACGCCGGCGGTTATGAGTAGTAGCAGTTCGACGGCGGAGAAGCATTCTGCTGAGAAGACGCCTGTTGAGACTGTTTGAAATAAAAGTAGTTTCATTGATGAGTTGGGATGAAAGTTGTTGTGTAAAGGCGGTATTAATAGTATTTTAGGGAGTACATAATGTTTTTGATTTGCTGGGATGGGGGGATGCATGTTTATTGATACCATTTTTTAGAGCATTCTAGTATTAGTCTGATGCAATACTACATACATACATATTTACACATGTTCATATTTCGACGTATTCTTCTCATGACACTTGACAAGAGTAAAGCTTCAATATTTACGAATCAATGCAACATATGTAGTTCTCATAGCATTCATCCGATCATCAAAATCTACTTCCACAAAATCACCGTGAATCAGAAACACGAAAATAAGACTTCAAATCAATTAATGCAACCCAACTATATCAAACCCAAAGCCCGTCTAATAAAAACCCTCCCATCGTCCCAAGCCCAGACTCGTATTCACAGCTTCAATACCATGCAAGGCATACACAGTGTTTCCCTAATAATCCCCTCCTTTCATTCCCTAATAATTCCCCCCATTCATTCCATTTCCGAACCAAAAAAGACACACAAGAGACAAAAGTTAGGAAGGCGAGTTAAACAATGATAGAACAGCGTTTCTCATTCCTGACACTCTTCACAGCTTTTTTTGTTTCATGCCGCCGAAACTTAATCGCACAGTCTCTCCTCTTCTCATACGGCACAGCCGAGTTCAGTATCAGTGTCAACCATCCCATGTAACAATAACCCTTATAGTAAATAAAAAAATCCACCCGTTTGTTTCCCCCCCGTCTCAGAACAAATAGTACTTAATAGGATGAGACTGTCAAAGTGATGCAGCTTGCTAGTTATGCAACATCGCTGCACCAGGCAGAAGTCATCCGTACTCGTTTGTTAAGACCATGCTCATCTAGAAGCGTCTCGTAGCGTGATAATAAAAGAATCCGAATCATGACCAGTTTTGTACCACGTAACCATTGCCGTGCACGCCAAACATGTAAACTCCGTGGCTGCGCTATAAATATAGAACACTAATCCCATGCATCGCGAAAACAGGGGTGCCGTGAATAGATATGCTTTCATTCCTGGGAGGACGGAGTGATGGTATTGCCCTCATTATTGGAGGCTCCCTTTTTCACACCATTCCATCTTCTCGTCTATCGAATGTGCCTGTTAACCAATGACTTTCAAGGCATTGCATACTGCAAGCCTGTACAGACAATAATTCAAAATCTTCAGTTGGCGTCGCCTTGCTGCTGCTGCTGCGGCGGCGGCTGTTGTTGCTGCGGTTGCTGGTCTGGCGTCGTGCTCGGTGGCTGATGCATAGTCACCGTGCTAGCACCTGTAGAGGGCCCTGCCGTTGCTGAATTGCCCTGTCGAGAAACAGAGGGCTGCGATAGGCCCGCGATGCTAGCATGGAAACTCTGAGCATTAGGAACCACCATGCTGGCGGAGCTCAAGGGAACGACAAAGTTGGGGAACGATCTAGTTCTGATAGTGCCTGTTGTCTCGTCAAAAAGCTCTGCTGCAGCAGCTGGCCCGTATTGCTGGGTAAGCATGTTGGTGAGAAAATTGGACGAAGAGTTGATGGTAGGCGGCTCGATCGGAGGAGGTACGGGAGGCACCTGATTGGCATCACCAGGGGCTTGCTGAGGCTGCAGGTGGAAAGGCAGATTCTGAGCCTGCACGTCTACAACCATTTCACTTGCGTCCAATCCCTCAAAGTCATTATCTTCGTAGGCCATGTCATCGTCAAAGCCCTCGCCTTCGGTGGTTTGAATTGGGGGTATTCCGCCGGCTCGGCGCTGCCCTGCTCTCAGCATGCGGCCGGCATGTCGTTGATAGAAGCTGTCTCGGAGGTCTTCGAATTGCGGTGCAGTGTTCAGGTACTCGCGGAATTTGGACACCATGTTTCCAGAAAACACACAAAAGACGTCCCGCTGATGCTGCGTAAACTCTGTTGCTACGTCAGTATGCGATCATCGGTCACCCTGAAACGAGGTAAAGAAGAGAAGAAGGCAAGGGAGGAAAAGGACAAGACTAACCAGCTGGTGCTGCTCTGCAAAAGGGCTGGAATTCGTCTCGTTGGAATGCCGCCACTCCAGTCAAGCTGAGATGGGTAAGACGGGGGCACGAGTTAAGTAGCCTCATGATGCTCTATATCTCATATTAGTTTCTTATTCGTACGCCCTCCGAGAAAGAAAGACCATACCTTAAGAGTCAGGTTCACGCAGTAGCTGAGATGGACTCGCTCCAAGCTTGGGGCGAAATACTCGCCGCCCAAAAACATTCCGTTGGCGTCTCTCCTGACCCGCGGACGATATGCCGCCTCGGCAAGCGCAAAGACGGATTCGTCTGTAATACTGCTACACTTGACCAAGCCAATGCGCTTGAGCTTGGGCAGCCCGGCGAGGCATCTGACGGACGCATCAGTGAGGAGTGTGCAGCATCCCAGATCAATATAGCGGATGCGGTTGCAGCTTCGCACTAGGCGAATGACCCCTTCATCGGTAATCTGGCTGCAGTGGCCGAGGTGAACATAGTGGAGGTTCTTGCCCAGCTTGGCAATGGAGTGGATGGCGGCATCCGTGATGTTGCGGCACTTGGAGAGAAGCAGGTTTCGCAGGCGAGGGGCAGCGTCGATAATCTTGCCAACGGCGGCGTCGGTGAGGCGGCTGCAAGACGTCAAATCGAGGATCCGCAGGTGCTCATAAACCTGGGTCGGCGGCAGGGAGAGGAAGGCGTCGTCGTCAATCAGCTCGCAGTTGGCCAATCTGAGCTCGCGGAGACTGTTTCCCTTGGACAGGAGAGAAGTGATGGGGCCATTTCCGATCTGGACGCACTGGTGGAGATCGATTTCCAGGATGTTTGGGCAGTGCTCCGCAAAGGCAAGCACAGCGTTGTCACGCAGTTGAACACATTCGTTCAATTTAAGCTTAAAGAGAAGAGTGAAAGTTAGCCAGCTTGTCAAAGAGAGTGGATTGAATGGAGACGGGTGGCGGGGATTAAGATATAAAGTTGTGTCAAGTCCACAATACATGTCAAAGAAGAAGTTAAAAAACACTCACTCTCTTGATATATCTGCAGCTCTGGGCGAGGATAAGCATGCTTTCGTTGGAGATGTTCTCGCAGCCCGAGATGTTGAGGCCCTGCAGACGCTTGCAGTGGGTTGCAATGGCATTAATGGAGCGCTCGGTAATGTGCTTGTCGTTGGAAATATCCAGGGCCAGCAGTGACGAGCTGTTCTCGACGAGGGCAATGAGACCAGTGTCGGTCAGACCTCGACAGTTGGTCAACGTCAGGCGCTCGACCCTGGTGCAGACGGAGAGGGGCATGACGCTGCCATCGTTGACCTTGTCGGCCAGGGCGGCGAGGTTGAGGCGCTTGATGAAGTCGCGATAGTGGAAATATGGGTGCTCCAGACCGAGCGTCTGACAAATGCTGTGGTGGTTCTTCCAGTTGGAGCATGCGGGCCGATGCCACAGCAAGTCAACAGCGTTTCTAGCCCATCGCTTGGACACGAGCATGCAGTGGTACAGGTCCGAGGTGGAGCTCAGCTTGGAGAAGACGCCGATGAGGATTTCGTTGGGCAGCCGGTTGACGGGCGGCCAGCACGAGTCGTCGACTTGCATGTCTTGGAAGTTGGGGACGCCGAGCGAGGACTGGGAGTCGTTGGCACCGAGGAAGAAGTCGGACTCTTCGTTGTCGGCTGGGGCGGGCGAGTTCGTGGAGGAAGAGGACCGAGAGTCCTCTCGCCCAGAGCTTCCAGCACCAGACGTTATTGTAGCCATGGTGATGTTAGGGGCTGGGCGGGCAAACGGCCGCGCTACGTGTCGGGCTCAAGGACAGCTGCAAGGGAGAGCTTGTCGTGGTCGTGGTGATGATGGTGTTGCTGGGTTTCTCGGTGCTATCGATCGGGCGTCGGCTCGGGAAGTTTCGTGATCTTGATGGGAAGCGAAACGAAAACAAAATGAAATCGAGAATGGGAAGAAAAAGGGCGGCCGTGGTGAGAGCCCAAGAGGAAGTGAGCAGATGGTGAAAAGAGGGACGCCTTCTAAAGGGGGGGGGGAGAAGGAGAAGAGAGACAGAGAGGCTGTCCCGTCCCGTCGAGCCCAGGCTTTCAGGCCTTTGCGGGCTGTATTTGGTTTGGCACCAGAGACACGACCAAGACACACTGACTGCGTCTGTATGTCTCAGCGGGCGTGCCGAAAAGGCTCAGCGGTGGGAAGTTGGATGACGTCGGTTTGTGGTATTCAGTATTCAGCTCAGGGCCGAAACGAGTCGCGGGGGAGAGGCTGGAGATGGCGTGTGGTGATGAAAAGAGCTGCTACAAACAAAGCAGAGTCTGAGGCTGGAAGCAGGACAGAAGAAGGAAGAAGAAGAGCAGCAGACGGACGGCAAGGGCCCGAAATGAAAGGGGCTGCAGTGCGTGTGTTGCTGCAAGATGGATGGTTGGTCTGCGGGTTGAGGCTGGCGATGGCCTGGTCAGCAGAGAAGGCGGCAGAAACCCAAGGCGGAGGCCAAGACGGTCCGCGTGGGGGCTTTGAAGCACCTGAGATCGGGGGCTAAAGGGCGCTTTGGACGCTGTGAGTTGATGCCGCTAGCAGCCAGAGGCGCTGTGCTAACGGAGCGCTACAGGTGATTTATGCTTCAAGGTTGCTGTCAACGCCTGTTGGGCGCTGCTAACCTTACGAACTTTGAATGATTGAAGTGACAGTAAGCGTGCGCCGTACCTGTACCTGTACCTGTAATAATGACGGGCTTATACCTGTAATACTGCCCAGTGATGAGTCGATCATGCAGCAAGCAAGTCAGACGGTCATTTCATTCAGTAAGACACCAGCACAGCTTCACGAGTAGCTGCAAATCAACGAGCGTCAATACTTGAACAGCGAGACATTGGAGGCGCCCAAGTACCTACTGTGCTGCACTACTAATGTCACAGCTGCAAGACTTTAATCGATTCCACGCTTCATGTCACCGTCACAGTCACAGCTCCCCCTCACTTCACACTTCACACTTCCAACTTCCACTGCCAACTTTTCCTCTCTCCCCTCCTTTCCTCGTTTCAGCCCGCAAAGTATAGCAGTAGGGCTTATTTAAAATACGAATCCCCGAAAAAGAAAAAAGGAGAAAAAAAAAGAAACAACAGCGGCAGAGCAACTGGCCTAGCTACCCGTCCCGGCGACTTTTGCTCCCTCAGGTCCATATCACTTGCAAGTCCCCCCAAGTACCGCTACCTTTTACAAAGCACAGTCGCATCAAATCGAATCAAATCACCCGCTCCTCCACTCCCTTATTAGCGGCCGTCCCCGCGCTTCCAACAACCAAGAAATTGTATCAAATGTACATGTACCCGCTACCTTGCCGCCCAGCTGCACGCAGCAGCAAATTATAAGTCACCGGTTCGCCCGCTGCCGCGCACCGCACGTGATGCCCGATTTGTGACAGCCATGCAAGCTGCAGCTGATCCATCGGCCCTCAAGACAAGATGCACATTGGCCCATTGCACATGATCTGTTTTTGCTCAATCGGTGATGAGCATTTGTGAGAAGTGAGGGCTATCATTCTTCCCTTTATTTGCCTTTGTATTGCGGGCTTCTTTTTTGTCAGCGAGTACATCAAGGACGTGGCTGTAGGCAATAATTATGGTTGCGGACTTACACCAGAATGACAGCACAGTTGGCACCTCTGGCAGGTAGATGTACCTGTACCTCGTCGTCACATGCTTTATAATTGAATTCAGTCATGGCCAACGTCGCTGCCCAAGCGCAAAATCCAACCCCTTACATCGAGGCCTTATCGTACGGATGTACTTGTACTCGTACTCGTACTCACTCGGTGCTGAAAGCAGTAACAGCTCAAATGCCACCATCAGTCACCGCGTGGAATTGATCCCAATCTAGACAATACATGCGCAGTGATATCTTACTTTGTTTTATTACTCGATGCTATTGCTGCTGTTATTGCTGTTATGCGTGCTAATACGAGGAACAATGAGAATGAACAAGAGCCATGAGTGCCAGACAGTCGAGGTTTGTTGTATACAGACACAGACTTGAGCTTCACTTCACTTCACTGCTTCTCCAAAAACACCACCTTGCTGTCAAAGTCCCCGTTAAACTGATACTGCAACCCAATATTCATCAGCGTCGCCCCCGAAAACGTCTGGTTCCCATCAATCTTGTACTTTGCTCCCGCATCCAACCCCTGCAGCCGCAGCACCGGCCACGCGTTGTTGATGTTGGCCTTGATCTGGAAGTAAAACAAAACCGCCTGGCTGCCGTCCTCCGAGATGAACAAGGCCGCCGGCCAGTTGGACTCCTCCGGCAGGCTCAGTCGCCACATGTCGCCCTTGACCACAATGGGATTCACCTTTTCCGCCAGCGCGATAATGGCCGGGATCTGCGCCTTGTCGTCGTCCGGCATCTTAGCCGGGTTGAGCTCGAAGCCAAACGACCCTCCCATCATGGCGACGTGGGCGCGGAACGTGATGGACGTTGTGCGCGAAGTCTGGCCGTTGGGCACGGCAGAGACGTGGGCGCCCATGGCCGAGGGCGGATACACCAGCGAGGTGCCAAACTGGATGGAGATGCGCTCGACGGCGTCCGTGTCGTCAGACGTCCAGATGTGTGGGAAATACTGCAGCACACCAGGGTCGAATCGGCCTCCTCCAGATGCGCATCCCTCCCACCGCACGTTGGGGAACCGCGTCGACAGCGTGTCAAAGACGCGGTACAGGCCGAGCATGTAAGCGTAGTCGAGCCCGGGGTAAGGGGCTTCATGGATGCCGCGGTTGTTGTCCCACTTGACGTAGGAGATGCTGGCGTTGCCGAGAATGTTGGACAGCGACTCGATGATGAAATCCTGCACTTCGGGCAGAGCCACGTTGAGTACCAGCTGGTTTCTCGTCAAAGTGCGAGGGTACGACCCGGCGTGGATCGCCCAGTCGGGGTGCTCGTGATACAGACTTGAGTTGGGGTTGACCATTTCTGGCTCAAACCACAGGCCAAACTGCAAATGATCGGAGGAATTAGCAACCTTGAGCTTTGTCACGTTGGCGATAAAGTCTGGCAATCCCTGAGGGAACCTCTTAGGATTCGCCTCCCAGTCTCCGAGGCCAGCATTGTCAGTTATGCGAGGGTACTTGACACCGAACCAGCCGTCGTCGAGGACAAACAGCTTGACGCCCAGATCAGCAGACTCTTGAGCCAGGTGCAGAATCGTAGTGTCGTTATAATCGAACCCGAGGCCCTCCCAGCTGTTGAGAAGGACGGGGTGCATCTGAGTCGCAAACTTGCTCTTGATGAGATGCTTGCGGTAGAGACTGTGGAACTTTCTTGACATTCCGCCAACACCCGTGTTGGAGAATACAGCAACGGCTTCGGGGGTGGAAAATGTCTCGCCTGGTGCAAGTGGCCAAGATAGTTGATACGGGTTGACACCAAGAGCAGCACGCGTAAGTCCCTGAGAGGCCTTTTCAACTTCGACAGAGAACGAGCCAGTGTAAACGAGAGAGAAGCCCCAAGCCTCGCCCTGTGACTCGGTCGTTGAGGGCGTAATGAGCGAGAAGAATGGATTGTGCAGATGGGAGGAATAGCCAGTTGTGCTCCCAAAGCTATACACGAGCAGGTATCATGTTAGTAAAATCGGAGACACCATCAATGAGATCAAATAGATTTGAGTCTTACCCCTGAGTGCCATAGTTGACGTTGCGACGCACCCGCATTCCCTCACGAGCCCAGTCTCCCTTCAGCTCCAACATATCCAGCTCTTCGTACGGCAAGTCAACACTCAAACTAGCAAGCTTCTCAATCGTAATGTTCCCCTTGCCCTTATTGGTAATATTGACACTGCGTACAATGGCATCGTACTTGGGAAAGATGGAGTACGTCAAGTCCGCCGCCACAGAGCTATAATTGTCATACATGTGCACAACCAGCGTCGAAACATCCCCGGCATCCCCAAACGTCGACGGCAGGCCGTGCAGCGCGGGCTTGCCCTTGACAACGTTATGCGACAGGTACTTGAACTCGCTGACCGTGTAGCCCGCCGCCTGCTTGATGTGCACCGCGGGAGTGCGAAAGTCGCCGCGGCCCAGGTCCGGGAACTCGCGGCGCTGCCGGCCGATGAGGTCGACCCAGCCCTGGATGGGGCCGATGATGGGAGGGAAGACGCCGTCCTCGGTGGCTGGGCCGCCGAAGTGGTCGCCGATGAGGTCGCTGGAGTCCTCGTCGACGTGGAAGCGGTACGAGACGTTGTCTCCGTTGAGAGCAAACGATTTACCGGAGACGGAGATGGCTACATGTTGTATCCGTCTATGTTAGTCAAGTCACTGGCATAAGGTCAAGTTGAAAGAGAAACTGAGGCAACTTGAAAGGTATACTCACGACTTGCTGCGCCAACTGATGCCACCAATCCCGCAGTCACTGCGAGAACGGCCGCCAGCCGGCTTGGAGAAGAAGAGCCGAGCATCGTCAAGTCCAGTCCAACCAATCCCAGAGCTCAGGGTCAAATTGTCACTGTGCTGGAACAAGGTCACCGCCTTAAATCCTCGACTCAAGGAGGGAGACAACCAGGCACGGCCATCTTATTTATACTCGTCCCCCCGTTGTCGTGACACCCCGTCGAACTGAGACTGATCCGGCCCAATCCCCCGGTTACTGATCAGCAACACTCCTTCCGCAGTCAATGGCACGATGGATCTGCTTTCGTGTCTCCCGCTCTTTCTCCTCATGTTAGTACTCCGTACCTCGTCATACTTCATCCTGGGACTTCGGGCCATTCACACCAGCGGAGTGCCGGCAACTCGGTTCCACCACATGCAATTCGACCCTCATCCAAGCTTCTTCAAATGCCTACTTTCATGCTTGTCTCTCCACACGCCAACTAAACGGGCCTCCGGCTTCCCTTTTGCGCACCAATCTAATCGTCCCCAGCTTCTCCGGAGCCCGCAAGGCCCCTTGGCCCCATCCATTGCATATGAGGTCATTGGAGCGGCCGAGCAAGATGCGGGGACTGCCGTTGGACGGAGCTCCAGGACTGCAGTTGTGCTTCCCCATAAAATGAGGGCCGATGTGACTCTATCTGGGGGACGATCGACAGTTTTTGGCATTGGCAAAGGTGGAGGATTGTATGGGGGAATCCGAATAAATACCCGACGGGAAGGTGTGATGAAGATCAGTTGATTTTTGAAAATTCTTTTTATGGAATTGGAATTGGGTTGTTGGGCAAGGTTTGCGAGAAGAGAGCTGTGGTGGGTTGAAGGTTCGAGGTTGGTGAAGTGCAGTTGCGGGGGTTACAAGCACATAGCGGTGATGCTTCGTGCAAATCGCTACCCGAAGTCAAAGTTGTAAAAGCATCCAGACATTTATCGTACGATAATAATAACAATTGAAAAGAAAACAATTTCGTCAGAAAATTACTGCCAGAAATTACCTTTTTCTACTTTATATGTAACGATGTACATGTCAGCAGACGACGAACTACACCATCGGTCTGTAGTTGTGCAGCTATGATCGTGAAATTGACAGACAAAAGTCATTGATTCCACGATTATGGAGGACTTGAACTCTATAAAAGAGACTGTTCACTTCTATAAAGTCAATCTGATAAGGATCTGTCTTGTATGATTCGTATGATTAATCTACCTATCACCTCGACTGCGTACCTTGACAATCATGCAAACAAGATGCAATGCAACGCAAGATGGGAAGTTCGCGGTGATGGCCTACGCTGTTTGCAGTAGTGATCTACTCAATCATTGAGCTGGATATTTCCATTGGTTACTAGACATCTCTATTGCACAATATGGCAATCAACCCATCCATAAATCGGGAGGCCTACAAATCCCCCCATAATCCCATGCATGGGGAGATGAACAAACGACGGAATCAGAGATGACCGGAAGCATCGGTTCCATGATGTCACGAATTATTATTTTAAAAGACGATAAAAGGAAACGGCCACCTTTATTGACATATCAAAATAAATGAAGGCTTGAGTCATCAAATGTATAGACGGCTTGGAATGCAAGTAAAACTTTCTCCGCTTCCGTCATCATCCAGATGCATTAGGAACATGAAATAGATAATAACCATAAATAAGAACAAAAGTCTTCGAAATTTTTACAAGGAGATTTCTTCCAATTTCCATTAGGTGCCCAGATGACCGACGAAAAGGACAACTCCGACAGTGACTGGGAACATATACAAACCATGTCTGAAGAGGCACCCCCGACAGAGAAGGACGAGATCATCGAGAATGAGATTGATGAATCTGGGAAGAATCCTGACGAAAAAGAGGAGGGTGAACCACCCCAGGAGGAGAATGCCGAGGTAGAGGAGAACGAAACACCACCCGCGGACACTGCCAATGCGGACGAGAACAGCCCACCTCAAGACGACTCTCCCAAAGCAGAAGAGAGTACCTTGTCTCAATACAATCCTATCAAAGAGGAGGACAACCCACCTCACGATAGCGCTGTCAAGAGCGAAGACAGTGAGCCATCTCACGACGATTCTGACAAGGAAGAAGAAAGCGAGCCACGTGAGGATGATCTTGTCAAAGCAAAACAACTTGCCAACCCCCCAGAAAACCATCCTGTCCCCGGAAAATCATGCATCATTGCAACCAGAACCGAGCCACCACGATTCCACGTCCTTAAAAACGGACAGCCGGAATTCTTAGCTGAACCTCTCCTGAGCGGTGGCCACATCTGGAACTGTGAGGTAGAGGATGGCTGGTTAACCTTTCGTAATGAGACCTCTGGTACATTTCTAGGCCACAATGAAGAGGGCAAAGTCGAAGCGACGCAGAAGCAACCTACACAACAAGAACGCTTCACTGCAAGAAGGAAAGAGGATGGTGGATATATGCTATTCGTTCTCCAGGGGACAGAGCTGTTAGGAATGGTCATCTCGGAGGATGGGAAATCTTTGGTGTTACAGAAGGGCGAGGGGGATGCTTTGGATTTCATTGATTCCAAGTACTTGGACGGTCCTATAACCCTCAAGTATCCCGATATGCCACCACAGAAGTTACGATAAGACTTACTAGGTATCAATATGTGGTAATAAAAGATTGTGGCCGCGAGATAGCTGCTACTCTGCGGATATATATATACTGGCATCGGTTCCATGATACCACGAATAACTGCTTTCATATATCATCAAAGCCAATGGCTTCATTTATTCAGATATTGAAATAAGTGAGACATAATGGAGGGTTTAAACCTTCTAATCCAATTCGCCAAGTTCTGCCTTCTATGATCTGACAACCAGGGCTGTCGTCACTTAACCCAATTCGCCACCACTTTTTGCAGCACTTATAGGTTTTAACTCTCACGGTTTAAATGCCAGTCAATTATGTATAATCCAACGATGATGACAAAAATCAGCCTGTCAAAGGCAATTTGGGGTTGGAATGCAAGTAAAACCTTCCCCTCATTCAGCTATCATCATCTATGTGCATCAGTAGAATAAAGCGATTGAGGATCATTATAAATAGAAAAAAGATATTCTTCGCAATTCTTAAATGACATATTCTATCGATTTATATGAGCATCTAGATGACCGACGAAAAGAGTAACTCCGACTTTGTTTGTGTAGATTGTGCCAGTTCTACCGAAGGCTGTCCAACACCTTCAACCACCATGTCTGAAGGCATACCCATCTGCGACGATATTTTCGATGATCACGACGTTTCATTTGACAACAAGCCTGAAAAAAGAAAAGAGATCAATCCATCTCGCGACAATCATACCCAGCACATAGAACATCAACCCATCCCGGGCAGAACATTCATAATTCGGACCAGGGAAAAGCCACATCGCATCCTCAGCCTAAAAGGGGGGAAATTGGAATTCCGAGACCGTCTTAACCCTGCTTGGGGCGTCTACTGGTATTGTCATAAGAATGGCCACTGGCACTTGTTTAGCAATACAACCTCTGACACATCCCTTGGTTATGATGAATCAGGTAGGATTTTAGCAATGAAGACATGTTATAAAGAAGACGAATTCTTCGTTCCAATTAGGCAAGAAGGTGGCGGATATATCTTACATACGTTCCACCCTGACCAAAGGAAACTACGGCAGGTGGCTATCGCGGAAGATTTGTTTGGTAACCTCTTAAGAGAGCGAGATAAAGGAGGGACGCCGTTGGATTTTATTGATGCCAAGTATGTACGCTATTGTGTATCTCTTAAATTTTCCGACACAGAAAGAGAGGTTTTACTTGAGGAAGAATGAGGTCTATACTATGAAAAGTTAATACATCTCAATGAACACATATTCCTTTAAGGATATCACAATACAATGCTGAAAGGGGTCAGAAAAAGTAAAGAGAATGCGACCGCGAGATTGTCGTTACTCTGCGGATATATGTATTGCGTGTCTGTATATAAATAACGGCCAATATATCATGATATGTCATCAGCATGCCTTGTAGAAAGAAAGGAAAAAACGCCACTCTATGTATATGCATCTCGACGTATAACAGGCATCAGGGGTATCTAGCTCTCAAGTTTTCCAGGTAGTTTCGGTATTGCTGCATAAGAATCTGGATGCTCGAGTCAACAAACTTGGCCAGCTCGTCGGGGCTTCTGCCCCTCTCGACTCGCTCCAAATCCACGACGACGACTCTGCTCCCAACAACGTGGAAGTTGTCCAGCTTCACGTCATCCTGCACAAAGCCTCTCGACGCAAGCGCAGTGAGCGACTCGTACAGGAGCTTGCGAACAAGGGTATATGCTTCTTCCGCCGTCTCGGTCGTATAAGGGATGCACACTCCTCCAACGTCTGCCATGAGGTGGCTTCGCACCCCGGCAAACTGGACGACGCCAAAGTGTCGCGGGATGACGGTTCCCTGGAGCGACTGCAGGCTGCGGTACGAGGCCAGCTCGTTGTCAAATTCTTCTTCCCAGTCGGGTTTCTGGGACTTTAGGACGATGGCCGACGGGAGGTACCACTCAGGGAACCATCGCCGCAGGTAGGCTTGTGCGAATTTCGGGAATAGGTAGAGAATGGCTTTGATGACTTGGTCGAACAGGGTCGACTGGATTTTTAAGCGGCGGACATTGGGATGATAGTTGTCGGCTGCCTGGCCAATGGCTGTGATGTGGCGGGAACGAAATCGAAAATGCTGTTCAAGACAAGAAGAAGGAGAAGAGTCAGCCAGACAGTTCCAGTTGTTAATGGAGATGAAAAGAGATGAAAAACTCACGACTGTTTCTACCGGCGCATTCCAGGGGATTTTTCTGCTGATGTGAAGGCCGGGGAGCAACGTGGACATTGCAAAACGAACGATTGACACTGCGGAGAAGGAAGAGCAAAAAGGAACGGAATCCCAGCGACCGAGCAATGGCCCAGGGAAAAGAATCAGACGGGGAAAAGATCTCTGCCTTGTGAGGGTTGAAGGAGCGGCACAGAGATCAAGGCTGGAGGGATGCAGGCTAGAAGGGGGATGACAAAGACAAAGAGTGAGGAAGTGAGTGCATTGGACATGGTGCTATTATGGCCTGCATCTTGGGATAATTTTGGCGGAGGCAATTGGCGGTAGAGCGGCGGGCCAATCAGCGCGCAAAGATGACCTAGCCAATTAAGTGTCCGCATTATCGATAAGAGATGCGGGCCGGGCCGTCAAAACCAGCAGAAGAAATATTGGAGAAGTAGTTGTGGGAATTTGCTTGGGGGGAGAATGTGTTGTGTGTTAAGTTGTGATATTGATGTCGCTTGTGTTCATATCAAAGGAGGTATTGTAGCTGTGGTAGTTTTATGGCTGTGGTGCAAAGGTGAAGAATTGCTGATATGTATGTAGCATGCATGCATGAACGCTGGCGTATTACTGGCTGCTGGTGTAACTGAACGCAACACGCGTAAAGGGTGCAATGATTGGTAAAGAACCACAAAATGGGAGCGGTGGTCATTGTTACAGTAGTTTCTGCCCAGTAGATAGACGATATATTCGCTATTGTAGTGAGCACTGTGATTTTGCAGCTGAAATAAGCGCTTGGGATAACAGAGTTTGTGGCCAAGGCTGATCTCAAACTAACACGCCTGGACAAAAGTCCGGCCAGCATAGTCTCTTGGATCATCATGGATGCTTCTAAAGAACTTACCTGAACTAGTGAATTCTGAATAGGCTCTTTCACTTGTATCTATTAGTTCCGTCATAGCTGACATTGATGCCACAACAATTGGGTTGCTCTAATTTGGAGAATCGATGGTCTGTGTAAGTCAACTCATGAGAAAAGATGCGCTCATACACATGGTGTATACCACGATCAATTCTTTACTCATTCCTGTCATCAATATCAATGCCTATTTAATCCAGATTATTTCTTTTAATATTCTACAATGTCAATCACGCACAAAACGCCTATCTAAGTGACAAGACGCCATAAAAAAAAAAAAAAAAAAATCAGATTCTTGATCGCACTCCAGGGTAGCCTCGGACATGACTGTGGCCCGAATGATGTCACATCACGTGGGGCACGCTGGGTTCTTTCAACACCAGCATCATGCCACTTACAGTTTCCATCTCCGAGGAGTTGTGTAGCCTCATTCGCCGCTGTCCCAATGAGGTGATTGGATCCGGATTCCCTCAATCAATTGACTAAATCCCTCAAGGCTCACACAATTCCCGTCATGCTCCGTCCAACGACCCTCCGGCCGGTCCTCCGGTCTTCGCCCCGATGCCAGCAGTGCCTCCGTCGAAGCCTCTTCTCCGGCAAGGGTTCCTCGCGCGTCTCCCAGGATTTCGACCTGAACAAGCTCAATTCCCAGCGCCGCGACTATGAGCGCCATCGCACAATCTTCCTCGCTGCCGGTGCTACCGCCGGCATCATCTCGTTCGTCTACACTGCGTGGAAGCTGAAAACCGCACTTGCGGAACAGAAAGACAAGCAAAAGGCAAAGGTGGCAGTGAAATGCGACGCCCCGCCGATTCCCACAGAAACCTTCAAGACTGAAGCTGGAGAGAAGAGGAAAATTGTTGTGCATGACGAAGACGGAAACGTCATTGTTCCTACGGGTAATAGCGTTGTCCCTGCGTTTCCAAGAACAATCGACGTCAAGCTGCCGACTGCGAGGGAGGACAATTCGATAGCGGCGAGCATCTCGGACCAGCACGGAAGCGAATACACTCTGGTGGGCTTGGGCGTGCGCACGGTGACATTCATCGGCATCCAGGTCTACATGGTGGGATTCTACGTAGCGACGCAGGACATTGCGAAGCTGCAAAAGTACCTGATCAAGAAGATTAATCCGAGCGCCACGACACTGATACCCGCCGAAAAGGATGCCTTGCGAAAGGCTCTCAAGGATGTCACTGAAGGAGAGGAGACGTGGGACACTCTCCTGAGGGAAGCCGAATGCCGCAGCGTGATGCGCATCATCCCGGTGCGGGATACCGATTTCCACCACCTCCGCGACGGATTCGTTCGGTCCATTGCCGCACGATCTCAGCGTGACAAGGCTTACAACGACGAGTCCTTTGGTGCCGCCATGAAGGACTTCAAGGCACTCTTCAACCGAGGCTCAGTGCCGAAGAAGCAGGAGCTGCTTCTGTGCCGCGACGAAAAGGGCGTGCTGTCCGTCATGTTCAACTCGGGCCGAGGCAAGGATCCCAAGCGGGAGCTCATGGGTACGGTTGAGGACGAGAGGCTGTCGCGACTGCTCTGGCTCAACTATCTTGCCGGCAGCAAGGTGGCGTCGGAGCCGGCGCGGGAGAGCATCATTGAGGGCGTCATGGAGTTTGTGGAGAGGCCGGTGGGAACGGTTGCGACGCAAGTCGTATAGTATAGACGGCTGGTAATTGCCAATACTCGCCATTGTAAAAGCACTTATATATCTTGTATAATAGTAAGCAGCGGAAGACAGACGCACGCCGCATCTCGATCTAGCAATAAGAAAACAACTCAATGAATCCATATTTACATGTGATGGCAAGATGTATATTCTTGATTGTCTATTTTTGTAAAGCTAACAATGTAATATCGCTGAATTGCCTCGCTGAAGCACGACCATTACGCATCTTGCGCAAAGGTCTCTCCGTCTATTATATCTTGGATCTGTCGGCCCCTCTATCAACCGCCCAAAAAGCAAAGCGCAAACAGCCCATCAGCCAAAATTGTTCTCTTATTTTATTTCATTTTCTTATAATCTCCCCTCTCCCTGCTCTGGGAAGATTCGCACCGCAACAACAAAGAATGCTGGAGCAGCTTACGCATATGCGCCGGCCTCCTCGAGGCGGCTCTTGAGCACGCCGCGCTTGTCGAGCTCCTGCAGGTCAGAGTTCCCGCCGACGTGCTGCTGGGCGAAGAAGATGTTGGGGACGGAGCGCTGGCCGCTGATTTCGAGGAGGGCGTCTTGGAGGTCGTCACCGTCGTCTATAGTATCTGTTGTTAGAATATGTTTTGAGATTAGGGTAGAGGAAAAAGGAAGAGACATACTTCGGTTGTCCAACTCGACGACTTCGTATTGGGCCTTGAGCTCGTTCAGCTTCGCCTTGGTGGCCTTGCAGTAGGGGCACCAGGTCTTGGAGAAGACGACTGTACATTCCGACCGGTTAGATTCGGGCTTGAATAGAGAGAAAGAGAGAGATGCAAAAACTCACCAACATTGTTGTTGTCAATGATTCGCTGGACTTCCTTGACGTTGGCCATTCTGGCTTCGGGACTCAGTTTAACAGCGGATGTGAAGAAGGATCGGATAAAGTTCATGGATGTGGACAGTTTGAGATGCTGAAACTAAAAAGATCGGGGTGAGGGTCTGTTTATATCTATATACTCGTATATGATATGTAATGCGGCGTGGGTTGCGGGATTGGATTGATTATGCGGGCACTTGGTGAGATTTACCACAACCCGGCAAAATGACGAAGCCGCCCGAAGCAGCCACTCAACTGCATCAGTCAGCCGGGAGGGGCAACGCCTGGGTCCAAGGTATTTGTCAAGATACTAATCAGGATGTGGACTAGAGAGTTGATTCCAAAGCGCGCAGAAGGGCCAGGGCGGGCGCGTGATTGGAGGAGAAGTGGTGATGGTTCCTCTTTTTTCCTTCTCTTCGGGCGTTGGTCTTGTTGTTGGAGGTACTTGATCTGCCGGAGTAGAAGGGCAAATTTAGTGGTATATTGTTTGTTGTATGTATGAAGAGCTTGGGTTCTGTAGATAATTTTAGATTCAATCCCCTGTATGCTGAGCCCGATCTGGGGTTACACATCAGCTTCCATAGATGGTTGAATCCTTCGTGCGCTGGTTATTCGGTGTACTCGATGCCCATTTCCCAGATAGGATATTGCCAACTGTGGCAATTGGTGGGCTAAGTCTTTCGTGCGCAAAGCCTCGGTCGAATTCGGTCGACCTGTCGCAAAACAAACAGCGGCATAATCCCATCATCGATTACTTCAGCTGAAATCAATTTGAATATTCCATACTTGAGTGTTTCATTCTTAGTCACTGCGCGACCATGCATGTCGTATTATTCAACTGCTGCCACCCAGGGGAACTCTGTCAGCCAATCCTTAATAACATCGCTATCATTCACCAGGCATCAAACGCTGTTAAATCTGTAAAACGACGATTGCACACACATCAATGTCCTAATATTTGTCATTCATTCATTAAACATTCCCAATCATCATCACCCCTATTCGAAAATCTTCTTCCACACCCACAAACTCGTGTGGTCCGTAAATTGCTTGAAGCCCTCAATCCCCCATTCCCTCCCCAATCCGCTCTCCTTGGTCCCTCCAAACGGGATATTAGGCGCAACATCAAAGTGCGAGTTAACCCAGACGCTGCCAGCACTGAGCTGTCGCGCCATCCTCTCGGCCCGCTCCAGGTCCTTGCCCCAGACCGATGCGCCGAGTCCAATGTCCAGCGAGTTTGCGCGCTCAATCACTTCGGCGTCGGAAGACCACTTGAGGAGCGGCACGATGGGGCCGAACGGCTCCTCGAGGACGATGCGGGAGTCGTCGGGGGGGTTGTCGACGATGGCGGGCTCGGCGAAGTAGCCGGTGGAGGAGTCGAGGATCTTGCCGTCGAGAGCGACCTTGTATCCCGACTTCTTGACGTCCTGGTACATGTCCTTGACCAAGTCAAATCTAGAAGGAGTCAAAAAGGTAAGCCGTTGTAAACCTTGAATAGGGGGATTTTAAGAAGAATACACGTAGGCACTTACTGCATCTTGTTTTGGATAGGTCCAACCAAAACGCCCGGCTCAAATCCGCCTCCCGTCTTGATGTTCTCTTTGGTAAACTCGACCAAGGCATCTCTGAACTGGTCGTATATCTTTTCGTGAACAAAGATTCGCTTCGCCAGCATGCAAATCTGCCCCGAATTGATAAAGGTCATGGTGGCAATCTTGGGCAGACACTTAGGAATATCGACGTCTTCGCACACGATGAGGGCGTCGTTGCCGCCGAGCTCGAGAACGCATCGCTTCAGCGTCCTGGAGCAGCTTGCAGCAACAAGCTTGCCGGTGCGAACAGAGCCAGTAAAGGTGATGAGCCTGATGTCGGGGTGGTCCGTCATCCAGGGGCCGAGAGCATCATCGCCGCTGAGAGCCTGGAAGACACCCGGCGGGAAGATGGACATGCCGAGTTCACACAGCTTCAGGTCAGTGTATGGGCTGAACGGCGACGGCTTCATGATGATGGTGTTTCCGGTCATCAGCGCAGGCCCAACCTTGCCCAGGCCAAGGAGAGCAGGCCAGTTCCAAGGCACGATGGCGCCGCACACGCCCAGCGGACGGTGCGTGCCATATACTGTGCGCTCGTCGTTTTCTTCTAGGATCTCGTCTTTGAGCTCCATGGTGGCGAAGGCCCGAAGCCATTGTATCACATTGTTAAACTCGGTCTTGGAGACGAGGGCGGGTTTTCCCGTTTCCATCGTATCGAGCTTCTCGAGCTCTTCACGGTTCGCCTCTATGGCATCTGCGTAGGCTAGCATAAGCTCGGATCTCTCCTGGAAGGTTGTCTGGGACCAGGTTTTGAATGCATTCTTGGCGTGCTTGACGGCGACATCGAGGTCCTCTTTGGTTGCGAATGGGGCGGGCCACAGGGGCTTTTCGGTAGCTGGGTCTATTGTGTTCCGTGTCTTTGCTGTTGGCACAAACTTGCCATTGATGATGTTGCCTGGGTAGGACTACATAGGTGAGTTGTCAGTCAGCCAGCCAGCCAGTCAGATAATGGAGATCCAAATGCAATATATTGATTGCTCAACACAACACACCTGGATGTCAATCGATGGTTTTGAAATGACGGCCATCTTGGAAAGAGTTGTGCAACGCTGCCAATTGCAAGATATCTAGGTGATGAATGAAACTCTTAAGTCTTGCTCGATGGCCACCACATGAGCTGTTTATATAGCCATTGCCCAGCCATGCTAGCGGGATGCAACCGAACACACATGCAACAGAGCAACAACGGATCTTCCCCAGCCCGAGGCCCGCTTGTGTGCGAATCTTGTCCTATCTCCTCTCCGATCCTGTGTCATTATCCCTGTCTGAAGGTAGCATTTCCTAGTGCATGGTGTTAGTACCACAACCACTCCGTACTATTGCATGCTTGGCATACCTTGTACAGTGCTGGATTTCAGCCCTAACTTGAGGCCAGACTACATGTACCTTTTTCGAGTAGGTAGATATCACAAGTATGAATGCAACCTTCATCTCTTCAAACACAAGTTCCTTGAATCATGACGCAAGAATGCGGGCGTTGGGGCGCATCTCCGACGTTTGATAACTCCTTGATAACGACAGCTTTATTTAGAGTCGGATATGCCCCCCAACCTTGGAACCTTGCATACTCTACGGGGGTATGTAGGTGGACGTCGTATCGCTTCGCATAGCCCTGGAGACTGGCAGCCAACCCCACGAATATGCGAGGACATGCATCTCATCGACACAGTGTCCAATATTCGGCTACCGTCTCATTGCCGATATCAATGTCCGTTGGAGCAGCCACTTGGTACTCCTATATCCCTAGTAGGTGCTGCTAACTGGAGTTACGAGAGTCGATTAGGGCCACATAGAGACAAGCGCAGCTGGGGATCGAGAACACGGAGTCAATGTACGGCAGATGCAAATGGACTATAGCGGACCTCCGCAAAATGCAAAAGGTTTGGAATTATGCACGCGGGAGGCTTTGGGGTCCAGAGGCTAGTTTGCCAGCTATTTCGCGGGGAACCTGGGCGTTTGTCTCTTTTGAGTCTAGATGCCACCGTTAGATTGGCGATGTTGCCGAGTTATGATGACAGGAACGCGACTCGAACATGAACAGCTGGCAATCTAGATGCTGTTATTGGCCGTCTGCTATTCGTATGTCGGGAGTGGTTTTCGGCTGCTGGGGATAGTTGACCGGGCTGACAAATATTAACCTTGGATGTCCGAGGCGATAAGTTGTGCGCCTATCTACTCGTACATGCCTGGTCTATTAAAGGCAGAATCACGGAAGATGAAAGTTCGGAAGAGCGTCTGGGAGGAGTCGGACACGGTACAGTAGACGCACGGAACATCAGAACACGGAACACCAGAAGTCGGAATCGGACCCGAAGTATCATTTCCGGCCCCAGTCAGTTTCTGGTCTGGTTGTAGATCAGAGACTTGCCCGGTGAAGAGATGAGTGACGGAACAGCGACCGAGCATGTGCACCGTTTGTCATTTCTTAGACAATGCAAGCGCTTTGTTTGTCATCAACCAATGTCATGCATCGTGGACGCTTAAAAGCGCATCCATGCCTCGCTTTCGATGTTCAGCAACAAAGGGCACCTGGGCATCAGCAGGACGTGAACATGTCAGCAGCGGGGGATGTATTGTCTGAACATGGTGTGAACATGCTCACATGTCTGTTGACCACTAGGGACAGATTCGGCCGTTCAACAGTGATCCTTTTCGAGATAGGTACTGGAGATGGATGCAAGTTTCAAGGCAACACCATGGACATTAACATCATGGCTAGAATATGAACCTACAGATAGAATGGATGGATGTGTGTTGCATGCGGGCAGAGTTACAGCGCTGACAGCGCCTCTAATTAATTCGAGCCCACTAAACTCCCGCTACACAGGGGACCCCCAGGCCCCGCCAGTTCCCCAGTCGCCGCTAAAGAGAAAAAACATGGAACCCGAAGACATTGAATGAAAAAAAACTTGACACATTGTCACCAGTCCCAAAGAGCCTCAATCCCCATAATTCTCGTCCATCCATCTGCATCTCGTCCGCATCGCTGTCTCGACACAAACCGCCTGGCCTTGCCCGAATCCAGCCCCATCACCAGCCACCCATCGCGAAGCCCGTTGTTGCGCTGTGCTGCCTCGTGCTGTGCGAATCGAATCGAATACAGCCAACCAACCAGACCACGCTCATTCACCGCAAACTGCCAACAACGAATTTGATCAGCTGAGCCTCACTCGTTCATTGTCGCCCCAGCCATCCACAGGATAGAAGGATAGAATTGCTAGGCTCGCGCTCCTTCGGCCAGCTCCGTGATCGTCGCTTTGTGTGGGCAATTTCCTGCACTTGCCTTGCTTCTCCATCCAATCCAAATCCAACCAATCCGCTAAGCCTCGCTCGAGATCATTCGCCAGCCCCGGTTCAAGCGATTTTTGCTCAGCCTTGCTGTTCACCCCCACGACCCCGCGATCTTTTTTGTTCCGCAGAACAAGCATTGAACATCCAAAGAGAGGGACAGAGAGAGAGGAAGAGAAGAATCCCAGACAAATAGCCGCCTTGTCTTCTTTCTCCTCTTCTCCCTTCTTCTTCTTCCCTGGTAAGGTGTCCTCAGCCAGGGCCACCTTGATACCCAAGACGCCAAGGTGGATTCCAACCAGCCCATCGTGGCATCTTCCGGTGCCCTGCAACACATCATCACCAACTACCTCAACGGCACTCTCACGAATCTCTCCGCCGCCCTTCAAGAGTCGAGCGAGTACATCTCGGGGACCCTGGGCGTCCCGCCCACATTTGTCTACAGCGGCCTCGCTGCCCTTGTGGCCCTACCCATCACCATGTCGCGATACGGATGGTCGCTCAACCGCGAGCAGAGCTTCGGCGCCATGTCGGGCGGCGTTCCAGATGTCACAAACGAAGACTTTAGCTACATCACCGCCCAGGACATTGACGACCCTCGAGTCGAATACACCGACACCCGCTACTATCCTCCTCGACCGCGCTCCAGAGGACCTTCAGAGCCCGAAGACGACATCCTGCTGATTAAGAACAGAGGCGTGACTTATCCGGCTCACTTTCCTGCCTACTCGATCGGTGATGGCAAGCTGTTCGTCAAAGATGTGCGGGACCGTATTGGCCTCCTTATGGATCTATCGTCGCGCACAACACGCCGAGTCAAACTGCTCTACAAGGGCAAGCAGCTCAAGGAGTCCATGTACCCCGTCCGAGAATATGGAGTCAAGAACAAGAGCGAACTCATGGCCATCATCCCCGACGCCGAGGACGACAACAGCGGCCGATCGGATGACGAAATGATTATTGTGGATGAGCCGCGAACCGAGAGCAAATCCTCAAAGTCAAAGAGCAAGAAGAAGAAGAGCAAGAAGAGGTCTGACAAGAGCGAGGCCACGTCCCCAACCAGCCCCGTTGACAGCGGCTCAAACGCCGACGCGACAAACGGTGTCCCGCCCGAGGTGATCAGTGCTGCTCTGAAGAAGCTGGGCGACATCTCTGATGACTTCCATTCCAACTGGCTGCCACTGTGCTTGAACTATATCGACTCGCCCCCCAAGGATGCCAAGAAGCGAGAAGAGGAGCACAGGAAGCTGTCTGAATCCGTCATGCAGCAAATCATCTTAAAGCTCGACGGCGTAGAGACCGAGGGCGTGGATGAGATTCGACAGAAACGAAAGGACCTTGTCCGACGAGTCCAAGAGGTACTCAAGCAGCTGGATACCGCCAAGGCAAAATGATTCAGCGCACTACAAACTATTTTTCCTTCTTTCCCTCTTGTTGCTTTTAATGGAGTATTATTATCATTCATCTTATTTGGGCCGTGTTTTGTCTTTTATCCTTGACACAGCATATTTATATCACTCCCCTCCTTGCGCGTTTCTCTAAACACACACTTATAAAAAATATTGGGCATTGACACTTATGGGGGGTACACGGTTTTTACAAAAGAGATATGGCTGGCGGAACGAGGGCTGGGATGGCCATGACGAAGCAGCTTGATCCATGAGCGATATAGACCTTTTTTCGCATTTGCACACTTACTACAATACCACTAGAAAAGAGATGCTACATACTCCTGTCGCACGGTATGGAACGGAGCTGGGAGCTGGTATAAGGCCGTTGGGATGGCACAACATAACACCTACACAGAGTAGAAGGGTGTTTCGATAGATTGACGATGATGCATGGCGATATAAAGGGTTGCTGTCTATTAATACGAACCGAAAGCCAAATGCATGTTTTTTGAACATTTGACTCTGAGGATTCATCAGGTATAGCTTCTATATAGCACTTCTTTTGATCTATATTTTAGGGCACATTGATGACTGATATCATCTCTGTCTTGATCTTCACATGGTGCACACCAATATCAATTACAGCAAATGGTACGTACCTAACCTTATCTTTCCATCTTTCATCATCTGTCTGCTGCATCCCACTTGAAATCACGTGCATCTTCCATCACCAACCAAAACAAGCACAGCGAGAAAAAAATCCCACCGCCGATAAGCCCCGGCAGATTGTCGGCCCAGATTCTAGGTCTCGCAGCCCTAAGCACCACCAACCCGTGAGCCCTTCCTCGCCTGCCCCGGAACCCACCCTTGCCCGATCCGGCTAGCCCTGCTGTTCCAAAGGCACAACGAGCCCCAAGCGGCACTGCGATTTTCTCGCCGTTCCAATCTGTATCGCGACCACTTCATCAACAACAGGGACGACTAACCCACACCAGCACAGCAACAAATTCTCCTGAGGTCGGAGGGTTTGTGTGTTTTCGTCGTCTGTCTTCTTCACCTTTTTCTTTCCACCCCCCCGAAAGAACCGGTACGATGTCGTCGTTCGAGTCGGTTGTGAGTATTCACCATTGAAAACACCACATGCACATGTCTTTTCGCCTGGGATCCGAATGTTTGTGGAGTGCCAGACAAGGGAGTCGAGAGAGAGGCAAAGGACAGAGAGAGCGAGAGAGCATGGACGCCAGCGCACATGGCAAAGCAGTCGAGAGGAGCTTGGGATTGAGTGTGTTGGGATACGGACATGATTGCTGTTCTTGCTATATGCGCTGGCGGCAATCGATGCTGCTGCTGCTTTCGAGCCTCTTCTCTTCCTTTGGCTGGCACATACCCGACGCAGACAATCGGTGATGGGAGGAGGAAACAAGACTGGGAACACGTTGTGCAAGATGGATGCTAACAGTGTCGCTTTTCTAGGTCGTCATTGACGGCAAGGGCCACCTCCTTGGTCGTCTTGCCTCCATCGTCGCCAAGCAGCTCCTCAACGGTCAGAAGATTGTTATCGTCCGCTGCGAGGCCCTCAATATCTCTGGCGAGTTCTTCCGCGCCAAGCGTACGTCATATCCCCTGCCATCCGCCGAATCTGCTGCGAGCCCATCTCTTGTTCGATCTTGAGCCAGCAATCGCCAGAATTGACGAAGAAGACGAGAATGAGAGTATACTGACATTTGGAAACAGTCAAGTACCACGCCTACCTGCGCAAGATGACCCGATACAACCCCACTCGCGGTGGTGAGTTTGCGCGACTCCAACGCCTCCCGATTGTCGTGTTCTCAGGATTCTAACGACGTCTTTTTTCTCCAGGTCCCTTCCACTTCCGCGCTCCCTCCAGAATCTTCTACAAGGCCGTCCGTGGTATGATCCCCCACAAGACCGCCCGCGGTGCCGCCGCTCTGGAGCGCCTCAAGGTCTTTGAGGGTGTCCCTCCCCCCTACGACAAGAAGAAGAAGATGGTCGTTCCCCAGGCTCTCCGTGTCCTGAGACTGCAGCCCGGTCGCAAGTACTGCACCGTTGGCCGTCTGAGCCACGAGGTCGGCTGGAAGTACCAGGATGTTGTTGCCCGGTATGTTATTGTCACGGTTCTCTTCTCTAGATATCGGGATCGAAATGGCTGACGAGTTCAATTACAGGTTGGAGGAGAGGCGGAAGGCCAAGGGCGCTGCCTACTACGAGCGCAAGAAGGTTGCTGCACGACAACTGTCCGACGCGAAGAAGAACGCCTCTGTCAAGGAGGAGACTGCGAAGGCCCTCGCGGCTTATGGCTACTAAGCTGGCCATTCCTCGGCTCCTCGCGGGGGAGCCTTGGTACTTCGCATTGTCTTTTTCTCGTGCGTTTCATTAGATTGGCGCGGCGGTTCACAAAGGAATTACACTTGATTTGCTGAGTGATGGCGAGGGCGGCGGCTTTTTTGGGGGGCGGATGGAAACTCTTTTCTCCAATTATTTCCTTCATGAAAATTCTCTTTGTCAATCGGAACCCAGAAATCCATCCCACAGAAAAAATAAAGCACAAGGAAACCCCAACAATCAGCACGAAAAGAAAATGATCCTGGCATCGAGTTTTTCTCCTTCGTGAGGGTGACAGCGGATGGACTTGGTTGCGACGTTGTAATGTGGTTCTTTTGCGTTTCTTTCGGTTCGGTTGCACACATTGGGATTTGGAGTGTTGGTTATGGACTTGGGGAAGCTGTTTCTGGCCTCGCAATGGCCTCACACTGCTCAAGGACGCTATTCCCGGCTTATTACGGAACAAAAAGTGAGTCGGCGACAGGAATTGGGGGACGTGGGAGAGGATGGGCAAGTGATGATCATACCCTTCCTCTGAGCAAAAGAGGTGTCTAGCATTGCACAAATACTAGGAGTAGACGGAATGATAAATGCTTTTGAACAATTAATGATTTATAATGTGAATCTTGCTTTCATTTCCATTGGCTTTGTGTTGTGTGATTTGTGTACACTACGTGCTTGGAGAATTTGCAATGAGTCTGTACTACCTATTCGGTGTTTTCTCTTTATGCTTGGATCTGTCTTGTTTGATAGATTGTATGTGTATTTCCATTGTACATCTTCATATATTTTAGTTAACTTGCAGATGTAAATTCATACCCACCTACCAAACATTCACAATTCCTTATTTCCCACCGTCTCATTTCCTTTCTATACAATCACCCCACGCAGGCTTTCACTGACAGGCGGTAATCTTCCAAATAGAACAACTATCCACTATTCTTCTCCCTCCCCTCATGTCCGTCAAACTTTAATGATCGTGAAAATACCATTTTTGGCAATTCATTTCAGGGTAAGCAAGATGTAAAGTTTACGGGCTTGCAGATTAGCGCCCGCCCGCCTACTTACCCCACAGTCATGTGTTGATAAGATAAGCACCTTTTTGTGGTTCAGCGAGAGGTGTCCTCACTGGACATTGACATGAACTTCTGGGTTATTAATGAAGCAACTTGTCTCTTTCTCACTCTCTTTGACTTGAACCCCATTCCGCCCTTTTACAACATTGTTGGCGCAAGTCACTTCTGGATTTTGATTTCTAGCATCTAGACATACAATCAATCACTGCACATTACACACCAATCCGAGCATTATACGGGGAGGCGCAACACCAACTTCACCTCGAATCCTCATCTCGAACCACATCGCCATCTTCCCACATTCCTCCCACCAGAACAAATCAAAACCGCAATCATGTCGGACCTCGACCACTTCAGCATGCTCCCCATCCACATGGACCCCCAGTCCAAGGCCATCCTCCCCTCCGGCAGCAGACCATCGCGCGCCCTCGCCGCCGAGCTGGAGAAGCTCAACAACCTGCACCGCGCCATCCTCAACATCGAGGTTCCCCCCGGCGCGATCCCGCTGGTGCCCCCGCCCCCGATCCCCGTCAACCCGAAGCGCACGGCCAACGTCTCGAAGCTGCGCGACAGCGGCAACACCGAGTATCGGAAGCAAAAGTACGCAGAGGCCGTCAAGTTTTATACGCAGGGCATCGAGATGGCGCTGCAGCGGCCGCTGTGGGAGCCCGCGGCGTTGGTGAGGGAGGAGGTGTCCATGCTGTATGCCAACCGCGCGCAGTCGCACATGGCTATGGGGAACTGGCCTGAGGGGGCGGTGGATGCTGAGGCCAGTGTTGAGGCGCGGAGGGTGGGCAATGCGAAGGGGTGGTGGCGTAGGGGCCGGTGCTTGACGGAGATGGGGAGGTTGGATGAGGCGCGGGAGTGGGTGAAGAGAGCGTTGGAAATGGAGGGCGAGGAGGCCGACTTGGTGACGCTGCTCAAGGACATTGAGGAGAGGATTGAGAAGTCGCGGGCGTAGAGTGTTCCGGCTTTGAAGCCTCGTGGGAAGAAGGGGAGGGGGAAGAAGGCGCGCGCTCAACGGGGATGGGGTGGGAGTGAAGTGAAGTGAATTGATCTAGTTTTTGGGTCATTGTTGAGTGTTGAGACTGGGTTGGTTGGTTGTACGTTTAGACGCGAGGTCTGGAAGCAAGGGATGGGAGTAGATGGCGTTGGGAGCACATTTGTATGTAGTACTTGCTTTGGTACCGCAGTGATTTGAGGTATCCGGTATTTGGAATTTGTTTTACACATTGTTGCTGTTTGTCTGCTTTGTCTGTTTGTTTGTGATTGGGTTTCTGGGTACATGGGGTTCCAATTACCAAGAACTTGCCTTTTCTGTGAAGTCTTGTCCTTGATACAGACTTAACCCTGCCGCTACTATCAGTCCTGTTACATATCAAAGAGCTACACTAACGAAGGAAATAAGAGTAAGACATTGTCCATAAAAACGCCAAACGATCGTCTTGCTACTACTACTACTACTACTATCTAGTACGAGTATGTAGTAGGTTGTCCTACTTTGGCAAATTAGGTAGTTCCAGCATGTCAAAGCCGAGTCTAGTCGCACAAACCGATCGAGGGAAATCTGTCCGTTCACATCCCCCCTTGCATACATGCAGGTAGATACTAGTCGCGAAAAACAAACACGTCACTTTGTGGGAAGTACACGGCAAATTGGCAATCTCAAAAAAAAGAAAGGCACAAACCAGTTTTCTTCTGGCGCTATGGTAAAAACAACAATAACAGACTCCAGTTTCTTCTTCTTAGCAGAGACCATAAGCACAATTGGACGATAGTAAAGAGGTCAATATAGTATAACTCTCTCCTCCTCCTCCCTTCCTGTATAGTATATTGCATGGTTCCGTTGCTCAGCACGCGCGTCGCCGTCCTCTCCTTTAACCGTTAAAAAACAAAACGTCCCGCTCTTTTCCGCGCAAGTATGACAAGGAAAAACAACAAGGGAGATAGTATATGAGATTTGAGACCACAACAAAAATGGGAAAAGTCCATGTAGCATTGGAGCCGAGTTTATTCGTGTGACGCAAGGGTGGGTATATGTGAATTCAGATTTGTCTTTCTTATCGTCTGAGCGTATCGTGAATGAATGCCGTTTGGTGGACTGGGCTCTTTTTCTTTTGTCTAATGATTTCCGCGAAATGTGTAAAAAAAAAAAGGCGTCCAGTTGTAATGCCCCTTGTTTTCCCCCGATAATGCAAAATAAGAGGCGAGTTTGGTACAAACAGTCAGCGCTGTTTTCTGAGTCCGAATCGCAATTGATGGACAACGTGAAACCGCCCCCCTTCTAAGACACCCGAGGCAGTAGGAGAGTACAGCATAGCGCAGCGCCGACAGATAAAAAAAAAATCATGAGCAAGCTTTAAAAACAAATTGGCCCGTTGGAGTTTACTGGGCGGCCTTTTCGTTAAAGCTCTTCTCGACGGCAGAGGTCGTCTTCCTCCGGGGTCGCATGACGGCATCCTGGCTGCTCATGCGCCTGTCGAGGGCGCGCTCCAGCTTTGCACCGAGGGCGAGCTTGCTCATCTTCTCGTACTTTTCCTCGGACAGGGTGACGCGCTGGGAAGAGAGGGCCTTGTTCTCCATGCGGTCGAGGCCGGTGGCGATCTCGCGGATTTCGGCGTGCTGGGAGTCCGTGGTCTGGACGGACATGGCCACCGAGGGGGCGGCCATGCTGTAGGTGCTGTAGCGGAGGGAAGCGCGAGCCTGCAGATGTTTGAACATTTTGGTTAGTCGAGATTATTGAGGAAGAAGTAGTAAGAGGAGAGGAAAAAGAAGAAGAGAGGCGGTATATTGCCAACAGAGGCTGCAGTGAATGGAGGCGCGTTGTGTGTGTACCGCAAACGAGCAGCAACTCTTTGTTCACAAGACAGGCCGCTCAAGGGAGGAATAAAACAGGCATAGTTGGTGTGAATGAAAGACACAGCACAAAAAGTATACATACCGAGGGAGCCATGATTGGGCGAGAAGATTCCATGGAAACGGGCATAGTGGTGGTGTTTGTGTTTGCTGGAGGGCTGATGCCTTTTTATCAAGCTTGCGAGTTGACCCGCCGAGTGGGAGTGAGACCTTTTGTTTTGGACTGCAGGGGTTGCTTGGGGCTCTAGGCGAAAGATTGTTTGAATCAAACTGGCGGCTAACTAGCACAAAGCGCGGTCCAATCCAGAGAAGAAGATGAAAAGCTTGGGGGGAGAAAAAAGAGGGCGAGTGAGAGCAGAGAGGGAGCGAGTAAGTCGAAGTGTGATTGGCAAGGGGGGGAGACAAGGCGAGCAAATGCTATGCTATGGGATGCTAGTATGTAATATGGATGCTGATGGCTTGCTTGGCCGGGCGGGTTGTCGCAAGTTTGGTGTCAGGTTTGACCGGGTTTGGTTTGGACGGGGCCGATCAGGAGCTGGCGATGATTGGAAGAAACAAATAATTGGAGACGATGGACAGCTATTTTTGTGTGTGCTGTTCTGGCGATGATACCCGTCGGAGGGGGGAGATTCGATGTTCTGGGTTCAGGGGGGCTTGTTTTTTGCGGATTGCGGCAGATTGCGTTTGCCGTTGTATGTATTTGGTTTGAGAGGGCGAAACAAAGCAGAGACGGGATTTGATTTGATTTCTATTTGGAATGGGCAAAAGAGAATGGCGGAGAGGAAAAAAAAAAAGAGGCGCGGCGATGGATGGGGATGGGAGATGATGAGCAAGAAGATGGTGGAGCCCGGATGGAGATGCAGTAGTACCAGGTTCGTTAGTAGCACGGAGTAGGAAAAGGCAGCACTAAAGGTGCCGTAGTAGGGCGGCTAGGGGGTTGACCATGACGGCGGGGTACACGAGGGCCAAGTACCGCGTAAACCCATGGATGATGCTTGCTGGGCAGAGCATGGGAGCCTGTATCACACGTGAAATAAATGGCAGCGGCGCTTGAAATGCTTGTTGAATGCTTGTTGAGATGTGATTAGTTGAATGTCATTGCATCATGGATGCTGGATTGCAGTGCTCTGGGTTCTATATTGCTTCGATACTTCGACAAGGACAACTTATGATAGATCCCGGGACTTCATATATGCAGTATCCAGCATGAGAACCTGTAATCAAATGGATGCAAATCTACACTGCTGATGCTACTGTACGAGTACATACAACTACCTACCTACTGAACAGGTAATACCTCCTCGTCCACTTACGCAATGCTCTCTGTCTGGTAGGTACTGCTGCCCATCGAATGCAACGTCGTCTACAGGCAGCACTCCTTGTAAGCTGCCATGTGCTGTAGCCTGTAAGCCGATCCATATCATCCGTATCACATTGATCCCGTCACGGCCTCGGCTTCTCTCGCTGGCATCATCTTGGCTACTCGCTGCCAACTAGCATCTAAGACCAAATTGATCCTTCCATGTATGGCATGATCATCAGTCTTGTTTTCCTCGTACTCGTACAGTATACATAGGCATCAAGTTAAGTTGACCTGCATCTTCAATTCCCATCCGCCCGCGCTCTGTTCGCTCTGCTGCCTTCTGCCGCTCCTCCACAGGCCCTGGTTAGCGGGTACATGCCCGCCATGTCCCCTAACCGAACCCCCCCATCCGCCTGGAAGCAAAAATGCCATGTGCCAGCCGCATGGTCAGACCACCACTTCGATTTTCTCTTGTCTTGCTCTGGCCAACCAACCTCCACCTTTTCTTTCGATGGCGTCCGCCACTGGAAGCAGCTCTGGCTTGCTTTGCTCTCCCCATGTCTTGCATGAATGCCATTTTTACTGGATTCGCATCTCCATGGAGCTTATCCGATACTGATGCTGATGCTGATGCTGACACTAATCTGATAATAGACAGATATAGCTATTCGCACCCATTGCCGCGCATCAGAGTCCATCAATCCATCCCAGCACCGTCGCATGGCTGGCTGCTTCGCTCCCTTGCGAAAACAGCACACCACAGCACGGCAAAAGCACTGCAAACAAGCAACAAAAAGAGTCGCAAACTTATCTTCCCCCCCCGGCCACGTTTTCCCTGCTCTTCACGCTGTGTCGGGCCTCACTCTTCAGCCGAAGCGCACACGCCGAGCCAATCACACCGTGGCCGCTCAACCGCATGACAAACCCCTTCGTGCGCAGGGCATTTTTGCATTCCACACCAGCGGCCAAAAGGGAAACGATCCCTGCGCCATTGCACGTGGCTCGCCAGGGGAGCCTGGAAGAGCTTTTGGCTTGGCTCACGGCCCTGGTCGACCCTTTTTTGTGCTTGCTCGTTTGCAGCGCTTTGGCCGTGGTGGTGATGACGATGGTGACATGTTGCTGGCCTGGCCCACACAACCACTGCCGGACAGCGCCTTTTTTGTCTTTTCTTGTCGCGTGGGCGTTTCGTCTCTTGCGGGCTTCTTTTGTTGCTTCTGCCGAGCGAAGAAGCTCTTCATTGAGATCGTCTCGACGCTACCGCTAGCACGCATAACGCACGCCGGCGTCATCACTAGCCAACACTAGCCGTTTCCAAACCAACCGACTAAGAAGCTCTTAGCTCTTACAGTATTCACTATGCAATGCGATGCCTTGCGACGCGGATTGCTTCTACTTCAGTTGAGCCTGTATTGTGTTTGGGATGCCTTTACTTGTACGCCTTCTCCTTCTCCTTCTTCCAAGCCCCGTCAAAGGCAGCTTCTTCATGCTGCGTTCTTGCTGGATCGAATCTGCGAGACTCGAATCTTACTACACCGATGTCGTGGTCTGACTCCAGCCGGGCGTATCGTATCCCTCACTGTCCCCAATTTTCGTACCCAGTTTGCACTCGTACCGCAGATTCCGCAACAGCTCATGCTATTCTGAATGCGTAGCCAAGTGGCAAACGTTGATGAGTTCAGCAGTGTTTCATCAGCCATGGTCGTGTAGGGCACTGCCGACTGATAATTACGGCAACATACTCTCTGCAATAAGCTCAACCTAGAGACGTGAGCTCTGGTCTTGGACGTGCACAAAAGTTGAAACAAGACATGTTCTTCATTGACATGTAAAAACACACTGGTTATAAATGCTATGAAACGAGATAGGCAATGCCTATGCCTATGGTCCCCCCTCTCTCAGCTTCTAGGCTTGGATTTGTGACTCTTCTTTGATGGCTTGGATTTCTTGGAGCGATAGTCGTATGAACTGCTCGACGATGAAGAGGCAACTGTGCTCCCAGACTCGGACCCTTTATCAAGCGACAGCCCTTTCATCATGGCATACGGTGACTCGCATCGATGGGATCTGGACGAAGCTCCGTAACCATACTTGCACGATCGTCCCTTGCGAGACTCCACAACCCGTTTTTCTGGAGAAGGACTGCGGCTCGGCCCTATGATACAAACAAACGTTGGTTAACTCTCATCCACATCAGAGGGGATAAGTGTAAGTGTGGTCCATACCGAATCGCTTGCAGTCGTCACAACATCCGTGGTCACAGGTTCTTTGGTCGTCTTCCAGCTGCAACGAGTCCAAATCATCTTGGATGTTGGCCATGGGAGTAGAGCACCAGCCCTGGGTGTTGGGCCCCTGACCGCACTTGCAGCATATCCAGCTGCCGCCCTTGTCTACAAACTGACAGTTCTTGAGAGGACATGACAGCGGACTTGACTGGGCTGGTGCAAACGAGACATTGCGGCAAGGTGTTTCGAAGCCAGTCTCTAGGTCTATGTGTGCCGAAGGGCAGTAATACCAGACGAGGGATGTATGCGCACACGAGTGATATCTAGGATGTCCGTGACACATTTTGAGGAAATAAGGAGGTGAAGTCAATAAAAGAGTAAGTGATATGTAACTGTTGTCAGATTGAAGATGACAGAGCGAGCAAGATCTGGTATTGGGATCGATTTGATACTCTCTTGGTGAGGAAGGATTGCCTCTTTATATACAACATCTCGACTGCTTGTCCTATTGACAAGATGGTCCCTTCAGGATCGGCGCATCGGGATCCATCATTATACGTGGGAAGTGCAAGTGCCAGGCTGCAATCATGTCGGTCCCGGATTCGATCTGGCTGTCCTCTCATCCATCTGCTGTGCGATCCTTTGTCCATCCTACCTTGCGAGACTGGAACCCTTCATCTCACGGCCAATGCAATCATGCCTGTTTTTGGATACGAGCCTCATGATCTGAAAGTGATGCAGCATAATGAGACTCCGCTCTTGGTGACACGAACCAATGCTGTCATACCATTGCTCACAGATAGTATATGCAAGATGAGGGCGCGGAGATCTAGCTCTCATCCCGGGATCCTGGTTTCCGGATCGACGTGGCCTAATTTGAGATTCAATGTTTCGGACGTTGTGGGGAGTTATGTGTGACATGGCGAGATTACTTGAGCTTGACGATGGACCAAGTGGCGGAATCCGGTTTGCATGTTTGGACTCTCCGATGGTAAGAGCTTGCTGATGGCTTCTGAGATGCCAATAGCTTCGGCTGAGGATTCACCTGATGTTCTTCTGACTCGAACTCATACTATTACTACATCAAGAGGGGAACAATAGTAGTGAGGCTCTCTCTGTTTGTCTGTCTGGGGTATGTGCGCCTCTGTACCACTCTGGAGAGATTGCCCCGGCGTCGTGTATCGCAAAAGAGGAGGATCCCGTCCCGAATTTCTGGATCTGGGACACAACATCCTCTCTCATCGTACCATTAATAAGAGTCCTAAGTGGAAATGATGCTTTTGAGTAGAGTTGAACAAGGTGAAATAAGAGAGTTGCGACTATTGATTTGATCGCAGCTTTTGGGGGTTCACAGATCATGCATACTCCCGAAATATTTGCCCCAGATGCCCTCGCATGACATCTTTGACAGGTCGGTAGTCGTCCGATCTCGAGTTTTTGAGTCTCACTGCATTAGATTATTTAGGCAGCGGGATTTATCTTGGAAAGCAAAGTGTTGCAAATTTCCGGCCTGAGCATGGATGGCAGTGGCTATGGCTACCTAATGGCGATGCTATGAAACAAGCAAATAGCAAAGAACAAGGCAATCCAATATTGGAGCGGTATCCATGCAGAAGATGCTTACTTGTACACTAACAAACGTCCTGTAGTGGCTTATTGGATAAACTACGCATGACTCGTGACTCGTGTAGGATTCGACTTGGCTTCACTTGGAACATCATCAAAGGGAGGACTCTGAAAGGCTGGTTTTACGAGAAGAGAATTTGTTATTGTGTGTAGGTGAGTCGAGATATCCAATTAGAGAGTACATGTATTATGCCCAAACTTGACAATTTCAGCTCACGACAGGAAGACAAACAAGACACTAGCTTTCAGTGTTGATTCCATCAAGATTAATGTCCGTGGTAATTTGATCTGGATCACGGTCTAACCTCCCCGATCCCCAAACCTGTCCATCCAATAACAAAAAAGCTTTTCGACCCCCAAAAGATCTCTTCACACAAACTTCCCTTCCCACCTCAATACCCCTGATCCCCCCTCTTGCAAAACGGACAGCATATATGATCACACGTCGTGTACTCGTAATACATCATCCCGCCGCTGCACCGCCCGGTCGTGTTGTGCGTCTTGCCGCACCAGCAGCAGTTCCAGACGCCGTCGAGCCGGTTGAAGTGGCATTCGGAGCGGTGGCAGATGGGCGCGGGCTCGAACTCTGCGGGGGTTGGGTAGGAGACGAGCTTGAAGGTTTGGTGTTTGCAGGGGATGCGGCCGCTGGTTTGGGAGTCTGCGCAGTAGGACCATTTTTGGGAGGAGTGGCAGCAGATGAGGTCGTATATGAGGAGTTGACACATGTTGGTTGAACGTTGAAGAAGCTGGTTGTTTGATCCTGTTGGAGGGTTTGGTTTGAAGGAATTTGTAGATGCTTCTTGGGAGGAAATTAAGGAGAAGCAAATGATCAAGCTCTCTTGACAGTTGTCGGATGAATATATGTCTTGTTGATCACAGAGAAAGAGATAGACGAGTCTCTCCTTTACGACTTGCAGTTCTGTTCAGCTGCAATTTATAGACATTCAAATCATGCATCTGACTTCGCTATAACAAGCTCCCGCGCCTTCACCGACGCGCCGCCTCGCCTAACCCCGGAACATTCAACTCTCTAACTCTTTCACTTTCAAGAGTGACAAGGCCTCGACCCGCTATCTTCGTCAAAGATTTCCCAGATATAGAGACACCCCTGATCAAATATTGGATAATCACTTCTTCTCACCGGTCATTTAAATGTTGAGATGCCAAAAAAGTGAGCACTTAGCCGAGCAAGGGACTGGGAGAGCTGGAAAATGAATGGTTTCTCTGGGAGTATGGATACACTAAGGGTTTTGTTCTGGAGAGTTGGTGTTTTGATGTCGCGTGGCGAGGCGAAGAATATATGAATAAAAAGATTTTTAGGGTATTGAGATCTCGCTTAGGGGTTGGCATATGAAGATGCTTATACATCGGTTGATCCGGTCAAAGAAGCGGAAAGATGTAAAAGGAAAGAAATGCATGTGGGAGGCCCAATAAAGCCAAACGGAACAGCTCACCGAGAAAAAAGTCTCGGATCTCGCCCGAGTCCGAAAAGCAATACTCAAGAAAACCTGTGAGATGGATTGAATATGTCTCGCATGGTAGATCGTGAATGGCGATGAGATGTGCTGATCAAAGAGCTGTGGCTGGATGAGCTGCTCACCATCTTCTACGTCATGGGAGGGCTCTCAATCATCGATGAAAAAGGGCTGGGATTGTGGCATATGACACTGGCTGGTGGAGCTGTCAGTTTGGACGAGGAATGGATTCCCGGTTGGTGGGTTCATGGAGGGGGCGTATTATTGACGATCGTTTTAAACGTGGGCATCCTTGGGCGAATGGGAGAGTTGGAAACTGTGAGGCTTTGAAGTGGATGGATGGGTGGATATGCTCGGGCGAGGTATCTTTCCTCTTGGAAATGACCAATGTCGGGCTGATTGGTTTCGTCTTGTCATGGACGTAACCAAGAGCGGGAAAGCATAACATGAACTGAGACAAAGTCAATAAACTGGATTAAAAAAATAAGACAAGTCCCGGCCGCACCTATGCACAACAAAGAACACCCTGGTTCACCAGCACTTACTCATACAAAGTCCTTTCCGGCAATCTCAAGAAACAGAAGCAGACACCCCTCTAAAATGCAGATCCGCTGCCTGAGACTTCCTCCTCAGATGCTCATAAAGACGACTGGCGGCGTTTATCCCTGTGAAATCATGTGGCACGTCTAACTGAGACATGGACGATCGTGACTTCTCGAGATGATGGACAAAAGCTTGTACGCCTGCGAAGGGATTCCCCCTGTTCCTTGCAATTCTACCCCCCAATCTTCTTCTCTTAGAGGTAGAATTTGCACGGTAGCAAAAGCAGAGGAGGGAGGAAAAAAGAGCAAAGAGGCGTCTGCTCACATATCAGGCGTACAATTCTCACAAATATCATGATAGCAAAACGTATCAGGACACCCCTTCTTCCGATGATGGCAAGACCGGTAAATGTTTCCCCCGCGCTTACACTTGCAGCACACCCATCTCCCGTTGAGATCCTGCAACCGGCACGTCCCCGAGCTGCAGGCCGGCGAGATGAGGCAAGTTCCCCGCGCGCACGGGTTCTCGCCTGTGGCCTCGGGAGACGCAAAGACGGTGGTGGCAGGACAAGGCGAGTATTGGTTGGTGGCCGGGTTGATGGCGGCGGCAGGGCAATACGAGTATCGGGGGACGAGGCTGGACGGGTGCATGCAGGGGTGCTGGTGGTGGTAGTGGATGAACGAGTACTGGCACATGCTTGTGACTTCTTTTTCTGCCTTGGTTCTGGGTTTATTTTTGGCCGTCTCGTCTCGTACAGAGATCTCAGGTTCTCGGAAAGGAGGGGAGCCGAGACCAGCTGAGACGGCTGAGCCCGACGATGGCTCGGAATCGTGGTTACACGAGAATACGGTGGTGGTCTCGGCAGAATGCCTATTTCTGCTCCGCAACCCTGATGGCCCTTTTAGCAGACGATAATTCGGTGACGCGACCTGAGATGATTGGTGGTTCTGCACGACACAGACGATGTGGCTGGCTGAGTTTATTCTGTGTTTCCGGAAAGTAGGTTGAAGGGACGGGAGGAAATGTGAATGGCCGAGGCGGCGCACTCTCTAAGCCTTCGTCAAATGTCTCCGTGTGAAAGTGTCAAATCGGCACAGACGATAGAGGTGAGCGGCATGGAGGAGAATGACGGTTTCGCTGGTGATTCTCCTTCTGCCCTGTCTTGTCCTTGCTATGTTGAGTATGAAAATTTGTCCTCGGATACTCAGTGGTCCGCCAAAGACAGGCGGCCGTGTTGTCTATTCGCCCTCGTAAAGCCCACCTCTTGGAATATTGTATATTCCACACCAAAGCTGTTGAAGCCTACAACAAGATAGCCAAGTCTGGAAAATATGTCTTCCACGAAAAGTTAAAGTCTATCCAGAGGCAGCAAAGAATCTTGATGAAACAAGGGCCTCGAGGCAGACTGGCTGGCTTGCAGGAAAGGTATCCAGGTCAATGAAATCCAGAACTGATATCGGAGCTCTGTCTCCTGTTGAACAGGTCGTATTCAGTGGCCCTGGTGCTGTTCCAATGAATGTATCAGAAAAAAAAAAAGAAGAATTGTGCAGAGCTGAAGCTGATACTGTTGGTGCTGATATTAGATAGGAGGTATGTTGAGTGTTGTGGTGATTGTCCTTGTGTATTGACTGATGCTGACCGAGTTTATGTTGAAGACAGAGATAGGATTCCATTTATAATCTCGTCGTCATCCCTGGTATGCCATTGTCTTTGCTGCTCGATCAACTGTCAACAACTTGCCCTCGGACCTCGCTTACCAGCTGGAACATTTGTCTGTTCCAATAATGCGCATAGTGAAGCCATTGTGGGACTGCTTCTCAGAGATGAGGGAGGTTCTTTCATGTGCTCACTGCAGTCCTTATGGAGCCATGCCTCCGATCTGGGTGGTGATGGAGGCAATACTGACACGAAAATAGGACCACTTTGCCTCGGCGCAAAAGGGGGAGCACAGAACACAAGACATATTGACTTTGGAACAGAGGGAAGGTATCAGCAGTACCAGCTGGATGGAGGAAATAGTGGCCTGATAAGACTCTCAATGAGCTGGAAACCCGTCTGGAGCATCGTGAAAGGCGTTACTGAGCGGCAGGATGCCGTGTGGCTTGCTTGATACATATCAGACAAGTTTGGATATGCTCCCAGGTATTTGAGCGCGGGAGAGTTCCGTCGGAGGGGCAAACATGTGTTTGAGTGATATATGATAAAAATCCTTCTAGAACGTCGTTCAAGGTCGTCTGGCGCTCTTTATCGGGTTACAAGAGGCCGGTGACGCCCAAAGTCTCGTGGGAAGTTGCAGGTGCTACCAAAGCTGTGTGCTCTTGGAGAGGGGATATTCGACGCCGTCGGACCACATACGAGAGGGACCTGCGGATCATCGTGATACTGTCTGGGTTAATAAGGTTCTACGTGTGATGGATAAAAGCGCCGCAGATATAAAACTTGCATGAATGAATGAGACATTGAGGTCCATTGCGCTGTCAATCGCCGGGGTAGTATGGCCGGCAGAGTTCAGATGCTCTATTGCTTCAATGCCTTGTGATGAAGAAAGAGAAAGAAAAGGCCGGTTAGGTAGAGAGGTCAGCTTTCACAGGAGCATAAACAGCGATAACCTAGTAGGATATCGTGATTTCCACGTTGGCTAATCCGGGGCTGATGCTCCCACGACTCGGCCTCGGAGGAAGCACATGCCTCGGGAATGAATTGGTGTTACGCAGTGCATGGATTGCTCTACTTGAGCTGTGTTTAATAAACAGAGCTGGCTCACGATGTATTCCTTCGGTTTAATTTGCCATCCCCAGTAATGGTCTTTGTGCAATATCGAGCATTGTTTTCGGCCGAGCGGGACAATGGTGCTCCAGTGGTGCTCCAGCCGTCCGCTTGCTCTCACAAACCTTGGCTATAATCAGAATTCATCACAACAGTGGAAGCAGAGGTAAAAGGCCAAGAAACAGTCACACAACAACGTTTGGAGCATAAGACAGCATGCGGGTGGCCGATCCAGGACATCCCGTCATACCCATGGAAAGGCACATTCGTGGCGTCATCAGAGGGTACACTTGAAGACTCGATTCTGTTAGTGAGAGGCTCCATCAGTGAAGCCTCGTATTTTCTCGCTCTATTTCCGGCTTCCTTCTTCAGACGATATCCAGAACACATGCGAGCTGACTGAACTGCCTCTGCTGTGGCAAACATTCAGCTTTTGGCGGCCCTGGAAGTACCGACCGGGGTTGAGCACCATCTCTGGTATTGGCAGCCGGAGAAGAACTAATTCGACGCCTGTTCTTCACCGGGATGCACTGTTTCGGACCGAATGAGAATATCTGAATCATCTTCAGACCCTGTCAGTAGAACGGTGCCTACCCGAAGGTCCTTGAACCTGGGTATTCTGGGTTCTTGATGTAAAAGAGGAACAGACATGAGCGAGCGAGTTTGCTGAATCCCATTGGGCACCGTACGAGGATAAGGGGTAGATCTGAGATTTTCTGCAGCCATCCGCGGACGGATCCGAGGGGTATGCAGCACGAAAGGGGGGCTGTCAAATTGAGTGTGTCACAAGCTTTCCACTGCTGAAGCTGTCATATCCTCGTAGAATGGATTGCAGCCTCGGTTGTGGAAGGGAAGTCATGCTCGAGAAAGGGAAATAAAAAGATGCAATGATATTAAAGCTTTTTGCCCGAGTATCCTTCAACGCCATACATGCCATAAATCCATCATCATACAGTCAAATCACCTCAAAATCTAGATGAAAAAGAAAAGAGTTAGCGTAGTACATGGATCTTTGGATTCAAGACGCACCTTATTTCATATGAACCTGCTCTCGTCATGTACCGCACCCACTTGACACTGGAATAGTTGCTCTTCTCAAAGACCTTTAGATAGCGTACCAGCAAGCCTGAGCTGGTAAACATGAGCAAGCTAAAATTCATGCTCAGGGGCGGCCGGCTCCACGCCTTTTGGTTTGTCATACTGGTCAGGGAAGCCTCGGCAGTGAGGACGTATTCGCTCTGGCCCGTGAACCTGCCAATCTTCCAGACAATGACGTTCTCGCTGGGCTCGTACTTGGCCTTGCCCTGTGTGCAACGCTCGGTGATCTTGGCGGTGTTGAGGGGAGTCGGGATCTTGATGATGACATTGGTGGCAAAGAGCTTGGAACCGAAATTGGCTTTGACGCCGATGCTGTACTCGACCTTTGTGCGGCTGACCTCGTTGACGATGGCGTGTACCTTGAAGGGGAGGTTGACGTTTTCCGTGGCACGGTAGCGCATGAGCTCGAACTCGCCGTCGGGCGGGACGAAGCTGATGATTCTGTCTGTGTCAAACTTGCCCAGCTTGACGCACTGGTGGAACTGGCAGTCCTCCAGCGTGACGCTTCCCGCAGCGGCCTTGGTGGCCTTTGTGCCCATCTTGTTGCCGCTGGGCAGGCTCAACAGTCCGTCGTTATCCAGCAGCAGTCGATCGTTGAGGCCAAACTTGCACTCGGGGGTGCCGGACAGATAGGCGCGCATAACGATCTGGCCCGTGACATCCGCTCGCAGAACTGCGCCGGTGGCAGACATGAGCAGGTTGACGTCCTCGATGACATCAACAAAGGCCTCGTTCTTGCGGTACTTGACGTCTGCCTTTCGCCATGACAGCGCGCCGGTGGCCTGCATGGTGATTTTGGACGTGTCTTCGGGGCGCGACTCGGACTTGACTCCTTCGGTGGTGATGTACATTTTGAGCGTGTCTGTCTCGGTGTTTTGCGGATAGCCAAAGTCGATGATTTCTGCGGTTGAAGAGTGGATTGTTAGTAATTGTGATGATAAGCAAAAGCTTAGAAGAATTTACCATCCAGCAGCTCGTAGACCAGCACAAAGTTGTTCTTGACGGCCTCCTCGTCAAACTTGCCAAAGTACCCCTTTCCCAGCTGAATCAGCCGGTAGAGGAACTCAAAGACCAGCGCGGCATTGGCGTTGCTCTTGGTGATGGCGACGAGGTAAATGTTTTCGTGCTTGACATGGCTGAAAGTCGTGCTGCCCAGCGTCAAGATGGGCGATCGGACCTGGGCATTGGAAATGACTTGGATGCGAAAGACGTCGGCAAGGCGAGGGCGGCAGTCGTTGCGAAAGGCGCGGAAGATGAGATTCTCGCCCTTTTGGTTGAAGATGAGCACGCCCGAGAGCATCTTGGATAATCTTTGGAGGAGAAGGGAAAAGAAAAGGAAAGGAAGGGGAAAGAGCCGCAAAAAAGGAGAGGCCGTGACTCGAGCAGCAGACAGAAGACTTGACGTGCTGGAGTTGGAGTTGGTCAAGGTGAGGCTGCGATGCGACAAGCTCCAGGTCGGGCGATTAATGAAATCGAGCTGCAGGTGCGGAAGCGTGCTGGAGAGCCCCGCCGAGGCGCGTGACTATGGCGCCAGAGAGGAACAGGTACAGGGGCCTAATCACTGTAGTCCCCTGAATTGATAGCACCGTCCCGCTATAACCACTTTTTGGCTGTGTATGGAGGGCATATCGCGGAATATTCGGATCAATCCATTACTAATTGATCAATAACACAATGGATGTTCTCTGCGTTTTGAGAGCCAGAACTGATTCTGGTTTCATAGATATTATGATCAATACACGATCAAGTGATAGTTATCTATACTGTGAAGCCACCATGTAATTAAAGGCACAGGCACTATGTAGGATTCGGAGCTCTCTTGGACATGAACAGCTTAGCGCTTTAATCGAGCTGCATCTTGAGCAAATGCAGACGTGGAGTTGCTATATTCCGGGGTCTTCTGGCAGCTGCAGCAGCCGTTACATTAGAGACTGCTCAAAGATAAAATGGCATCCATATTCGTCTTCCTTGCTATGGGCATCAATTGGTAATAGCAGGAGGGAGGATAAAAATGTACATGTAAGTACAAGTACACTGAAAGGGCATATCTCGGGCCGGTGAGCTTTGGAGCTCTTACATCCCATCTGGTGACAAATCTAAAGAGTGAACAATTTCTCTCAAGTATTCGATAAGATGCTGGTGTTGGATATTCGCTGCTAGCATCAGTATGAGGCCAGCTTGATAATTGATACTACGCCCCTTGCTTTCAATAACGGGTCTTCGTGGCGCAGTTGGCTAGCGCGTCAGTCTCATATTAGACGATATGATCCAAACATCAGTTTGGGCCATCTGAAGGTCGTGAGTTCGAGCCTCACCGAGGACAGTTATTTTTTGCCCTTTTCATCAAATCCCTTGTCTTTCTGTCAATGCCTCTTCTTTTTTGGTCACTCATCAGCATACGTACAGTTTTTGACTCTTTTGCTCCTGTTTCCATGTGGAACTGAAACATACCGCGTATTTGCTTCAGACGCTGTCTTTGCGGGTGTGGCTGTGCTGTCGTGAGCCATAAGACACCTCGTCATTTACCTTAATCCTTGATACTAAGCTCTCATCTGTTGCTTCTCACCTCACACGCCCTCAATTGTTGAGCCTGCGTCGCTAATTGCTTTCTCTTTTATTTCTATTTTGTATATTTCTGTTTATTCTTCTCATTTCTCATGTCACAGCCGTTGGAATTCCCATCTTCCTTTGTGACACCATGGAGAGACTTGCTCCTCTCCCACCAACATGAGAGCTCCAAAGACTCTCCCAACTATCACGATCCTGAGGCCATTGACTCCCTCTTGACGACCGGCACGCCAAAATTGCTCTACGTTGGCACGGGGCATTCAATATTTACTCGCGCAATTCTGCCTGCCATTGCATCCGCCAAGCATTCAATCCATTTCGTCACCTGTTACTGGGCCGCCTCTCCATCTCTCGACGGCATCCGCCAGACTCTCATTCAGCTAGCTGAGGCGCGCTCAAGGGCTGGAGAGCCACTGCCTACGCTGCATGTAAGCATTGGCTTCTCATCTTGGGGACTGTTCCAGAAACTGTTTCACACGTCTGCACCAGAAGGATGCCTCTATCCGCCGTCGAAATGGGCCAAGCTGGGCTTGCCGGATGAGGCGACGCTGAGAAAAGGGGGTATTGAGATGACGGTCAAGAGCCTCTTCTTTACACCGCTGAGCGTGATGCATCCCAAGTATGTCATAGTGGATGAAGCTAAGGCGTGGGTTCCGAGTTGCAACGTGAGCTGGGAGCGATGGTTTGAGGGATGCGTCGAGCTGGAGGGCGACGTTGTGGACAAGCTGCTCACATTCCACTCCCGAGTCTGGGGAGCCAGAGTTGACAAGATAAGGGCAACAAATAACGATAATATCGAACTGGCAAGGAGACAGAGGATGGTGACGAACGGAACCCGAGGCGGGGATATCGACGACGGCGTTAATGAAGACGTCGAGACCTCGAGTTCTTCGCCTCTCAATGAAGAGGATGATGATCGTTCAGCTACGCAATGCATTCACTTCACCGCCGTTGCGCCAACGCCGGCCATCTTTCTCCCATCACCGCATCATCGAAATCCCCGATTCAGATTCTTTCCCTTTCCCTTCTTTTCTCAGTCCAATCCGCCCATGACACCTCTCAACGCCGCGCTACTTACTCTGTTTGCAAATGCTCGCCACGACATTCATCTCGTCACGCCGAATCTCACATCGTGGCCCGTGATAGATGCTCTGCTAGAAGCACTTTCTCGAGGAGTCAATGTCCATGTGCGTACGGGCCGCAATATGATGGTCATTGAGCAGCTTGTTACTGCTGGGACAACAACATCGTGGTGTATCCGGCGGTTTGTCAAAAAGTACAAAGCTCTGTGTAAGCGATCTCAGCGGAATGACCTAGAAGCCCAATCAGTGGCGCCAGGACAACTAGAGATACTTTATTATAAGCAACTCAGCGATAGGGCGAACCTCGAGGATGAACCCGTCTTTAGCCATTTCAAGATGACAATGGTGGACGGCGAATACTTGGTGCTGGGCTCGGGCAACATGGACAGGGCTAGTTGGTGGACAAGCCAGGAGATTGGCGTGCTGTTTTACATGCCGGGATTTAGAGAGAGGAGAGTGTGGGAGAGTGTGCTTGAGAGGAGAGCAGAGGTGGTGTTTCGCAGCTGAGGCTGATTGTTTGCTACAGTTTGGAGTATCTAGTTGGATATCAGCGAGATATGGATTTTCAGAATACCCTGAGTTTCTTTGTTCTTACGGAGAATCATGCCGCTTCTCTATTTCTATTTTATTTTACTTTATTCTTCTCTATTTTCATTACTCAGCAATGCGCTTATGCAATCAAACATCTTGAGCCTTGACTCTCTCAAAGACGTTGACAAACTCCATGGCGTCCTGAGCACCGCTCAACCTGAACTTGCCCTGAATCGTGTAATCCGGCACGCCACTGATGCCCCTGAACCGCGCAGTTCCAGCAGACATGTCAACCTCCTCGCCTCCCTCATCACTCTCCACAATAGCCTTCTTAAACTCCGCCTCAGGAATACCCGCTCCGACGGCAACATCCTTGAGCACATCGTGGTCGGTAATGTCCTTTTCATTCTCAAAGTACGCGGCGAAAAGCCCGTCAACGACCTTGAGCTCCGTCTCATCGCCGTGCTTCTTGGCCAGGTGAATCAGGCGATGTGAGTCTCGCGAGTTGCCAACCCTGCCGCCAAAACGAAAGTTGATCCCGACGGCCTCGCCAACGCCGCGAAGGCGATCCTGGATCATGGCCGTCCGCTCGGGGCCAAAGCGCTGCACATAGTAGCCCTGCTTATCAATGCTCTTGCCAGGACCCCGAGGGGAATCTGGGTTTAGCTGGAAGGGGGCGTATTTGACCGAGAAGGTGTCGGAGGAAGAAGGATAGCGCTGCTGCCAGATTTGCTGGGCTCGCTGGACTTGCTTGCGGCCAACGTAGCACCAGGGGCAGACGGTGTCTGAGACGACGTCGATGCGGAAGTGTGTCATGATTGGCGTGATTTTGAAATATCAGACCCGTGTAATTGACGGAGTTGTCAAGCGCTTAGAGGCTTAGAGGCTTAGAGATCAAAGTTCGACTTGTTGCAGGGGGTTTTGAGGGTTGTGTGATATGTGACAGGCAGAGCTGATGGGAGTTGAGCCTCGATCTACCGCAGAAACTTGCCATTTATACCAGGGCACCCTATCCCCTTGCACGGTTTATCCCCACGGTCTGATTGCTCTACCGATAGCTGCTTCTCCACGGACCACAGCCAATCTGCAACCCTCACGGCTTTGGATTTGAAAGCAAAACTCCACTGTTTAGGCCGCTGACCTAATCTAGACCTTGCCTCGGCGGGTATTTTTCTCCGTCGTTGGTTTGGATCGATTTTCCCTTGTACGTGTATTTATAATACAAGCGTGGGATTTAGCCCTACTTGTTAGTTCAGCCCAGCGGTTGCTAGTGAGCAAGTTATTGCTATGGTCTAAGTGGGATGAACTGGAGATTCAATATCGAAGCAATTGGACATCCATATTAAATAGAGATTTGACTTGAACAACAGCACATGTCGAGAAATTACAAGTACAAGTACTGTCTGTAACTCCAGTACATCGAGTGTAGAGACAAAATGCCGATCAGACCATGGATGTATGTCATGTAAGCCCGTGCCGGTCCCTGCCGTGCCGCTCCTCAATGCAGTAGTTGGAGCGAACGGCTCCGCTTCCGTGTGCTTCATCGGCATATTCCGTGTAAGTCATCCAAGTCGTCTCAGACAGGAGGGTTCCTAGAAGCTGCCTGGAGATGAGATGAGGGTTGTGTTAACGGTGGTGGACGGAATTTCTCTCCCTGGGTCGAAGAGTCGGAACTGCTGCGTTATTAATAACTCACAATTCCGCAGCTGTCCTCTTTCGATTTGAGAACGAAGTTTCCTGGGTAGGTTCTTGCGCCGCTAAGTCGGATTCGATCTATAGCCTTTGGTCCATCATCGCGGAATCTAAGCCCCAATAGGAGTACTCATCTCTCGTGAGTGGTGGGCTAGCAACTGGGAGAAGATTGACTTGCATGATCCGTAGAACCATACAGTATAGACTAGATCAAGGGTTTTAGCGTCCAATTAGCATTTGACAGCCTGACTAGAGAGCGGACACTTGAGGCGGGCCAGATGCCCTTGGAAAGTCACCGCTTCTCGCACTCGTTTAACCTCCGTTATCCACAATTTGCGGATGTTTTGCGCAGTTTGCTATCGGAATACATGACATAATATCTCGAGGACCTTCAACATACATGTAGCTGCGGGTAGCCTAGCCAGACATCAGCAATGCGACATTTGTAGGATCAAAATGCTCATGGGTGTACCTAGTTTAGAAGGCCAATGACCGCAACAATAACCGATAACCGATATATGACATATGACTGTAGACCAGATGTTGTGTAGTTTCGGGAATACGAATGAGTCTGCATTGACAACCCTCTCAAACTAACACCATGTCTATATGCCGTATGCCGAACCCTAGCGGACTTTTCAGTTGCTAAGCGATTGATAACCTCTGAAACAGACGCTTCCTTGCAAGCATGGCGTGAGTAACTCCGATTTTCATGCTCCACTCATCCGCGACGTTGAGGAGTTTGGAATCCAAATTTCGTATTAGCAAGGCATGAGTGATCGTCACGAGGAGCCTATGATCGCCTTTCGCATACCCGCCAAGACTAGGGGTTTTCGTTGATGGATATCTCCACCATGAGTGTTTTCGTATCCTGTTGTGTTACCCAGTAGCCTGCCCGAGTATAAAAGGAAGACGTTTCCCTCAGCCAGAATGTAATTGAGAAACAAATAAACACAGAGTCTTCAATCAACAACATTTTTATATACCCTTTCGTTAGAAGACACGAGATAAGTAAGATTCATCATGGCACAAGCTCCTGAAAAGATTGACCCTGCGCCTCTCGGCCAGCCCCTTGCCTTTGAGTTCAGTGGCAAGACGGCCAAGAACCGCTTCATGAAGGCTGCCATGTCTGAACTGCAGTCAAGTTGGGACGACAAGGATTTGACAAAGAGAGGAATCCCAACAAAGGAGCTTGTCAACCTTTACAAGCTATGGGGTGCAGGTGGATATGGAGTCATTCTTCTCGGCAACACCATGATCGAGTACGACCAGCTCGAAGGCATCGGAAACCACATTATTCCCTCGGAAGCACCATTTTCTGGCGAACGATTTGAGAGGTTCAAGGACATCGCCTCGGCAGCCAAGGAGCATGGCAGTCTCGTTTACACACAACTGAGCCACCCGGGTCGACAAGTTACGGACAACATTCAGCCTCACCCCATCTCTGCTAGTGACGTACAGCTGAAGGGTTCTGAATTCGGATCATTCGCCAAGCCAAGGGCGATGGAGCAGGCTGATATCGATCACGTTGTCAACTCGTTTGCCCACGCAGCTGAGTATTGCTACAAGGCCGGTTTTGACGGTGTTGAGCTCCATGGCGCACAGTAAGTCTCAAGACGGAGACATTTCTGATACATTTTCTCATCTGATCATTCGGTTGAGCAATTGGAGAGGAGGGTCCAGTGGAGTGATACTAACACATATGGCTTGCAGTGGTTATCTCTTGGCCCAATTCCTGGCACCGTCGACCAATTTGCGGACAGACCAATATGGCGGCTCGCTGACCAACCGAGCAAGAATCATCTTTGAAATCACAGATGCTATCCGCGCCCGCGTTCCCGACAAGTCCTTTAGCATCGGCATCAAGCTCAACAGCGTCGAGTTCCAAAAGGGTGGCTTCACAATTGAAGACTGCAAAGTTCTCTGCGCAGAGCTCGAGAAGAACAACTTTGACTGGGTTGAGCTTTCGGGCGGCACATACGAGTCTTTGGCGTTTGGGCACAAGAGGGAATCTACCAAGAAGCGAGAGGCCTACTTTATCGAGTTTGCGGAAATGGTCATCCCTGAGCTGAAGAAGACCAAGGCTTACATCACTGGCGGTCTGCGCACGACTGCCGGCATGGTCAAGGCGTTGGAAAAGATGGATGGAGTTGGCATCGGTCGCCCAGCTGCTCACGAAATCGACTTGCCGCAGAAGATTCTCGACGGGGTTACTGATGCCGCCATTAAGCAACTGATTAACGAGGACATCTTTATGATTACCAACGCCGCCGCTTCTATACAGTGAGTTAATTTTGCACGGGAGGAGCAGCCAGATCCTGTATACTGACATGGCATTGCGATGTAGGATGATGTTGGCTGGTCTTGGCCATGAACCACTCGATCTGAGCAGACCTGACCATGAAAAGGTCATCCAGCGCGCAATCGAGAAATGGCTGGGGAACAGGCAGAAGGGCGGGCTGCCAGGCCCTCTCTATATCGAGGGCCTTGACCTTCAGCCTTATGGAACAGCCTACGCAGCAGCCTAACTGACATTTGAAGGATCTTTGCATAGGAGTTAAACAGTATATTTAGAGAAAGTTGACGTGTACCCAGAGCGTCAATTTGGAAAACTGTTTGTTCCATACATGCTCTTCCAGTGTTATTCGCACAGCATGCGTGTGATCAAGCTTAGGCGTTGCCTAAACGTAGCTGCATGCACACTGCCTTCGCGTGTAACATTTTAAGTGGTGGCTTAGGCATCACGTTAATGTCAATAACATTGATCCTTCGCTTACGTGGTAAAGGCATATCTGCCCAATCTGCGTACGATCAGAATTTTAATTGGTTCGCTGCCGGTTAGGTACATAGGTATGTAGGACAACATGCAGGTGAACGTGGCTGATCCGCAAGACGATTGAATCGCATATTTGCTGCCCAAGGCTGAATCATCTTGGGTCAACCTCGTTACATATCTTATATTTAGGGTCGAACTGTTCCTCTGGTCGCTGAGGTCCCAAGCCTTAACCTCTTTTTGCGCTCAAGTTCTACCATTGAAAGCTGATTTCTCAACATCGTTATTCATCAAGTTATTATATGCATCATGGAATTCTTGGAATTCTTAGAAGACTCGGAAGACTCAGATTTCTTAGAAGACTCGGAAGACTCGGATTTCTTGAAAGACTTGAAAGGCTTGAAAGACTTGGAAGACTTGAAAGACTTGGAAGACTTGGAAGAATTCAAGTATATCCCTCTCAATCTGGAGAAGCCTGCGATACGGTTACTCTACCTACATCCTGGATTTGAAAATATGATGATATCTTGCGAGCTTTCCGAAGCAGAATTACACCAGCGTGATCGTATGATTTCTTATGAAGCTCTCTCATACACCTGGGGTTGCTCTGAGCTTTCCGGCATCATCCATGTCAACGGTTGTTGCCTGAGAATCACGCATAATCTCTACAGCGCGTTGGTTGATCTTCGCTACCAAGACCGTCAACGTGTCCTGTGGATCGACGCAGTATGCATTGACCAAAAGAACGATAAGGAGAGAGGACATCAAGTTGGTCAAATGGGAAATATTTACAAGGAAGCCGATCGTGTGATTTTCCGCTTAGGATTGGGGTCAGTTGCAACAGATATCTTTATGGAAAGCCTGCAACAGCTGCAGAAAGAGAGCATACGGCATGCTTGTAGAGCCTGGTCGCGCCAGGATAGTCGCTGGAGAGGCCTCTGGGAATGTTCTTTCAGGCCAATTTTGGAATTACATGAAGCTGGCACCTGGGAATTAAGAAAAGGTCTGCGGGAAATTCTGAAGCAATCGTGGTTTCGCAGGGTTTGGATTCTACAAGAAGTGGCATTCGCAAAGGCCGGCATTATATCTTGTGGTAGAAAATCTGTGTCAGCCCGCCTTTTTGGTCTTGCTCCTCTGCTCTTGTGGATTCACCCCGATGCGCACTGCCAATCTGTAATTGATATCATGCCCTCTCCGTGGAGAGAATCTACATGGTGGAGCGAGAGTCGAAGCTTTTACAAACTTCTCATTAATTTTCGGGGCAGTGAGGCCACAGATCCACGAGATCTCGTTTACGCGCTACGAGGCATGTCTTCCGATTTGACGAACAAATGCGACGACCTCCTTTTCCCAGATTACAAAAAGTCACAAGAGAAGCTTGTTCACGATGTCATACAGTACATTTACGGATTCGATGTGAGCAACCTTAAGATGGCGCCGCGCTTGTCTTCGATGCAAGAGCTGTTCAGTAACTTGCCGAGACTCGAGACGGATATTTTTAGGCATCTAGCAGAGATGTCACAACCCGAGCATATGGAGAGGATTCTCAAGATACCTGAAATCCTGGTCAGCCAAGATATGATCAAGGCTGCAGCACAATATGACAAAGACGGCAAGGTTGTCGATGTATTGCTTCGATCTCGTAGAGGGGGGTTCGAAATAGATGACGAGGTTTTATTATGCGCAGCCGCAAACCCGAACGCCGCCGAAGCAGTATTTGAGGCCTTCAGGTGCCACCAGCGTCGCCCCATCACCCCGAGCAAATTCTTATCGCTGCTGCGAACACAAAATATGGCCCTTCACCGATGCGGTTTCTTCTATCACTCAAGACCAAAGACTATAAACTCGCACCGATTTTGTGGGAGACAGCCAGGAATACAGATGAATACTCAAAAAAAGAGATTATCGGGATGCTGTTGCGGCAGAATGACTTCAGCAACGATATCGTATCAGAAATTCTCACGGTTGCTAACATAATCGAAAATTACGATTTACAAACAAATATTATTAAAACACTATTTCAGAAGAAAAGCAGCAGTGAAATTAATATATCAGAAATTCTGACTGCTGTTATTCATATCCGAGATTTCGGTTTACGGTTGGAGATTATAAAGACGCTACTGCAGAAGAAAGGCAGCAGTAATAATATGATATCAGAAGTTGTCACTGCTGCTACGAAAATCCAAGCTAGAAATTTACAAACAGAGGTTATCAGGATTCTGGTAGAGCAGAAAGGTAACAGCAACGATACTGTATCAGAGCTTCTTACTGCTGCTTCTGTTGTTAGACCTGAAAACCCCTATTTTGGAGAAATGATCATCAAGGCCCTACTAAAGCGGAAAGACATCAGAAACGATACAATATCAAAAGCTCTCACTTTCGCTGCCAATCATTATAGTTCAGCAATATTGAGGGAATTTCGCCGACTGAATCCTGGTTTTGAGATTTCCCGAGATGCTGTTATAGTTGCCATGAAGAATTGGCCAAGTGAAATAGATACCTTCAGAAAGCTCTGTTATTACTTTCCATCTCTCAATCCAAGCCGCGAGCAAGTCGCCTGATGAGGGCTTGAATGCAATGCCACTCCTACTTCAAGATCTGGCTGTGCATTGCCGGCTGTCTCCAGAGGAGTGATTTTTCCGTTGGATAGATCAACAAAGAGATGCAGGCCAATTTCGATCTAGAAGAGCAACGTTCTTGGTTATCATTATATAACTACCTTCCAGTCTTCACAACGATAGAATCGAGATGCGAATGATATTGCAATTTACTATTCCTTGAAGAATTGTTGACTTTCTCTACAAACAAATACCACCGCAATCCGCACCGCCGTTCTCAGGATCACAATCATCCAGCACATCATAACAATACTTTCCCGCAGGACAAGCAAAACCCGCAAATCCTCCACAAAACTCAGCCGTCTTCGGAACACAAATTCCCGGAATATCACAAGCCATGCCGCAGTTTGGCGGCAGCCGAGGGTCATCCTGGCACACGTGATTGCGGTCGCAGTTGTGCGGTGTCGGGGTGAAGCCGCCGCACGAGGCGTACTTGTTCTTGAACTCGCAGTGGCCGGGGCATTTGTTGAGCTCAGGGCAGTACGGATTGTCGGCGACGCACTTCATGTCGAAGGGGCAGGGAGCAATTTTGAAGCCACAGGGGCGGCCGACTTCGCTCTGCGCTGAGGCGAGAGATATGGCGAGGGTGAGGAGGACAGACTTGAGAAGCATGGTGAATTTTTGTATGTTGGTCTTTTATGTAGAGTAGAGTGTAAGAATGATGTTTATGTTGAGCTTGAGATTGTAAAGAAGAAAGGATCAAAGCTTAACTTATAACCTTGTATCTTTATTTCGTCAATGCTCTTGTCGGAGCCGATCGTCCGCATCGACATCCGGAAAGAACTATGCATAAAGTTGACCGTAGCAACCCGAGACAGCATTCCACGACACCGCCCCAAGGATGTCACACAGATTCCGCAAACTTAACAGAGCTGAAAACTGAGACTACGACGACGGGTAATCATTCACATCCCCCGCATAAATAGGCAAATAGGCAGCTCGTAAAAGAATCCCAATTGTGAAACATAGTGTTCTCCTTGCGTAGCCACGCCTGATGTCTCTGCTGACTATTCTCCCTTGACGTCTGATAGACAGGGTTACGTACGTTTGCCAATGTGAAGCGTTATACAAACTACGTAATATGACTACCGCTACGTTAAGCTTATTTGGTAGAGTGAAGCTACGGCAGAGACCTGCATAGTGTCATTCGATGGGGCTTGTCTGATATCATGTCATTGGAAGGATGTAAGGATCCGAGTGTCTTGGCGTGGGCTAGTTAGGCAAGGGAGTTGGCGCATGTGCTTCCTGTATGCAGGGCTCAGGGGACTATTGTAAGTATTTACGTGGTAGTGAGATCTAGACGGTTGAAAGGTATGTTATTGATCTTGCGGCTCGGAGCAAATTTCTCCCACCTTACGCGGTTCGAATTCGGCCTTTTGATTATAGAGGAATAGCTTTTTACTGCTCGATGGAAACGGAAATGGCCGAGGAAAGGCAATAGACAAACGCATCATCTCCTCATTTCTCTATTCTATGCTCTATGCTATACTTTCTATAATCTAAATCTCAATTGCTTATCATAAAGAAAACTCTATGACTCCAGAATAAGTGACTATTCCTCTACTGGCGCAGCTTCAGCAAGCTGTTGACCATGTCCACAATAGTCTCCTGCAGGGGCCTGAACTTGAGCCCCAGCTCAGTAACAGCCTTGGTAGTATCGAGGCGGTAAGCGGGAGGAAGAGGAGCGCCAGTGTTGCCCTTGGGTGTCAGATCCTTCTGCTCGGGGAACTTTTCTCGGATAATGTCGCAAATCTGCTGGTAGCTGTAGGCAGAGTTGGCAACGAGGTATCGCTGTCCAGCAGCCTCTGGCTTCTCAAAGGCCAAGACGTGGGCTTCGGCAACTGTGAGATTCATAGTTAGTAATTGTAAAAGAGGTCAAGATTGGATGTTGGGAAAACTTACGATCGCGGACGTCGGCGAATGCGTGGAAAGAAGTGTCAGGAACATCCTTCTCCGAGCCATCGATGAGTCGGTTAATGTCGCCGGAAGAAGTGTTGAGCGACTTGACATCGCTGACGCTGTGAACAATTGGTCCGTAGACCATGGGAGGGCACAGAGTAGCTACGGTGAAGCTTGGCTTGTTGGCCTCGACGTAGTCAAAGACGGCTCGCTCGGCGAATGTCTTTGAAGCGAGATATGCCATGACGGGGTTGCTGTTGGCTTGCTCGACGGTGATGGGGTTCCAGTCTGCCTCCTTGTAGACGTATCCGGGGCGCTGGCCTTGCATCGGGTCCAGAACAGAAGCAAAAGATGAAGTGACGACAATTCTGGAGACAGAAGGGTTGTACTTTTGGGCGGCCTCCAGGATGGAGGTGGTGCCCCGGATAGCGGGCTGCAGGAGCTCCTTTTCGAAGTCGGTAGCATTCAGGATAAAAGGTGAGGCAGTATGGATAATCTGTGTATTTATACAGATTAGTAATGTTACCATTTAGTGATATCCTGTGTGTGTACTTACACCATTGACTCCCTTGACAGCCTCGTCGAAAGCATTGGCAGCAGCCATATCGGGAACAATGGCAAAGCTAAGCTGCTCGGCATACTTTGAGTGAGTCTTGCGCACTTCTTCGGCCGTCTTCTCAGAGCGGACGGTTCCGCGAACGTTGTAGCCCATCTTGAGGAAGGCTTCCACGACGTGGGCTGCAATGAAGCCGGAGGCACCGGTGATGAGGACAGTTTGAGTGGCCATTTTAATGTTTAATGAGATTTTTTTGTCGGAAGAAGTTGTGTTGGACTTGGAATTTTTGGAATTAGAAGAGATTTTATGAAGAAAAAGTGATTTCTTTGTGATGTCTGTTGTTTAGATGTCTTTGAACTGTGTTGCTGGTGTGGATGAAATTATCTTCCTCGTCGATGATGTCCCCCTTTTATACATCTCCCAACGCTTCATGATGCCAGTTTGTGTGCCCATACTAAATCACAATATCTTAGTGTTGAAGAATTTTTAGCATCGCGATGAACAATCACATCTCCCCTTGATGGTGTATCATGTAATCTCGGAGGATTCATCGCCGTGGCTGATAAAGCTAACCATGTCATCGATGGGGGTCAAATGATGCCATTCAGAGCATCCATCTAGACTATGAAAGAGAAGAAGAAAAACAAAATGGATGAGAAAAAGGATTATCAATGAAAAGATCATTTGTAAGCCTCCCCTGGAGAAGTTCAACTCATCATGATTTTCTGGAACAGAAGGCAACCCAGCCGCGGAGATGCATCGCTCGCACGAACTCGGCAACGATGCCGTGTGCGATTCACGCGTATGAGAGCTCTCAATCAGGGTTAGTTGTAGAGCCAATGGCGATAAAGAATGGGGATTAGGAAGTTGCAAGTTGCTGAAAGCGTTGCCCAGGCTTGCAAGGAAAAGTCGATGCGGAGTTTCGCGAGTCAAGTGATCTTTGCGAGCGAGGCCCGGGCGAGACCCGTTAAAAGCTACGGCACACTAACGAATGGGCCAGTGATCTTGAATCATTCTTCTCTTTCGAAACGGCATCACAATTACGCGATGAGAGGAAATTAAAGAGTCTCAACTGTTTGGCAACTTGATATAGCTACACATACTTATCCGTACCTTGAGTCTTTAGAAAACAGCAAAGTAACAAACATCTCAAGATGTCTTCTTAACTACAACAACAACCAAATTCTTCTTGAAGTCCCTGTAAACAGACGTCATCATCTAGCGTGTCCATGGAATGTTTTACTCGATACGGTCTAGTATCCGGCTCTGCACTACCGAGAGATGCATGGGATCGTGCATCTAGGAGCCGGCACACTCCGTCCTCAAGAGTCAGTTGAAGATGCTATTTCTGAATTAGACTTTTTCCATTCGATGCGCTAGCGATAACTCGCGGGTTGTCACCTGACGAGAGCCAAACAAATGAAGCTCCCCGTTATAACTCGCCGTCCCTCGTGGCTGATCCCCCCACAGAGATCTGTTCTTCTACAGAGCTTCTCTTTTGCATTTGTCATGGGTTGGTAATTGTGTCGACTGAAGCATCTCCGGTTCTTACTTGGAGATGTTCGAGTTGAAGTTGACATCTATGACATATATTCTTATCATCTGAATCAGTTAAATATCCTTCAGAGTGGATTCTCTATATCCCTCAAGACGTTGAAACACAACACATTATAGCAATCGAGAACACCTTATTACATCTTCCCTATTAACAGGCTAACCATTGCACTTAATCAAAATGCCCATTGACGAATATTCTCACTTTTTTTCTAATGGAGACGTCAAGATCCATTACCACCTTTACGGACAGGGTCCAGCCTTGGTGTTTGTCCATGGCCATCCAGACAACGAAATGACCTTTTCCAAACAAATCGACGAGTTCTCCAAAGACCATACTGTCATTCTTCCTACCCTTCGAGGATATCCCCCAAGCGATGTGCCGCTAGACCCAGACGCCTACGATGGCAATGTTATGGCGGGTGACTTGGTGGCCCTTCTGGATCACTTGAAGATTGAAAAGGCAATCTTTGCAGGAGGGGATGTTGGAGGCATTACTGTGCAAAAGCTTGCTTTCCTACACCCCGAGAAGCTATTGGGTCTGGTCATCTTCAACACACCAATTCTCGGCACCATGATGCATCTCATCCACCACGATAAAGAACAACAGGAGCTGTCCAAGTACTCACTCAAGTACATCAAGCACAACCCCGGCGACGAGTACGACCTGGATCACGTTGTCCGCATCATCACGGATCCCGATTACCGCGCTAAAATTAAAGAGTATCTCAAGAACTCTCCAGAGGGCGGCATGTTTTACTTTTTCCGCAAGAACTTTCCCGCGCCGCCGTATGGCCAAAACATTGACACTTCAGGCATGCACTACAAGATGCCCTGTGTGGTGATCTGGGGAATGCAGGAGCCGTACTTTTCGGACAAGATGCTGGATGGATTCTATAAATGGTTTGATCAATCGGTCCGAGTTGTTACACTGCCTCAGGCTGGACACTGGCCTTGGAGAGAAGATGCGCCAAAAGTAAACCGAGAGCTGCGGTCGTGGCTTAATGCGCTGGAAAGCGGACAACTTTGATGGAATTCATGGAGAGAACATCGAAGAGATCGATAATGAATGGAGTAAAATGACAGGGATCGTTATGATCATGAAAATACGGGGGCATTTTGGGAGAAAAGGGAAAAGCACGTCTTTACAAAGAAATACCACAAAATATTTTAGGCTTTATATAAATACATCAATTGACTATAATGGTAATGATTAGCTTTTTTCTTGTAGTAATTGCTTGTTTGGTCTGTTTCTATTGCTCAACAGTACCTGAATGTGCATCATGGCTTATATCCAATGTGTTTTGCTTGACTGTCATATTGTAGTCCCGACATCAATGAAACACCACAAGATACTACGAGTAATTACGCTGGAGAATAAAGATGTAAAAAATAAAAGTCTTGTAAATGAATACCATATGACTCTAAAATGCTATCGAACCCGCTGTGCCTTTTCCCATGATATAATTTCCCGCTGTGCGCCCAGAGTTCCATGTACGCTCCCCCCTCTGCGTCCCCATTGATCTTTTGCCAACCAAATGCTTCCTGCAATCCTGCATGTCTTCTATTCCAGTCTTCGAGATGTAGAAGTGTTTTATTTAAGCAGATGCGGCCTCCTCGATTCTCTTCTGGGCCAATCCACCCAGCTTCTCAGCAGCGGCACCTAAGCTCCTAGGGTCAGCGCCCTGGATCATGGCCTTGCCGTTGACAGCAACCTGCTGGCCGTCCTTGAAGAACAAGAAAGTGGGCATGGCGGTGATGCCATATCGGGCAGCGACATCTTGGACGTGGTCAACGTTGACCTTTCCGAAGGCGAGGTAATTCTCGGCGGTGTGCTTGTCGGCAAGGGTCTGGTAGATGGGGGCGATGGCCTTGCAAGGAGGACACCAGTCGGCGTAGAAGTCGAGGGCGACGTAGGTGTTTGAGGCGAGGAGAGAGTCGAGCTGCTCGGAGGACTCGATGTGGTGGAGGTTCTCGGCACCCATTGTGAAGAAGTTGTGTGGTTGTTGGTGTTGTTGTGAGGTTATTGTTTGTGTTGTCTTAACGACTTAACAAGTCTATTCAAAGACTCTTGATGTAGGTTGATCTGATGTCTATAAAGATCAAGAACTGTAAAGGTGGTGAAGAAGATGAAGAGGGCAGAGGCGACTTTAAAAGTTGGAGTTGTTTTTGTCAGCGATTACCCGGATGGTGCAATGCTGATGAGGGGCGCAAATTAATGAGGCGTGGCGGGGTTGAGAGAGAAGCGGGCCGCAATTATCCGCAATATGCCGCAAATGGGATTTTCTGTGTCACTTTGTTTGCCTTGTTGTGTATTTAAGAGTGTTGGTGAGTAAGTTGTTTGCTGTTTGCTATTGTTGTTGAAGTTGTTGTTATTATTGTGTTGTGAATGTTTGCTTGTTTGGATTGAATGAAGATAAAGAAAATCTGAACAGAGACAGATGGATGCAAATATATAGATGGAATGAGGCCTAAAAGATACAGCGATGGATCTGTAATGCTCTGTAATAATTCGGACACCCGAATGACAATTTACGTGCGAATACGTGCGAGTACGAGCGAGGTGTGGAATACTGTGTACTCTGTAATACAGGTGCGACAAATTGAGGAATTTACAGCGAGGTAAGCGGGATCTCCGTGCCGCAACTTGTATCGCCGCTAGTCTTTTACTATGGAAGGGTACATCGGGTTCATGCAGCCGCTGTAACACCGTCTGTCTGACCGCCCGAAGTCGCTGGAAACATCAGGATTCTTTGTGGCTGATTTGGAATCTGGCGGTGACGTCATGTGGCTCATGCTGTGGCGCGTGCTGCTTTTGTCAACCAAATGATGAGAAGAGAAGAACAGAAGCTCCTTGCACAGCCACATATCTGACCCACGTGCATTATGTCATCAGATTCTGCTGCTTAGTTCATCGGGCAAAGCTTACACTCTCGCAATCAGCTGCCGAAATGGTGTTGGATGAACAAAAGAATCAAAGATATGAATGAGCTGACTTTAGGTTTTATATCATCTGGCACCTGCTGACCAAGTCGAAAACAATGGATCTTTTAAAAGGAGTTTCATAAATACCGCACAAGCTGCAAATATCTGAACTTGTGACCTCGCTATTAGTTTACAAATCAACTGAATCCTCTTCCACCTCGCATTGATTTACCCTGCATTTCTCAACACCGAGCGTTACAGCTGCGGAAAGAGTCTGCGAACCCGCTTCACAGCTTAGAGCCTCAACCAACTAGCTCCCGCAGCCTTTAATCAACCTTGAATCAACCAGCAATGACTTGCCGAATCTCTCAACCCCTGGCCTTGACCTAGTTGGTTGAGCCAACTGACTCTCCTCACAGCAGTTCTTTGCGCGCATCTTCAGCATGGAGCATCAACATGATCCAATTTCATTCTCGTTTCCTCCTGCAAACATGGAATTAATTTCTCATCAATAGCTCTGCTTAGAAAGCAACTTGTCTTGCAAATCCATCACCGCCATCAATATCTCTCAGCCAGCAACACTTTGCGACTCCTCTGAAACATCGCCATTGGATGCTTCCCTCAGTTGCTCCATCTCAAACCCCCAAATTGCCTCCTTGTCAACGTTGACACCGATCTAAACCCACGGGCCATCGGCTCTCGAAACAGGCAACTTGGTGCCTCCTTCGCGGGCTGTCGCATCTCTTTCACGGCTGAGAATCGCGGCGTTTTTCTTTGACACTGTTCGGGTTTCTAATCATCCCGCTTCGATCGCGGACTACTGCACCTCTTTTGACCGTAGCGCTCCGTTTCAGTGGCTGTAGACGGACGAGCTTCCCCGCAGTGAGGCTGCATTGCGACACATCCTCAATGAATTGCGAATTTTTTCAAACTTGATGAGGATAGCAGTGCCCTTGTCAAAGTTCCAATGTTGTGAGATGTATATCGGGTGTGGGGGCAAGCAGGGCACGTTGAGATGATGCTGGAGATGTGCCTTGTTTAGATCTACCTGTTTAGAGACGTCATGGGGGGCTGCACCGTGAGTACATGTATCTTATCTGCTGAGAGAATACATGTATAAAAGGGAACCGTTTGCTCCAAGTGAGGTTCTCTTCATCTACAAGCCATATCAAGACAGTCTTCAAGACATTGCATTTCTCTTTTCACACAGCTTATTTAGCAACACACACTATCGAAAATGACCGTCGCCAGCGAGTTTGAAGTTGCCAACCAGCAATATGTTGCTACGTTTGACAAGGCCGATCTGCCTATGCCTCCCGGCCGGTGCGTTTCACCCAGCTTTCATTATTCTCTACAGCAGTCCATCTTTTCTACACAGCAATTTGAGTATTCTCATGATTTGCTAATTTGAGATGAGATATTTAGAAAGGTTTTTGTCTTGACCTGCATGGACGCTCGTCTGGACCCAGCCAAGTTCCTCGGCCTGGAGGAGGGCCACGCCCACGTCTACCGCAATGCCGGAGGACGAGCTGCCGAGGCGCTGCGCTCCTTGATCATTTCTCAGCAAGCTCTGGGAACCGAAGAAGTTGTCGTTATCCACCACGTATGAATTGTCCCCCCAGAAGTTTTGATGCAGATAGAATTGGCTAGCTGACAAATTATTTATAAGACCGACTGCGGCATGCTTCTCATTCACGAGGAGGAGTTCCGCAACACTGTCAAGAAGAACACTGGAGAGGATGTCAGCCACGTTGCATTCTTGACCATCCAAGACCTGCAGAAGAGCGTCAAGACCGATGTCGAGCTTTTGAGGAAGAATGCTGCGATCAAGGATGTGCCTATTTCGGGCTACATCTTTGATGTCAAGACGGGCAAGATTAACAAGGTTAATGTTTAAGCACATGTACGTCTAGAGGGAAAATATATGTAGATTAATACCACCAGTTCATCTCAGTGTTTTCTTTTCGAGTTTTCCCCTTTTTGTTGCGTCACCAAGGCTGTTGATCAATATACGGTATCCTTTGATGTCGCTTGAGAAGTGCATACATGTGCACTTGACATGGGCTGTAATATTCTTCAATGGCGCTTGCAATTTAAACTCAAAGTGATATACTCGTACGTAACTCTGTTGCTACATAGGTACCTAGTAGGTAGGTGCCATCTTGCAACATCGCGATTCCCTCATCCAGAATCTGTCCACGTCATGTGTTTTGCCTCGCGCTCAAACGACCAGACGCAAGACAAATCACAACAAATCACAATCGCAAAGATGTCTGGCTCCCAATTCTAGTTCTGTTATACTTGCCGCATATCTTTCGATTCTGAAGAAGACTACAAGTGGCATATTTCTGAATTTCCTCATTCTCACTTTAGCTGCATTTCTTGCCCTCCTTCAGACGCCTTTCTCACGCACGATCAACTCCAGGCTCACTTGGAACAGAATCACGCCTCGTGCTCGTTATGCCATTTAGCCTTCATAAACCGCGAAGACGTCGAAAAGCATGAAGTGCGCGTCCATAACAAGTGTTTGGAATGTGGCGAATTCTTTAGCTGCTATTGGGATCTGCTGGACGTTCGTTCCACCTCCCGAACGAAACTCGTTACCCGGATGAAAAGGACTGATATCGAGTAGCATCAGGTCATACATGCCGAGCCATCCTGCGATTGCGTCTTGTGCGATCGAGAGTTTACCACCGACTCCGCCTGGGTGCTGCATCTGGAGCGCCGTCAGTGTCCGTCAGGCATCAACCGCGGAAACGTCAACGGTTGGGCAAAGGACTGCGACCAATCTGAGGCATACCTTGGCAAACAATTCAGCTACAAATGTCCCACTTGCGACTGGGAATTCCAAACCATGGGGACTCTTTTGGAGCACGTGGAGGGCGACGAGTGTGCGGAGGACTTGGGCGACGGGGAGAGGCCTTTGGCTATGTTTCTTTGCTTCATGAGGAGAGGTCTCATTAATATTGTTAACCAGGAGCGCATTGCTCTACGACGCTCTGAAAACTGAATAGGTTACTTATTGGCAGCCAACATGACTATGGATAGGATAAATTATAATACTATTTGGCCTTGCACACACACCAAAAGTTCAATTGTAAAAGAGAGACCTCTGAAAAGTGAGATTGTGGGACATTCTCTTTCATCGTTGTCACCAAATGTGAACACAAACATAAAAGCGTGTTTCTCTAGATAGTTGGGCATGCATCCAGTGCTCCTACTCGAGACTTCAATACAATCTTGTACAGTCACACTTGCTTCAGCTGTGGTAAACATAAATATAGCACTCGCCTCTTTCTACCTTTGCCGTAAACCATGCAAGTGCGCCGCCTGCATATTTGCAGACGTTCATCATATCGACACTTACGTTTTTGATCCTTGCATGCATCATGATTATTTCGTTGCCGCTCGTTACATGTACCCGACCTCAGCGATCCTATCCGACTCCAACATTGCCTATCTCTCCCGTCCGAATAGATAGCTTTGCTCTTCGACGACTATTTACAGTACGGTACATAAACAGCCAACAATGGCACGACCACCACACCAGCCAAACATGGAACAAGATGAACAGATCCTTTACAGCATGGCACATAGGCAGCCACCGGTGGCTCAGCAACAGCAACAGCGACGACAGAAACTAACCATAAGACGACGTCAGCCGGAGAGGGTGGAACAAAGTCACCCACTATATGTGGACCAGGATCAATTGCCAGACTTCTTGCAAGAAAGCCTCCCAACAAACGCAGAAGAGAGTCAGGCAACAAACACAGAAGAGAGTCCGACAACAAACGCAGAACAAAGTCAACCGGCGAATGTGGAACAAAGTCAGCCACGAAACGAGGAACAAAGTCAACTGCCAATCGTAAGGCGGAGCCAGCCAAGAAATGAGACTAGCCATCGCTGCGACCGCTGTAGCATAAACTTCCCTTCGGGAGAAAAACTGAGGCAGCATGTTTGGATGTCAAGCGTGCACTTTGTGTGCAGGCCTTGTGCGACGATTGGACGTGAAGCCGATTTGCAGTCGCCCGATTTGTGGGATCGTCACTTATCGGACGCGCATCACTTTTGCAACACTTGCAGGACGCACATGCTCTAGGGGGATGAGCACAACTGCTGTTTACATTGCAGGAGTTCTTTTCCGAATGAAGTTGCTCTGAAAAGGCATAAATTGGAAGTGCATCACAAGTGTTTTGATTGCGAAGAATGTCATAAGAGTGCTGAGCTTCTGAGTGAAGTGCGTTGACCCCAGGAACACATGTGTTGTGAGAGTGAGAAATGGAAATGTGTAGACACATATAACTGACTTGATGGTGTCTATAATTTAGCACTGGTGCACCGAGATATACAAGGAAAAAACGGTCCCCTGCTTTAGATGTTCCGATAAATTTTCCAGCGTCTCCAGGATGATGATGCACCTACATATCGGGAGATGTCGATCCGGAGACTACCACCAAAGGGTCGAGCTTTACGCAAAGTGCTGGAGCAGGTCGAGGCCTGGATTTGGCATCTATATTGAACAGGACCGGACGTATATGTGTCCAACTTGTGGCTACAAGCATCACGCTTTGAGTCCTCTTTTTAGACATGTTGAAAGCCGCGTCTGTATCGAGAGTTCAAGTACGCGCAGCAACTCGGTCAACTCATTTCTCGCAGACCTGAAATCTCATATGAGTCGGTGGGTTTGACTCTATATACCTGGTAGCATAGGTTGATCTTTGGATTCTGCTCAGCGATGCCCATACTTGGCTAATGTTGAGCGAAATGTCACGTAAAAAGAAGATGTTATAATATAGTTAATATAATACCAGCGATCCACTACATAGCACTATAATTCCTGTCGTCGGTACTTGAACTACCTGTACAGGTAGGTAGACGTGGACTTTTCCCCAATCAATGCGATCATCAACTCCCTGTAGTCTCCGGAGAGGGACTCGTTCAAGTTATCCAGCAGCCTCATGCCGTAAGACTTCTTGTACGCAGCGTGAACTTCCTGGAGCCTCTCAGTGCCGCTCCAGTACAATCGAAGAGCCCTGTATATAAAGATGTTATCATCCTTTGTCGACGGCCTTAGCACATTCCACAAGCCATCCGCGTCCGATTTCCCGCGATCCGTTGCGAAATCGAGGATCCTCAGCAGAGCATCTTCCGTGCTGCTGCCGCAGAATTTCCGTGCAATGTCATGGTCTAGTTTTCGTTGATACTTCTTCTCGTAAACGCTGCTCATGGCTCGCAGCTGGGCGGCATTGGCACTCGCAAGTATGTCGATGATGGGAGTGAGGTCGGTGGTGGGAGGACCTTCAATTAGACGCTGAATCTCTGCCACTTTATCGTCAATCTCGGCCATATCGAGGACTGCATCTTCGACTCTGGTGCCGGAGAGGATCACGTTGTAGAGGCGGAAGAGGTCTTTGTCGACCTTGCTTCTGATGAGCTGGACCAAGTCCCTGCCTGGAGTACTATTGTACTTCCTTACGATGCCGCGGATATTGGCTTTAGAGCGACAGAGGAGAACATTGTTCAGTGCCCTTTTATCTGCGTCTTCACCGGAGAGGGCTTTCTCCAGAGTATAAACGTCATGATCGAGGGGTCCCTTGAGGAGGGCCATCAGGACGTCTCTGAAGAGGCCCTGGGCTTTTTGCTCGATTTGCTCGGCTAGGTCAAGCGTGGTTTGACTGTAGTAGTCGTATTGAAACTGATGAAGAGCTTGCGGATCTTGGAATTTGGGATCGGTCAGAACGCTGATGAGGGTACTATGATCGCAGTCCGCACTTGTCATCGCTTCTTGGAGCTTATCGATGGCTTGAGTGATTTCGTTGTTTTGACGTTCATCGTGTCCTGGAGAAGCCAGCGTCAAATGTATATTGATCTTGGATGGTTGTAGGTCGGGGACTGGAGTGTGTCCAAACAGTTCTTGGTTTGGATTCGGGTTTGGTGGGCTCTTATGCCACTGCTGGCTTTGGTGGCCAGTCGTATGGCTAAATTGTCTGATAGGAATTCTCATTGTAGATGAAGGAATGTATTTGATTGATGATGAAAAAGCAGTTGGCTCGTGCTGTAAAGGGGCAAGTCTGGGAGTCCAAGTCCCGGAGAACTGTAATTGCTCTCCCAGCACGGTCGAGATCGTTAGGTTACACTTGATCTTTTTATAAACAAATTTAATGCCTAATCAAAAAGAAGACAGAAAGATTACTTTGTAGACCCCCAGGCTCAATCTTGGGGCTTTCATGAAGCAGTGTAATTGGAGTGGCGCCGCGATTTGAGTGTAGCCTCTTGTTAGATGTGGCAAAAGAGTCTCAACAAAGGTTTGAACAAAGCAATGGAACCTGTCCCAAGGCATCTAGTGAAACCAAGGCATCCAGCCAAACAAAGGCATTTTCTATTAGGCGTCCGTCAGCTGACGTTGGTCCATGATAGTGCTGCCTTTGTGGCGAACAGCACGAGCCACGGATTTTTCAGGCCGTTGATGCAATGCAATGGCTTCAAAGACATGCGTTCTCAGTCAAACGACACAATGGAAATGCTGTGTAACTAGACGCAGTGTAGAATTGGTTTATCGCGAGTGCTGCCTGTCTATCGCTCGACTTCCATCATGGTGTTGTGAAAATATGTGCTGTATGCACACACACACACACACACACACATATATATATTATATATATATATCTGACGGAGCGCATTGCACAATGCCGTTTCCATTAGTATCCATTAAATGCTACATGTACCAAGATTATCGCCAGCAGTCACTTGACAGACGCTGGAATCGACGCCAGGGGTTGACATAACTCGCCTAAACATGGATCCAGATTCGGAAAATCCCGTGCAAAGCATACCGGAAGCTTCATGGGAATGTGAGAAATTATTTTCCTCATGTATCTCGAAAGCACCAAAAGCCGCCGCCAAGTTGTTCGAAGAGGCAGCAAGGCGATTTCAGACTTGGACCCAGAACTGGAGATTGTTCAGCCCGAGCGGCAGCCTGGATACGCAACTGTGTGCAAGTACACGTGATGAGATTCGCCAAATGATTATGAATTTATTAGATGTCTTGGAAAAAGTATGCAGCTTATTATAATATACTCTCCTACATTAGGCTTAACTGACCTGACCATGTGTGTATAGCACTTAGATTACTATCTTTAGGTCAAAGCGGGCTTCTTGAAAAACTTTTTTTCGGCATTAATGAGTCTTTAAAACGGTTGGATACGATCATTTTCGTCTTCTTTCAAAGGACTCAAGATGGATTCACTGAGAGAACCAGCCCACTGTCTCCTCAATTGGTGTTGGCGGTAACAATACATAACTCACTAGAAATGCGTCTGCAAGTAGGAGAGCTCACGGGAAATCTACTGCCGATCTCTGAGACTAGCATGGCGTGATTTCTTGTCCAATACATGTATCTAAGCAGGTGTTTACCGCAGAATTAGAAACATAACACAGCTTGACAAGAACAGGAAGTGATTACTCTGCATAATATACTCTCAGTCATCTGATCTAGAAACCTTACTTAAGATAGCAAATAGCCATCTGGTAAAAATGACAAAGGATGCAAGTACTTCTATACAATTTACTACTGTAAAGCTCCCAGATGCGATTGAGGGGCGACCTCAATCATGATGTTGTGAGAACATCTACATGTACCTAATGGAGGATATTACCCACCTCGACCATTTCCACATTACCAAGACTTTAGCTAGTATGAGTTTGACAGGCTCCAGCTACCGTCAATGGCTAACACAAGTAGCCATCGGGCCTTTGTTTTTTTCCTCATTGGCGCTTATTGTTAAGCTTGGTTTTAGATTTATGCTTTGGCAGCGAACCGTGCACCTCAACGCACGTATACCCAAGAGACAAACCGCAGAGACTCAGAAAACAGTTTAGATTTAGGTTAGCGGATTGGTTAGGCTGCATAGCTGGGTAATATTCTTATTACACAATTGGTACAAGGTATAAATTGGTTTCAACCTGAACTTTGGCTTTGTAATTGTCCTTCTAACCATTCTAAAGGCGCGGGTGGAAGTGTATATGTAATGCGACTTCCACTCCATGATAAACACTAATATTGTTACGAAGCCCTCAAGATAGAGGGCACTAAATATGCGATCCAGCGGACCCAGTAGGGCCTGCGCGAAGTCCGCACCCGTTATGTTCTGGTCTCTCGATACAGAAAGGCAGCATTCCACTATGCCTTGGTAGGTTGCACCCATCCTCCGTCCAATATCAGCAGTTATCTCCATTAGCTCTCTTCCCCAATCGGCTGGGTTCATCTTATACAAGTGATGCGCAACTTGCTTTAAAGGCTTCCAAACATCAATCTCTAGAAGCACAACCCCCAAGCTATATATATGGTAGGATTGAATGTACCTCGGACTCTTTGTTCCTTGTAACCTATCTGGATGCTGGAAATCATCATTGTCCCACATAGATTGAAGCGTTGAAAAAGCCTTGTGTCCGGTAAATGTCCCTTGCTGGTATGTTGCTGCTTCTTCCCCGCGGATCAGATCAAAACCCATGACATACACTTCGTCATTGTCATCAGGTGATACGCTTTTTCTTTGGCGCGTATATTGTGAACGGACAACCACAACGCTTGAAAAACAATGTTTTTATGAAGAAAGCCTACGCTATGGAGAAAAAAGACAGCCTCGGCGATTTTGTAGCTGATTTTGAAGCAGTGGTTAAGAGAGTAAGATACAGCGGGGAAAAGGTCCAGTTCGATTGACTTTGCCAGTGCCATCACAGAGAAGATGTAGTTTGGTGACACATGTGCAAATAGGAGCCGATGGAAGCTTGGATCATATAATTAGTACTTTGCACCCAGAAGAGAAATATCGGCGGTCGCTGTCTTAATACAGCAGACAGCTCCTTAGTTTATACCGCTTCAATTTCCGATGTTCTTATAACAGCGTTGTCGGGAGCTTTTTTGTTTCAAAAAAAAAAAAAAAAAAAAAAAAAAAAGGAGCTGTTCGCCGTCATAATACAAGGGTATCGTAGACCCATATCCTGCGGCTTCAATCTCATAGAGGACATCACCCGGAGCCTCAAGCAGCATCTGACCAGCTCGAGTCTCCTCGATAGCCGAGTTTAGTGTCAGGAAGCTTTGGAGCCTACCGTTGGATTCAATTATTGGAGGCGCCCCCTGAGCCTGCTCGGGTGCGGCCTGCATGAGTGGTGTCACCTTCGGAAGGCCTGGAAAGCGCACTCCGAGTCGTTCTGCCCCATGAAAACTTTTCCGTTCCTAGCGCCTCTAGATTTAATCTGCCAGATCTTACTTCTAGACATTCATAAGGCCTTATAATCGTAGAGGTTCGAAAGCTATTTATTTCCCTCTTTCTCAGGCTCTGTAGTGCATAAAATGTAAGGTTACCGATATAGCTGGAGGTTCGGTCTAATAGTGGTAGGTAGTAACTAGCTAAGCAACTCCATTATCTAATTTCTGTAAGACGAAGACTCTCAAATTCTATTCTAAACGATACCTCAAATGACTTCGTATCACTAAGGAAGGCGCTACAAGCCGCCAGGAACTTACAATGGGGTTTCGGTTTCTTGCAGAAATGGTCTGGTTGAAGGTGTCCGTAATAGCCCCCTGCTTCTTGGGGGACATCCCCTGGTGGCTTATTCGGCGAATGGTGATTGGAAATGCTAAACGAGCGCTCTTTGAATACGAACTGATGTCGGTGGGTAAGGTGCGCGTCTGTTGGACGCATTTCAGACCATAAATATATTGCCTGCCTTGATTTTGAGGGTGTACAGGCTGCTCTTATCCGCGTTGTATATTAATGACTCAGATCCTGGCGACTATCTAACCATTCAGCATCAAGAACAGAAAAATAATACACTGCCACGTCACGGAAGCATTGCCAAGGGTATTAATGGTGCATGTCCGAGGAGCGTAACGAGAACGTGCCCACCAATAGATTTGACTGGGGTGTCGGGAATATGCTGCAACTATAACTTGTGTAACTATCCTGCCGCAATTTTCGTTAATCACCTTGTTGCTTAGGATTTTGGAGCCCTCGCCGGTGTGAAGAGAGATGGAAATATCCGTTTCAAATAGTGTATTGGGGGGTTCGTGGCTATCAGTAGGCCATTAAACTGAGTTACGGTTAGAGTCTCAGAAGGTGACGGTGTTGTATATGGAGTAGCACTAGGCAACGAACGATTGCTTAATGAAGCCTCAATAACTGGATAGGTAGCTATCAAAACAAATGTGAAAATATTTGTCAAATTTTATCGGGCAGCTATGGATAACCCAAACTACCAATGCCTACTACCTAAATGATCACCACCCGTTGGGAACCACGTAGGTAATTTGTTTACCTCGTTGGTCAATTCCTGTAGTCCGCTTGTAGCCCTTCAGATCATCTTCCCCAAGATCAACCTCTTCAATTTCGTCAAAAGCAATCTCCGGCTCCTTTTCCTCTTGTCCTTCGTTGCCCAGGCCAGCAAGTTCACCACCGTCGCGGTATGACTTGTTAACCCACGCTCTGGGACCAAATAATCTCGTTTTCTTGTACCGCAGTTTCTGGACTCTGATTGCAAAGATGTAGTCGTTATGCTCTCTGTATTGCTGAGTGATAGTTAAGCTCTTTGATCCCATCATCTTCGGCCCGACCGAGGCAGTAGTTGGGATATTAATTCCCAAGCTCAGAGTTCCCCCCAAACTTTTCACCCTAGTGGCTTCGAATGTTGGCTCAAAACCTTCTTCAGTTGGGGCTCTGCCAACCTTAATACCTGTAATGTAGAAGACGGGCTCATAATTCGAATTCTTTAAGAAGGTCCGTACTTGTTCAGCTCGGCCGGCATCATTATAGTCCTCCTGTGTGGGTTCGAACTCGATAGTATCAACGGCGCTGAAGTTGTACGTTTCGACATTGCCGCGGGCGCCTTCGACTTTACCTTCACCCCCAACGCCTCCAAGAGCGGCAATCTTGAGTTCAACCCCAGCATCCCCTTTCAGCGCAGCATCCGTTGTGACGCTTACATTGGTATCATGCCAGTAATCGAGACGTTCATCGTCAATCTTGGGCTCTTTTCCGGAATTGAGCCTGGTCATCCCTTGGATGCCGGTGATGATCGTCCCGAGTCGCAGTCGATTGACGGCAACTCGTTTCTCGAGTTTATGGTATTCAAAAGTCTTTGGAACCATGGTAAGAATATGGCGAGTTATTCCTGATAGCAAAAGATAGCTTTGACTTCTCAGACGACTTTACTGGGAGGGCTTTTCTTTTCTCAGAGTTCTCGAAGAAGGATGGGTCTAAGAATCGCAAGGAACTTACACTGCTCATATATGTAATTTGTGGCACACACTGACTTCGTTAGGCACTACTGCATCACAACAGCGATTTGGTCGTGTGTGTAGCATCGACTGACCATTGGTTCTTGCTCTCTGTATGTACTCGACATTCTGTCACACACACAGCCGTGTTAATATCCAACCAACAAAAGAAAATGAAACGAATACCGCTTCCAGCACCATCCATTGTCCCTCCAACTCGGCTGAACCATTCTGGGGATCAAGTCTCTTCTCTAACCAGAAACTTGAATCACCCACAACAGTGTATTACCGAGTTTAAACATATTTTACCCTGCCCATGGCTCCAAAGTTCTTCTCTGGTCTCTGGAAGTCTCTCACCAATGTGGCCTCAGGACGGAGGAAAGTTTTACGGCGGCTCTTCAGGGCGAAACAAAAGGGCAATATAGTCCACCCTTCAGAAGCAGACACACTCTCTTTCCAGCACGCGACAGACTGGATAGCAGAGGAAGTAGCCGTGAACCCGCAAGGCTACGAGATCAACGAAGCCGAGAGAGAATCCGAGTATAGCCCAGAATCCTCTATAGGACGTGAAGTGGACGATGAAGCTTCGGACGGTGCCATGGGTGTTGTTCAACCGAGCTCCCAGGAAGACCGAAATGACCCCAACGACCAAAGCCATGTGAATAATTCACTGCTTGACTCGGGCGATCAACTTACAAAATTTGATAGGCAATTGGTCATAAACCACCTTGAAGAAATCCACGATAAAAACATTTCTGAGGCGTCCAAGAAGCAAATGGCTTGCTGCGATGAAAATATACAAAGGATCATAGGAGGTGACAGGCAAACACAATCATGGAACAATGAAAAAACTCTTTCCAATATTCAGGAAGCTTTGGAAGTCTCTGAAGATGGCGTTAATAGTGTACTGCGGATTGAGATAAGTGGTTCTTCAGAGTCAGAGTTTTCAACCGACAATAGGGTTGAATTTAGGCTACGCGGCGGCGACTTGCTAACACCAAGGATTCAACAATGCCTAGAGACCATGTTCACGGCTTTCGCTTTACAGCTAAGCTGTTGCAATGTGAATCATTTCATGCGGTTAAAGTTAACAGAATCTTTGAATCCGGTTGATGATGAAAAGCGGACTTTCTTTGATCTGTACTTGTCAAGTGGACATGATTGTACGCGGTCTTACTGGGTAGAGAGTAGATGTACATTTACAAGGTAAGTATGCTACTTTGACGGTAATATAAAGTTTTAGCTGACAGATTGGATAGGGAATTGACTCAAGGGAAAGCTACAGGCTGTACTTTGATCAAGAGGTCCATACTTGATAAGAAAAAGATGAATGTCTTGCTCAAAGAGACTCGTAACCAAAATCACGACACACAAAATACTTCGGCAATGGAAAGCACTCGGGAGAATTTGTGCCCTATACAACTTAACGTTTCCGAGGAGCTCAGCTCGTTAGCCACGCCGATAGTATCGCTAGCAAGCCTAATGAAACAAGATGCGTCTTCCCACCATATCCGACGCGTCCGGAACGCTGAGAAATTCTCGACTGGAGAAAGGGACCGGCTTTGCCTAAATTTGGCTCTGTCGTTGTGGCACATGTCTGGCCGCAATTGGAACAGGGCAACATGGTACTCTGATGATCCCCACACAGAAACCGGAATATTCTTTCTCAGGGATCCCAGAACTCAGGAGATTGTAGATAAGACACGGCCATATATGTCATGGCTCCTCCAAGAAGAATCTGAGGTCCAAAAGCCCGTAAAGGGCCTTGTCTATGATACACAGCTTTTGAGCTTCGCTAAGCTATTGATTGAGGTACACACATGGAAAAAGCTTCATCTTAAACCTGGGTCTGAGAAAGAACTCCGCTCTCAACTCGAGGAGTATATTGAGAACAACTTCAGGCCGGTACACGATTCTAATTTTATTTCTGCTCTGAAAGCCTGCCTGGGTTATGCCGGGAGTATTGACGCCACTGCAGAGGACAATCCGCAACGAATTCAGATGTATATTTGCGAAAACATAGTAAGACCATTGCATGAGTATATTGGCACTCCCGAGTCGGCAAAATCCGCATTGACGGCAAAATCCACATTGACGGCAATGCCCTCGTATTATCAAGCTGTGTTAGACGGTTCAAATCAGTCAAGTCAGTCGACACATAACACGCCTATATATGATTGGAAAATTGACGACTATGGCAAGCATGAAGGAAATGGGTCAGTCCTACGGTTCTTAATCTCCCAAAGGTAAGAATCTTTGTTCATAGATTCACTAACACTTAATTAGCTCATACGAAAAGACATTCTGGAACAATATGAAGGATTTCACGACGAAATACATCAGCCCTCTAGCACTGTCAGACGATGTTAAACCATGTCCTGAAAGGAAAGTCCGGATAGCAGTTATTGATAGTGGTGTTAAAGAGGAAGACGCAGAAATCGCGGCAGCAGCAGTTAAGCAACGTATTCGAGGCTATCGGAATTTCACTTCTCCGGATCTTAACGACTGTGAAGATCAAGTCGATCACGGGACTATGGTCGCCCGCCTCTTGCTTACTGTAGCACCGAAAGCCGAGCTCTACATTGCAAAGGTAACAGATCAGAAGAAAATGCCGAAGAATCAGTTACATCGCATTGCTGAGGTATGACTCCGCATCCTTTGTTTTATCTTAAAAATTCGTGTGTTCGACGGGCCTCCAAGGGGCTTTAAGCCCCCCCCCCCCCCTTTTTTTTTTAAANAAAAAAAAAAAAACAGCTTAGACCTGTGTCGGTGGGATGGTGAAATAATACTGGCCTGTCATTAACAGGCAATTTTTAAATTCTTTGTGGGCAGTTTGCTAACTAAGAAGCAGGCTATCAAATGGGCCGTACTGGAATGGGACGTCGATATCATCTCAATATCTCTAGCGCTCTCTGAGGAGCATTATGATATTAATGAGGAGATCACTGAGGCACTTTCACCTTCATCTCAAGATGCGAATCGCAAGCTCGTCTTCGCTGCTGCTGGGAACTGGGGGGTTTATAAACGACGAGCATTTCCGGCTAGAAAAGAAGGAGTCATTGCCGTTCATGCCTCAGATGGGAGCGGCGAGGGGGCGAAGTTCAACCCGAACCCCGAGAGTAAACTAAATCTCTCGACTCTTGGCGAAAATATCAAGATACGATGGCCAGATCCCGACAACTATGGTGATATGAAAGACCGCTACATATCTGGCTCGTCATTCGCAACACCAATTGCAGTTGGGATTGCTGCAAATGTCCTTGAATTTGCGAGACATAGGTTGAAACTGAATGGCTGGAAGAAAGATGTGATTTACTCGCACCCTGGTATGACAAAAATTCTAAAGGCAATGTCTTGTCGTAGGGGAGAGTATGACTTCGTGCACCCGCTGTCTTTCTGGGAAGAAGCGTTGGAAGGTTCCATTTGGAAGTTACCGCATAATGATCCGCAGAATATTTGTGAAATCTTGACCAGAATTATTAGTTCTTGAATACTTAGTTAGATTGTACAACTATCAAAGTGTATGAGAAAGTATTGAACCCCTCCCAGGTACCTACAAAGTGCTCTCAGTCTAAGAATTAGCCCCCTGTGCCAGAGTCACACATATAATAACAATAATTGCTCTTTGCAACCAAGCAGCGGGCAATCACATCGGAATCAGCACATGACGTGCTACTAATAAGCAAGAGAATGGTAGTACAGGCCAGCCCCACGCAATTGATATAAGACGCAAGTCGGACGACAAAATCTCGCAACCCACAGTCAGGATTTTCTCCAAGACATTAACCCTCAATCACCTCACGTTGGCCCAAATATGGACCCAGTCTCAAAAAAACCCTCGCAAAGCATTTCGGATGCTTCGCAAAAAGCTTTACATTTGTTTCAGTCATGTGCCTTGCGCACCCAATATGCCGTCGCCGACTTCGAGGCGACGGAGCGGCTGTTTACGGCTTGGACAAATAGGTTGAGGGTCTTCAGCCAGAGTGCCAGCCTAGATGCGCAGCTGCGCGCAGAGAAATATGACATTATCCGCCAAATGGTTATGCTTCTCCTAGACGTTTTGAACAAAAACCTATCTCTCGGTATGCAAGTCATTGTAACACAGTCTCTTGTGTTCGTCTCAGCTGATCTTACCGATGTATAGCACACAGATTAATCTATTCGGATAAAAACGAGCATCATGTTAAACAATCCCTTGAAAGCCTCCTATTCATTATCGAAGAGTCTTTGAAACGTTTGAATAGGGTCGCTTCCGTCATCATCCAAGCGTCTCAAGACAGCTTGATCAAGAGGACCATCGTCTTCGCAAAGCAGCATGGCGACTTCCAGGAGCTCGCCAAGATATTTTCCTTGGTAATTTTCTGGCGATACCCGGGGGTATTACTGAAAGATCAGTCAGGCAATATACATCTGGATATCCCAGAAGACCCCACACTTACCAAGGAGAAGATTCTGAAGCGACGTCCGGAGGGCTTATTTCTAGCTCTTGTGAAGACTTCCATCGTCCGACACTTTAGAATATTATATGAGCGTGATAGAAGAGACAGAGAGAAAAGGGTATTATTAGCGCCAGCCATGAGATCGTCGACACCGCAAGGTGCCAATCCAGCTGATGACGATACTATCGCTGCGCAGTACAAATCTCCCCAGTCGAATAAATCAGCACCCGGTGAGGCAAACCAGATGGCCAAACGAGACGACGAGGCACGATCAGAGAACCAGCTAACGGAGCTTTCGATTGATGTGGACCGCTACAATACGGGAATTGCTGGGATCGACTCTACCAGTCCTACTTCTGACGAGAAATCCGCCCCTCCATTCTCTGAGGCTGGCGTGGCGTCATTTCCCAGGGCACCCAAGATTCCGAACGGACAGTCAAAGGGCACTTGTCCAATATGCAAGCAGGAGTTTCCTGCAGAAGAGTTGCAGGGCGCTAAGTGGATGTGAGTTCCTATCTGGCAGAGATCAATAACGAGACATTTCATGCTGACTCTAACAGAGCTCACGCCACCAAGGATATTAAGCCTTATGTCTGCATATCTGAGGACTGCATGTCGGATATTCAGTTCTTCGAGCGCCGCAAAGATTGGATTGACCATATGCATAAATTTCACACGCCTTATTGGGCCCAATACATGCATAAACCATTGAGGTGGAAGTGCTCTCTGTGTTGTTCGGACTCTACTACGGAATTCATTTCCGAAGAAGAAGTGAAAACGAGCTTTGAGAAGCACTTGGAGCAATTACATCCTCACACTGACATGAAAGAGTTGCACCGCTTGGTCAATAATTGTGCGGTGCCTCAGCTTCGGTCCTCGGAATATTGTCCAATTTGTGGAACTCTTCACCAACCGGCTATCCCATTTGAACCCCAATCGGAGACGACGTCTGATTCAGGGGCGAGGGGAACTGAGGATGCTTCTCAATCCCAGCATGAGCTCAAAGTGAGATTTGATGCTCCAGAAACGCCGAATGGTGAAGATGAAGAGTGTCGAGCAGAGAGTCCATCGTCAAACTCGCCGAACTGGCGCTCGACCCGTGCAACGGATCACCAGGGCGTCGAAAATTGCATTGCCGAGCACCTAAGAGCCCTGGCTCTCAACTTTTCAGCCCGTCTCATCGATGATGATGACCAACAAGACTCCGATGCATCATCAAGTAGAAGTTTAGACGGCGATTGGCCCGAACTAGAAAGTTTGCCGCAAGAAGACTACGGAGATGATCCCCCAAAGCTTCCCTCATGCATATGCGATGAAATAGACCGGTTTCCCATTCCGGACGAAGAAAAGGCCGAAATGAGGGAATGCATCGCGAAAAACCTCCACGATCTTTGTGAGAAATCCGACGAGCAAGTCAGCTGGAATTTCGACTGGGTCGATGGCTATCGAGTTATTGAGCCAAATATTCCCAAAGAAGAACGAGAGAGATTGTTCCCAGACGATTGCTGTCTGGAAAACAGCTCTGACTTAAGGTCTAGGGTCTCCGAAGTTCAAATATTTGACGATCATGAGGTCGAGAAGACTGACGAGCCTCCCTTCGAGGCCGAAAAGACCGCCGAGCTTCCCTTCGAGGTCGAGAAAACTACCAAGCTTCTCTCCAAAGTTGATAAGACTGCCCAGCTTCTTTTCGAGGTCGAGAAAACTGCCCAGCTTCCCTTCGAGGTCGAGAAGACTACCGAGCTTCCCTTTGAGGTTAAAAAGGCTGCCGAGTTTCCCTTCGACGTCGAAAACGAAAAGACTACCGAGCTTCCCTTCGAGATTGCAAAAAAAGTCGAATGCCAGCGTGGTAGCCCTAAGCATAAATGGTTCCTAACGGTGCTAACGTTGCTGGAAAGAGGCGCCAATGTAAACATTCGGGGTGATGCAGGCCGTAAAAAGGCGATGAATCATGCACGCGATAACCAAGATGGAAAAAGAATTAGGCCTAAGATCCCGTTCCGTGCTGGAAAAAGAGCAGGATGAGAGCCAGGTGCACCGCTGGCTGCAGATTCAGTACCCGACATCAATCAGATGGCAGATACACTGCTCTAGGAAATCGAGCATTTTGACCAGTATGTCGATGTTGATGTAAGAAAGAGACGGAAAGCTTTTGGAATCTTTTGGTAGTTATTAGTTAGGTACTAGGTAAGTCTAATTTACTCAAGTCTATATGATACTGCGCAATACTCAAGTTCGCAAGGAAGCTCTTCTGAATCCATGTATTCGATGAATGTATTGAATGCTCTTCTGAATACACGTATCTACGAATATTTGAAGGCCAAAGCCTCGAGATTCATCATCTGCATGACCTACCAGAACAATTTAGAAAAAAAAAAAACCCCCCCATCACCTTCCCTTTGCCAAAGGGCCTAGAGAATGTAATTGGTTTTGGATAATTGCGATCCTCTCATGTCTCTGCATCAAGTGTAAACCTGAAGGTTGCTAGTTTGTCGGCTTGAATATATGTAATGTACATACTTTGAGTAGCGATAGCCCTACCTGCTCACGCAACGCACGCTACCATGCACAACGGCTGAGTAATGCTGTCACAAGGAGACTGGGGCCCTTTCATATCGATCTCTGGTTTCTTGACTGACGGCTTTTCCGGCAGGTCTGAGGGCCGTTTCTGGAGAATACTTGAAACACGCTCCCCTTCTCCTGGTACCCGCATTTGGGGGGCTGCCCCAGTCTGGCGCCAACAGACTGGGTAAAGAAAGAAAAAGGGATCCATGGCGGGAAAAAGTAAAAAAAAGGAAATTCTAGAAGCTGACGACGATTGATTGACTCGTGATGGGGAGAAGAAGCTGCACTGTGGCTGTGTTGCATGTGCATTTGATTACGTCTAAATTGGCACATACATGTATGTTAATTGATGTTGCTGCAGAATAAATGAACTGCACTGCCTGAACTGTACATGTACACAGATATATTTGGTGAAGACAGGTAAGATTTTACGAGTTACCTAACCGTACGATACTAATTCTAATTCAACAGCTTCCTGTTAAACACTCTATTTATGACAAGCTTACCGGCCCGGCACGGGTCTGCGGCAGCCTCACAGACACGTACATGTACGGGGTTGCACTCATCAAATCTTGCCGCCACACCTGAAGCACTTGGTATCTGCCCTTTGCGCCGTGCAGCGAGATTGCGCCGAGCCTGAGATACCGACAGTAGTAGAAGAGATACGCATGTGCTGGGGAATGAGTTACAGGTATGTATGTACAGCACAGTATCTCGTCTGCAGATCAAACCGAGATCGCCAAGACGCGACGGACTGAAGATTGAAGGGCAAGAAAAAAGGAGAGCCCCAGCCAGCCCGCCAGCCCGTCTTGAGAGTGCTAGTCAGTGCCCATCAAATGCCATGAGGAGGCAAGGACTGGAGCGACGAGAGGGGAAGGTGGAGGAGGATGGGGGGATGATCGCTGACGATCTGCAATACGAGGGTTTTCAATGATCTATTAATGCTTTGCATGTTGAATTACGGAATAGTGATTCAAGCAAGCATTGAAAACAAAGGCCATTCTTTGTCCAACCGTTGTGTATTAGTACATGTACTGAGGATCATATGGACATGGTTTGATGCGAACAAAAAGTATAAAATGGAACCTGAACACTCCAATTGGCACGCTCATCCGTCATTGGTTTCAAAAGATGCTCCTGATGGACGAATCGAAATCCCTGGTCGGTGGCCCCCCAGACGTCATGTTTCAACCCTCGTATTCTTGTCCGCGATTCGTATCAAAGCATGGAAAGCAAAAAAGACGCGCAACACACTGGACTGGACCCTCGGTCCATCCATTCCGTTTGCCACTCCAGTCCAGTTCCAGCATCTTTTTATAGTGCCTGATCCAATCCAATCCATTAGTGCCCTGGGGCTTCTTAGCGGGTCCCCCAGGTAGCCCTGAGGGTGGTAGGGCAGCTGGAGCCCTAGAGCGGCCCAGAAAGCCCCAACAGCCCCAACAGCCCCTGAACGAGCGACTCTCCGCACTGAACTGAACCCGGCCCGCCAATTGGCAGTGGAGTGGCGCAAGGGGCGGTGCGACGCCAGAGACTGGATGGAACCTGGAACCAGCGACCCCTGGCCAAGTTTCGCGCCTAAACGGGCGGCATCACGCCTTTGGAGGTCACTGCCAGATGATTGAATGCAAAAGTGCACGCTTTTCCCGCCACCTCAACAAAGTTCCAGTCTTTTTTTGTCTGGTCTGGTGTGTCTGAATCCAATCCTTTGTTTTCTTTCAAAAAGCTTCCCATTCCCTGCTCCCCAGCTGTTCTGTCGTTTCCATATCGTTCAAGTTGCCATCGTATCGCGCTGTTCATTTTTGGACTATACATCACTCGTTTTTTGTCACTTTTGGGCTGGCCCTGCTCCAAACATTCAACATTGGAAGTCTCTCGTTTTTCCCGCCTCGACTTACAGATTTGATCCCCCATTCGGCGATTTCGAAATATCCATCTAGTATTGGAAACCTCCACATTCGAACGCGCTCCGTTCTCGCAACTACTGCAACTAGATCCAGGACTAGGACCAGGACCAGGACCTAGCGAACTTCACCATCTATCTTCGGAATAGGTGCTGCCATTTAGCCAGGGGCCGGTCCAATCCATCCCGTTGCTGTTGGCACAAGTGATTCGTATAAGCAGCGCATCCAAAGCTCACGTGTTGCATTCGATTCTCGACTCATTTTGCCTACCTGGCTATTTTACTCATTCGCCGTTGCTGTTGCTGTCTCTTGTGACTGAGCATTGCGAATATCCTCAATTTTTTTTTTTGGACGCATTAGGTAGAATCAAGTTGTCAAATCCGACACGACGACGCCATGAACTTTACGCGCAAAATCGACCGCGCCATGCAGTGGGCTGGCGAAAAAATGGGCGCCGAGGCAAAGGCCACTCACACCGAAGAGTTCAAAGAGCTCGAGTCCGAGATGGACATTCGACACGAAGGTTTGTCTTGCCCTCGTTTCCAGCGACCCAATTGGCTTCCCTAACCACCTCACAGGCATGGAGCGTCTCCTCAAATCCATGAACATCTACACCAGGTGGCTCTCGCGCCATTGCGACGCCCTCGAGGACAGAAACCGCAGCATGCCGCTTGCTCACCTTGGCCGGACCATGTCTGCTCACGCGGCAGAGCTGCCGGATACCGAGTACAGTCGCCGTCTCGCCTCCATGGGCAATGCCAATGAGCAGCTTGCCGAGCTCCAAACCACATATCTGGACTGTGCCAATGCTACCTGGCAGACGCACATTGAGCAGAACCTGAGCATGATGAAGGAATATCAGGTAAGAGATTCGAGTTACCAGTCATGCTTTGGGCAAAGTTACTTACATCATCTCTCCAACAGGCCGCTCGCAAGAAGCTTGAAAGCCGCCGACTCGCCTACGATGCCACAATGGGCAAGATACAAAAGGCCAAGAAGGACGACGTTCGCCTTGAAGAAGAGCTGCGCGTCAACAAGACCAAATTTGACGACAGCACCGAAGACGTTTTCCAGCGCATGTCAGACATCAGAGAGGCCGAGCAGGACACAATCGGTGCCCTGACGTCGTTTCTCGATGCCGAGCTGGAATATCACGAACGAGCTGCCAATGAGCTGCGCCGCATCCGAAAGGCGTGGGCGGCTGGCGGTTCCGAGCCCAGCTATTCGCCTACACAGAGAGGAGGACCGGATCTGGACCGCCTCTACACCAACATGCCAGTCCGGTCTCAGTCTGTCCGGCACAGCGTCATCAACGAGGCATACGAGGGCGCTCCCCCACAGCCTGTTGCCAGACTCACTCGCACCATGACGTCGCGAGAGCCTCCTCCGCCTCCACCTCCCCCGGCATCAAGCAGACCCCCCATGCTGAGATCGGCCACCTTTGATTCCAGACAACCGCCCGTGATTCGCGCCAGGGCTGCATCGACTTCATTTTCTAGACAGCCGGCGCCCAGCGTCCCTGAAAGCAGAAGCGAAGACATCTTTGACGACAACTCCATCTACAGCGGGCATAACACCCCGAGCTGGGGGGAGCGCAGCGTCAGCCCGGCCACGAGCTACGGCAGCTTCAACGTGAACCAGATGCCGATAGAGTCCAAGAAAGCACCGCCTCCTCCTGTTAACCGAGCCAAGAAGCCTCCGCCTCCCCCTATCCCCAGAAAGATGTCCACCCCGGGATATTGAGGGCGGACTTAGCCATCATAAGCGATGCTCTTTTTTTTTTTTTTTTTGTCTTCATTCCGGACTTGGGATAACTGGCGTTGGTGTTTTTGCTCGAAGCAACCTTGTAACGAAATGAAATGACGGGAGTGAGGATTTTATTATTTTCTTGGCTTGATATGGGCTAGGATTCATTGGTAGCGTCATTGTTTGGAGATGCCCTCAAATTGGTTAGGAAAGCAGCATGAAAAAGAAGGAAAACCTAGACTGGGGTGATGATGCATTGCGTTTTGGTGTATATATACGCATTCACAGCCAAGGAGCGATGCACAGGCCAAGGTGTTGTTTGAGCATACAGAAATTGACAGCAATAAGAGTCGATTGCCATGAATATGTGCAGATTGCTCTGGTGAGATTTGTGTAGAGACTGGTGAATACATTTGAAGCTCTGGGCAGCTGAGCGTACAGTATGAATAAGATAGTGCACACCGTATTGCACGTGCTGCAGCCTGCTTAAGCTGTATCTCTAATCTGTAGCTTCGTGATAGTTATTGAACCTTTTGCTATTCACAATTCACGAGCCACATCCCCGTTTGGGCATCACACGTCTGTCCAGAGAGGAGGCCCCTTTTCTCTTTTCTTTTCTGATACTATTGCGCATACTCTATTCGCCTCCTCACCAAAATGGCGACTGAAGACGAGAGATACCGGCAGTCGAGCCAGTTCCGCCTCTGGTCCTTTTCGCCAACCAGCCTGCGAGAGCTTCGCGTCAAGACAAACGACCTCGCCAAGCAGCAAATCTCGCCGCGATTCGCAGCAGACGCCCAGCCCGAGTTCCTGACGCCCGCCGAGGAGACAATGCTCGTCCAGTTCTTCACCACGGAGCTGATCCGCGCCGCCCAGTTCTGCGAGCTCCCGACCGAGATTCGATCCACGGCTGCCGTCTTCTTTCGCAGATTCTACATTACAAACTCCGTCATGACGTACCCTCCCACGGAGCTGCTCAAGACGTCGCTGTTTTTCGGGTGCAAGGCGGAGGGATACTACATTAGGCTGGCTAAGCTGGCCGAGATGTTTCCCAATACGACGAGCGAGCAGATTCTGGCGGGCGAGTTCTTGCTCTGCCAGGGCATTCGGTTTGCGTTTGACGTGCGGCATCCGTTTAGGGCGCTGGAGGGAGCTATATTGGAGCTGAGGAAGCGTCTCCCAGAGGAAGAGGGCAGGGTGGCTAAAGCCCACGCGATGGCTCGAGACATTCTCAAATTCAGCCCCTTGCTTACCGACGCCTACTTCCACTACACGCCAAGTCAAATCATGATGGCGGCTCTTTTGATGGTGGACAAGGAGCTGGTTGACCTGCTGATTCCTGTGGCTCCGCCTGGAGACGATGGCCAGCATGAGGCGTCACATGCGGAAATGCGAGAAAAGATTTTCAAGACGATTGAGAGCTGCCGCTCCATGCTGGAAAAGGAACCTCCACAAAGAATGAAGGACCACTGGGAAACGGTAAGCGCTGATCTGGGTACCCTTCTTTTGTAACCATCGCAGCAATCTAACAAATAAAACAGCCCGAACTCGTCAAGTCTATGAAGCCCCTTCGGAAGAAGCTACAAAAGTGCAGAGATACCGACAGAGCAGATCTAGTAGCGCTCCAGCGAGCAAGGCGCGAACAAGCCACAACAAAAGTCAAGAAGCCGACACCACAGAGCGACGGAGCTGTCTTTGGAGATGCCGTCGAAGCAAGAGACCCGAAGCGGAGAAAGTTGGAGGCTGCCAACGATCTGTTTGGTCCGGCGCTATGAGCACCATGAGACTGGATATCTACGATATGCAATACTTGCGACACTGCCAAGAGTGCCTTTTGCATCAAAGCGAGGTTGCTCCCGATTCCTAGCACGCTGTTCGAAACAGAAAAGAAAGAGGAAAATGGTGGAGAGCTACCCAGGCCATAATCACGCTTGGCAATGATGGGTAGCATCTCTCCCCCAAAAATGTGATTTATGCAACTCTAATGAGGATGGTGTCCTTGTTAGTGCGCAACGTTCCACTTTGTCGGAGGGTTGAGATGCACCCCAGATGCGTTGTCAAAGCTGGAGCCGCACGACGGAAAGCTGGCAGTGTTGACACGGAAAATGGAATCCTGGCGTACCATCCGTGACGCCGCGTTAGCCTGCAGCTCAGCATGCAGCTTGAGTTATCAGATGGGTAACAAACTGGTCAACCTTTCGGACCATCAATGCGAGCCAACCCAGATCTGGTCTCAGCACCGCAAGACTGACTGCCATGGCGTGTCTTTGTGCTGGCATCGTGGTGTAATGATCGTATAAGTAATCAACAGCTCTTTGGAATTCGGGCCTTTCTCTTGCAAGCTTGAATCTAACCCGAGCTTGATATCTTGGGAGCTTAGGTTGCGTCATGAATCACCAATCCCGCTTGCTCGAGCTATTAGAACAATCAGGTGGAGGGCGAGGGGAGTGTTGAAGAGGGTAGAGAGTAATATTCCGACACTTTCGGAGGATTAACGGCACACGCCACACAACGCGTCTGTACGAGCGGCAATTCGCTCTTGGCAGATTTATCTCACTTCATCGGATCATAATTGTTGGGCATACGGCCATATTGATGGAGCGAATCTATACGAGACGGGCGCTCGGCGGTCCAAGCGGCACAGCCTGGATTGCTAATTGACCGCTTTTGTGGATGGAGGACAAAGTGAACTGCAAGTTAGAGAAGCTTACAAAGAGACGGTCAGTAATAGAAACTCTCAATCCAGGGCGTCGGTGCCAGCCGTGATCCCCGGAAGTGTGGCGTCTGGAGGTGCATGGAAATGTTGGGTTTCCACTTAGCTCTCTAGCTGCTAATGGTAAGCTTGAGCCGAGGAATCCGTGGGGAAAAAGAAGACTGGAAGGCGTGGCAGGTATCGAATAGATTGTTCGGCAGGCAAGTTTGTCCGCCAGTGGGAGTTGAGCTCGGCATTGCGTGGTTGTGAGAAGAGTGCATGTATGTTTTGAGTCTTGAAGGATTTCGTACGATGATACATGCCAGATAGGTACTGTAAGCAGCATTGACTGTTTGACAAAGTCTTTTACAACATGTTACAGGCCCAACCAAGAATAGATCTTCGCTGGCTAGCATTTCCAAGCCATCACCGAGGTGCTTCAGACTAGGGGAGTCTCGGCAATTCGCGCTTGGAGAAAGGCAATCTTTTCTCCATGGACGAAGTGTGGATTTGTGGGGATCGTTTTGCCGAAACAAGAAGGTGAAGAAGAAAGGGTTTTCTGGATGGGGGAAATGCAGGGCTGGTCGTTTTTGTTTTGAATAATATTTTGGAGTTGTTTTTGAATGAATGTTTGTACGAGTTGCTGTATTTGAAAAGCGACTTATACGAGGGCTCTGTACGAGTACTTGATTTGATAGGAGTTGCAGGGAGTATGGGAAGGGATACGGAGTGGTATTGAGGCCTAGAACGGGTAAACAATTGTCGAAAGGTTGCATTCCGTTAATAAGTCTACTAGAAAGTCTTGGTGGGCAAGGGGCGATAAACAGTGATGGATTATACTCGTATGCTTTGTTCTATGCTTGTTTGGACGCTTAATTCAACGCTAGACAGGGCTAGCTTTTAGCTTGAGAGTGTGCAAAGAGTCGTGGCCATCTCGTCGAGCTTCCCGTCTGGCGGGATCGGTGGGCGGAATCGTCGCATCCGAAGACCGCTTGGGCGCCGGCATATGGTTCCATTTTCCATTTTCGATGTTTGGACACCTTGTCGGATGATGCGAGATGGAGGGGGCCGGATATCTGGGCGGATAGAGTTGAGCGATGATGTTGCCCATCAGGGGACACGAACGAACTATGATGAAAGGCCTACGACTACATGGGGAAGAGAGAGCGGAGGTGGAGATGGTTTTGGGGCGGACAGTTCCGCTTGTTTTTCCTTTAGTGGTGATTTCTTGAGTCTTTTGGATCTGGGTTGACGATGTAACTCTGGCGTGGTGTTATTGGGTTACTTTCACTGACCGATGGGAGGAGCGCGTACATTTCCTCGCTCATAGCAGGTAAGCATACCGTAACAATGTGCTTTCCAACACGCCAGAACAAAGTTCAAAATCAATGCGTAGTCTCTAGAAACTGCCCCAAAGAGTTGATGCTTGTCAGCACCACATGGTGCCATCCATCTAGGCCCTTCGAATAGACTCCGCTTTGGTGCACTGCTCTCCACGGGCCCAAATAGGCAAGTTGTTTGAAACGGCAGCTGTGAAAGACTTCATGGACTCTTGGCAACACCGCCTCCGAAGATGTGATTCGCCTCACTTGAATGTCGCTTATGGGCGTTGTTGAGGATACACGTGATGGGCTATGAGAGGAGGGAGCATGATTTTGGCGCCGTCTTACTGGATTTGTTTTTTTGCTGGGGGCTTGTTTAGGCAAGAGTAGAGTTCCTTGCTTGTGAGAGTGACGGGATTTAGTTGCTTGGCTTTTTAGTGTATGTTGTTATGATTTGATTTGAGGAAAAGGTATAGAGACTATGACGATGACTACATGTACATGTAGACAGTTGACGTGGAAGAGAGACTCTAAGAATTGGCGGTGTTGAAAGCTTGACGCTTGCCTCCGCCTGATGGCCTCTGGAGATCGTCACGGGCTACCCGGTTGCGGTATGGTTCGGCCGGCCTCCAGAACGGCAGCGGGAGCCGGAGTGCTGAGATAGGGCCGATTGAGCTGCTGGGCCTGTCCTGGTAAACTCGTGCTTTGTACCTGGATACGGGTCGAGGCCTGGATGTCAGGCTCTCCTGCTTGCGAATGGTCAGAGCTGAGCAGGACGGCTAGGACTAATGCAACTAAGCTTATTGAGAATGTTAAGTAAGGTGTGATTCTGTCTTGCTAGCTTGCTGCCTAAGGGGGGAAAGGCCATGAAGTGATGGGGATGGATGAATCGGAATGAAGTGATGGATGTTTGTGTCCATCGAGTGGGTTCAGTTGACAAGTTCCGGAAACTGGTTGAGAGAGAGAGAGACAAAGACTCTTAGACCTGGGTGAATATAAGGAGACGACGATGCCTCTTTGCAACCAGACTTTCTTCCCCAGCTCTCTCTCCTCAGTGTTTGACAACTCTCTCTTCCCATCAACATGTTGCTGGTCTCCGTTCTCACCACCATTGCGGCCGTTGGCGGCGTCAATGCCGCCTCGTCGTTTGCTTCCTCGCAAGACGGCCGCTACCAGTTCACTGCCGTCCAGGCTCCCGTCCTGGGCGCCGGTAACCCTGGCATCCAAGACTGGCAGCTCTTCATCAAGGAGAAGTCCGGACGCAAGCAGACCGTCAAGGGCTTCGGCGCCGCCATCACCGATGCCACCGTCGCCGCCTTCAACAAGCTCAACGCAAACTCTCGCACGCAGCTGTTCAACGACTTGATGACCTCTTCGGGCCTCAACTTCAACCTGCTGCGTCACACCGTCGCCAGCTCGGATCTCTCTGCTGATCCGGCCTACACCTACGACGATGCCGGCGGCAAGGTTGATACTGGCCTCAACAGCTTCGGCCTGGGTGATCGTGGTAACGCCATGATCAGCATGCTGGCCAACTTCCGCAGGCTGCAGCCCCAGCTGACCATTGTTGGCTCTCCCTGGTCTGCTCCTGGTTGGATGAAGGTCAAGGGCCAGCTGATTGGTGGCGGCACCGGCAACAACAAGCTCAACCACGCATACGAGAACGCTTACGCCCAGTACTTTGTCAAGTACCTCCAGGCGTACGAGGCTGGTGGTGCTCACATTGACGCCATTACTCTGCAGAACGAGCCCCTGAACAACAAGGACGACATGCCGACCATGCAGATCGAGGCGGCTGAGTCTGGTGCTCTGATCCGCGACAAGGTTGGCCCTGCTCTGCGCAATGCCGGCCTCAACACCCAGATCTGGGCTTGGGACCACAACCAGGGTGAGTTTTTGTTGAATCCCTTCATATACTGACTTAAGCTTGACTGACACGCGTTGCTCTTTAGATGTGTACTCTTACCCCCAGACTGTCATGAACACGGCCAGCCAGTACGTCCAGGCCGCTGCTTGGCACTGCTACGCCGGCAACGCCCCTGAGAACTGGACTCCTCTGACCCAGTTCCACAACGAGTTCCCCGGCAAGGAGCAGTACATGACCGAGTGCTGGACCTCCGTCCTCTCCGGCGGCACCGACTGGGTCCACAGCTCCAGCTTCGCCCTGTTCCCCCTCCAGAACTGGGCCAACGGCATCATCGCCTGGACTCTGGGTACCTTCACCGGCGGCGGCCCTGCCCTGTCCGGCGGCGGCAACTGCCACAGCTGCACTGGTCTTGTTACTGTTAGCTCTGATGGTAGCGGGTACAAGAAGGAGATTGACTACTACATGCTGGGCCAGTTCTCGCGCTACATTCCCAAGGGCGCTGTTGTTGTTGATGGTACTGGTAGCTGGCTGTTTGATCCTAACACTGGTGTTGAGTCTGTTGCTACTGTTAACCCTGATGGCACCCGCACGGTCGTCATTCAGAACCGGTACAACAATGATATTTGGGTTCGCTTGGCTACGGAGTCGGAGAGCCAGACTTGGAACGCTCGTGTCCCTGCCCGGGCTGTGACTACTTGGATTCTGCCCAAGGCTTAAGAAGATTGAGAGAAAATAGCATGTGATGAAATGATGAATGTGAAATGAAGATGGGGTGGGAGTGGTGGAAGCACTGTATATATCTACCTAGCTTCGTCTTGTATATAGACAACTTGAGTACATGTGACTGTCTAAATGAATATACATGTATAAATGGTATTCTTTCAAAGTCCAAACATTGCAATTGCCTATATAATTGGATGCTTATATCCTGTTAGTGCTGCGATCTCTATATCATGTACATTACTTCAATTCATATGTAAAAGGAAGCTTGCGTCTGGTGTAAGCCACCTGGTGTGTTTTGCACGTAGACATTTGTCTGAACGCCCTCTCTTAGTAACGTACATGTACAGTATCTTTATTCGTTGTCGAGTATTCTATCTACCTCTCATCACGAATCACTTATATCATACACGCATCTAAGCCTTTGGAAAGAACCGATTCTCCGGCCTCGGCAGACCAAAGTGCTCACGCAGAGTGCTTCCCGTGTACTCCGTCCTGAAGATGCCACGACGCTGCAGCTCCGGCACCAGCTTCTCCACAACATCGTCGAGTCCCTGCGGCAAAAAGGGGAAGCAAACGGTGAAACCATCAGACGCCTCCTCCTTGAGCCACTTCTCCCACTCGTCTGCGATGCTCTCCACCGTTCCTACAAAGCCAAAGCCGGCGTATCCTCCGAAACGCTGCGCAAGCTGTCTCACGGTCAGACCTTCTTCCCTTGCGAGCCTCAAGACGCCCTCTCGGCTCGTCTTGCTGGCATTTGTCTCTGGTAAATCGGTGGGCAGAGGGCCGTCTGGGTCGAATTGCGAGGCGTCTGCACCGAGAGCGATTGACAAGCTTGCGATGGAGCTCTCGTAGTTGACGAGGCTGTCGAGCTTGAGCCGCTTCTCCTTGGCCTCCTGAATGGTGTCGCCAACAATCACCAGGGCTGCTGGGAGGATGTTGATGTGCTCCTTCTTTCTGCCAGCGGCAACGGCTCGTCCCTTGATATCGGCGTAAAGGGCCTTGGCGCTGTCAATGTTTCCGGGTGAGCAAAAGACTACTTCGGCTGTTTCTCCAGCCAGCTGTCGTCCTGGATCTGATTGTCCGGCTTGCACAATGACGGGCCAGCCCTGGACGGGTCGGGCAATGTTCAAGGGTCCCTTGACCTTGAGCTCGTCTCCCTCGTGGTTGAGAGTGTGCATCTTCTCGGGGTCCAGGAAGATGCCCGTCTCCTGGTTCCGGATAAAGGCGTCATCTGCAAAGCTATCCCACAGGCCCGTCACGACATCGTAAAACTCTCTAGCACGCTTATACCGATCTGAGTGGTCCATGTGCTCGTCTCTGCCAAAGTTCTTTGCGCTATCCGGATTGGCCGTCGTCACAATGTTCCAAGCTGCACGACCACCGCTGAGATGGTCCAAAGAAGCAAAGCGCCGAGCGATGTGGTAGGGCTCATCGTATGTTGTAGACGCAGTAGCGGCTAGGCCAATCTTTTCTGTTACTTGGGACAGAGCTGAGAGTAGTGTAAAGGGCTCAAATGATGTGACAGTCTGACTGCGTCTGAGGGCTTCTATGGGCATGTTGAGGACCGCCAGGTGGTCGGCCATGAAGAAAGCATCGAACTTGGCTGCCTCCAGCTTTTGGATAAAGGACTTGAGATGGGTCAAGTTGAAGTTGGCATCGGCATATGATCCAGGGTAACGCCAGGCTCCGGTGTGAAGACTGACGGGCCGCATAAACGCGGTAAGATGGAGTTGTTTGGGGTTCGACATTGTGAAATTACTTGTACAGTTATGAGCAGATGTAACGGTCTACCAATACTATCTTGAGAGCTTTTTCACTTTGTTACAGGCGACTACGGTTATATATGAAAATATGAGGGACATGTGGGCATTATCGATGATCTGGTAGGATTCATGTGTAAGCAGGTGAGTGTGCTTGGCGCTTGAAATCACGACATCGACGAGATGCGGGGGTGCGGATCAACCGGCTTATCAGCGACT